CGTCGGTGCGCAATGTGCAGCCTGCGACCAGCCGGCCCATGAACGCCGCCGGAGGGATGCTGCTGGGCAGCTTGTTGCTGCGGCTGCTGCTGCTGCTGCTGCTGCTGCTGCTGCTGCTCCATGGCGGGCAGGCAAACGGCAGCGGAAAGGTGCACGTCGGGTGCGGGCTACTGGTGAGTGATGCTGGAGGAGGGGGTGGCGATGGAATTGCCGTGCGAAGCGTGTGCGATGTGGTTCTTGTTGTGGTGATGCTATGCTCGGATTCGTGGTCAAAGTTCGGCTCTAAGAGACAGTGGCAGACCCCCGGTGGACAAGGACAGATTTTGCCAAAGGAGGGTCGATGCAGGGGATTCAAGCGAGCTCGGCAGAGCCAAGGAGCGTTGGAAAGGAAGGAGTCGGGCAGACAGTGCAAAGCAGATGGGAAATGAGAAGAGAAGGTGAGGATGGATGGGATGCAGATGGGAAGTCCAGCTCCTTGCCAGAGGCTGTGAGGGAGGAGGATGGAGAGAGGGATGCTGCTAGCAGATGGCTAAAGATTGGGGGACGCTGGACCTGGAGCTCCAAGGCCGGGGGCGAGAATTATGGGGATGGCAGTGACGCTCTTGACCACTAGGCGTTTGGCGCACGCCACCTGGGCTGGGGCTGGGCAGCGCGGCTGCGACCGCTACGGCGAGACCTCCACCGAAGGCGTGAGCTACAGCAGGTGGTGGCGGCCATTCAGTGCCTTGAGTCTGTAGCCACACGCACTGGATGACATGACATGCGCTGTAAAACCACCCTTGATCTTGATCTTGCTTGCTCAATTGATGCTACTGCAGCTGAGGCGGCTGAGATGGGCATTGAGTGGGGATACAATGGAATGTACTGTAGGCAATGCAAGGCAGCACGATATGAAATACCAACAATGCCGGCCCACGACCGAGGGCAGTTGAGAATTGAGGCGGAAGCTTGCGATGGAATCGTGGTTTTTCGTCTGCAATTGCCTCGTGGCGTCCATGTCAGCGCGCTCAATGGCCGCTCGCCGAGCTGCCGGGCACGCATCGCAACATAAGCTATACAGCGTCGAGACAGGGTTCGGTAACCCGCCTGGACTCGACAAATTGCAACATCCATGATCCATACGCCTTGCCAAGAGACATCCATCTTACACTTGTACACCTTGCGTGGATACTTGACGGCTGCCTCAGCAAAAAGGCTCAACTCCCAATTCTCTCGTAGCCGAGCGGATGCTGGCCAGGGCAGCTCACTCGCAGTTCGGCTGATATCAAAACAACGGCATCCGCCCTCGTTTCGCGTCCATCACAACTCATTCTCGACCCCCTGCTTGGAGCTGTTGGCGCCGCAGCCGTAGCGCTCCGTGTCCCGCTATTCTAACCCATCACGGCGTCACACGACACCGCGGAAAAAACAACAGCTATCGTGATCAACGGTTTGCTCTCGGTGTCTTAATTAGTCTTCTAGCTATTTCAATGTTCAAATGGCTAATTCTAAATGGAATGTGATGTAGAGCACAACCGTCATCAGTGGCCTTTTTCCGCCTCCTGTCCAGCTGCCTGCTTGCAGCACGAGCCTTATCGTCAGATGGATGCACCGAGTGCTTCGTATGGAGCATAGCTATCAACTTTGCTACCCGCCCCTGAAGCTACCGCTCTCTTGCCCACCCTCATTAATACGAGCCCCGAATTCTAATGACATTGTGCCCACCCAGACCCTATCACAGCCTTAGTTAGGGCATTACTCACTTGAACACATTCAACGCCCGTTGAACTGTGTCAGTTCCCATGTGCAATAGAGCGGGCGGTGCGTGGTTCATGAATGGCACTCGGTAGTTCCCTTCGAGCTGACTTCCCAATGCCGCAGCTCTATGGCAAACACTACTTGGCAGTGGCAGTATGTGCCTGTATTACTACTATCGTGCTACCCATCTCAGCGTGGACAGCAGATACTGTAGACAGGCAGAGAGTATGGGGTAGCATGGATCAAGAGGTCGAATGTTACAGGTACGCTCTGCATTTGCAACCCTGCCGCCACAAATACAGGGGTCAATTGACCAAATCGAGTGGCATACAGATCCAGGCCCTCTACCAGCGCACTTCGAGAACAGGGCTTCCAGTTGGGTTCCTATTGGGCATGCACAAAAGACGCCGCAACGTGTTACAGTAGAAGCCAAGTTTCTTCACTCGTCTTTTTCGTCATGTATGCAAAGACCAAACGGTATCTAGCGCGCCCTTTTCCTGTTGCCGGGGCTAGGAAAAACAAGATGTCGAGTACCAGGCCCTTTTTTTCCCACCGGAAACTAAGACAGTCATCCCCATCATAGACCTACCTAGCTTGTACCTTTTCATTACTTACGAGTAATCCCACTGTGCTCCATAATTCTGTCATCGAATTGTTCAACGCAGCAGGCCTATACGCCACGGTATAAAGGAGCCGACTGTGATAGGGCCACGTAGTTATGGGAACGGACATGGCACTATCGTCTACTTGGAGGTAACGAGCCAGCGCAGGGCACGGTATCGCAGGGTACTTTGCTCGCATAATCTGTTTTGGGTGTCTGGAGAAGGCCAGCCGACGCATCCATGTTTCGCGAATGCGTCTTAGGCGAAATGAGACGAGCGTCAATCGTAGATCCCGGCCCTTGCGACCCTAGTCTTGAAGGTCTCTCTCCAGGCTTCTGTGCTCGGTGAGCTCCAAGTCCACATTCGGATAGCGTCACCTGCGCGGTAGCCATCGGGATAACATATCGGCGGCCCCCGGCGCGTCATCTGCTCTTCGCCTGACCAACGTGCGAGCAATGTACCTTGGCAGTCCCGTGTTGCCTGAAGTGGAAAGGAAAGCTACAAGGCTGCAACCTTGGACGATATCAAAACATTCAACGTTTTCTACAACCATCCTTCAGCATCTGATGATTGGGCGATTTCTGCTTTGCGGGCTCTAGAATTCCCAATAAAGAGCGATTGGACTGTTGCATTTCCTTTCCACTTTTTATTCTTCTTATTATTGATACCAGGTCGATATTTTCACGAACCAAGATCAGCAAATGCCGTCGCCTTAAACGATCCCTAGTCTCGCCATTCTCCACGAGAAACATGTCCAATTCTCCCCCTCCGAGGAGGAGGAGCCAATTGTTATCGAGTCCTGAGAACGGCCTACTATCCAACTTTCTCAATGACGGTCGGAATAACGAGCTGAACCATCTGAGTGCTCTCGATGCCGCTCAGGTAGAGCATAAGCGCGTACGAGAAGCGGCCATTCGGGTTTTCGAGCTCCATGAGCTTCGAGAAGAACATGAACGGATTCTAGAGTTGGAGCGCAAGGAGCAGGAGAGACTACGAGCGGAGGCGGCCATAGTGGAAGAAGAGCGAAGGCTTCGAGAGCTCAGGGCCAAGACGGTGCCAAAACTTCCTCCAGAGCCTACGCCGGCGCCTCCCAAGAAGGTAGAGCCAACACCAGCTCCTCGGCCAGAGCCTCCAAAACCCCAAGAGCCTGTTAAACAACCAACCTCAGAAATCAAACAACAGCCCGCAGCAAACGTAGCTGCCCCGCAAGTGAATGGGATTTTGGGGGGACAAAATAAACCAGCCACGAATAATGCCTTTGCATCTCCCACTCAAGCAATTAGCGCGCCGAAACCCGAGCAACGCTTAGCACCACCTCCATTGGCATCAGGCGCTGTCCAGGCTCCAGCAGCACAGTCTCCAGCGGCCAATTCTATATCAGCACAAAAGAATGCCCTGGCAGGACGATATGTTGAAATTCACAAGGAACTAAAGAGGCTGCGGCAGGTGCTGCAGGCTGAAGCAAAGGTGCCTGGGTCACCTCTTAAAGGCAAGATGGGAACCTTTCGAAGAGAGATCCGAGTATCTATTGGACAGCTTACCGGTGGAAAAGGCGCCAACGCGCAACCAGTGAGTCTTTGCACATATAACCTTGCTTTGCACGCGTTATCAAGTCCTAACATGCATGACAGATTCAAAAAATCACAACGGCCTTGAAGGAGTCTCTTGAGGGCAGAGTCCCCAGCGCTCCCATCGAAGTAAGCAGATTCGTCGTAGGACAGCGACAGCCAGTCGAAGGCGCCTTGAACAACGACAATACGCTGCCTTCTCTCTTCATCTACCTCTTAAATATCTGCGCCAAGGGCATCATCAGCCAATTCATCAACGAGTGCAGCGCCAATCCCAAAGCTGCAGATCCAATTGGCGTTTTTACCGCGCATATATTTTCTCAGAAAGACTTTCTATGGCGCGGCGAATCACTAATTGACATCCTCATGGCCAAGTTCCGAGTCGTATGCCCAGTCTTATTTGGCCTCAGGGGAAGTGACAGGACCGAAAGGGGCAGATTAGCCATAGGATGGAAAAAAGATGGCCCTGGCTACGTCACCGAGCAGACTCACAACGACAGAATGACTGGTCTGGGCGCTGGGTTCGCTTCGATTTCTCTTCGCGACTTTAGCAAGACGTCCAAGGCGAATCCATATCCTCCGGTCAACTACTGGAAGGCTCTGGCTGGCATTGTCAACTCACCCCCGAATGAGACTTCGAATACGCAGTATGTTGTTTTGAGAGCAATGATTGAAGGGCACGAGCAGCGGTTTTTGAATTTCTACGGAAACGCGGCCATTGCCGCGCTGCGCCTCGCGTTAATCGACTTTCCACAGAGAGCGCCTGCGAACGCATCCGCAGCACAGTCATTACGAGCTATGGTGGAGCTACTTCGCACTGAGGGACTTGTTCTAAGCTGAATGAATCACATTGTTTTCTCTTTTCATTTAACTGCAGCCGTTTTTTCTTTTTTACCAGAGACTAAGAGAAGGAAGATCTAATGTATGTTTTAAATACATGGGAGGCACCGGCGTTTGGGAGGGAAATTGGCATGCCGGAGCATGTGTTATGCTATTCATATATACGTTTATATAAACTGTCTACGACTGATCCTGGGGGTCACCTGTTCCAGTTACATAGGAGATGTTCTCTGCACGTTGGAAAATGTTCCTTCTAAGCTATGGGCATAATGAAAGAACAAATGCCCACTATTCTTGCTCTATCTTGCATCATCCTATCGTTACAACTGTATAGGAAAAAAAATTGCTGTGGAAGTACAAGAGTGTATCAACCATGATAAGTCGGCGCGAAGCCATTCCGCCAAAAAAAAAAACTCCTAACCCCAGTATACATTTGCCCATTATAAGACGTCTGTTCCCTTTTTTAACGTCTCTCATAAAGATGAGATCCCAGGCATGAAAATAGTAAAAACACAGAAGCCAACCAGTTCTCCCCTCCCTCTCTCTATTACAAGATCAATAACAGAACCAGTAGTAGTATCAAAACGAAGATCAAAACTCCGATGCAACAGCTGCTCAGCCGATCTTCATTCTTGCGCATCACATACTGCAGTTTGGCCATACCAGTCTGCAGTCGGTTGCCTACCCGGTCCGCCAAGTCATCTACCACTTCCAACATCTCATTTTGCTCTTCTAGCTCTCGGCCCATATCGTCCGCCTGACGGCGCAGGTTACCAACGGTATGAAACACGCCGTCAAGATGTCTGTCTTGCTCCTGCATAATCTCCACCTGCTGCTGCTGCTCAAACTCAGTGTACGCATCGCCGCCGCCGTCGCCGTCGCCAATCGCAAAGGAGCTCGGGTCCGGCAAGTCGCCGCCTCCACCCCCACCTGCGTTTGCAATGTTCTTGTTGAGCTCCTCGCGCATGTCCTGGATCTCGGCGCCGACTTCCTGGACGAGACGCTTCCGGCGAGAGGCCTCATGGTCGGAGATGCCAAACTGGGAGGGGTTGGACTCGATGGCTTGGACAGAGGCCACGAGGTCGGCGAGGTCTTCTGCGAGGGAGGACAGCGCTGTTTCGAGCTCGGTGCGCGCGGATGTCAGTTCTGGGGAGGTGTGCGAGGAAGCGAGGGAGCGGATGCGAAGGTAGGAGGCGAAGAGCGGCCGGATGGACGAAATTTGGCTGAGGACATCTCTGCGATGGTGCTGTTAGAAAAGTGTAGATTGATTTGATTGTTTGAGGGGATCGGCGTACTGTTGGACTTGGAGGAAGGGGTCCTCCTCGTTTGTTGAGGACATCATCCTGCTGTAGCGGATGGTGGATCAAGATGCATGAGCTCGAGATTCGCGTGTGCGCTGGGCTGTAATGAAGAGCGAAAGCGATGAAATATGTACGAAGCGCAGGAATAAATGGCAAAAAGAAGAAGAGAAAGGAGTGAAAGTCGCAATGAAACCCAAGCCCAAAGTCGGACGTGGATGTAACCAAAAGCTCGAAGGTATGGAGGATGACGTTGCAGGGAATCTTGCGACGGCGAAACAAGGTGTGGCCCCAAGGTGAGGCGGTACGTACCGCGACGGTTCCGGTGAGGACACCGAATGGGGGCGTCCATAAATTGGGCTAGGAATGAGATGAGATGAGGAAACGGTATCATTCGCATGTTTTAAGGCCTAATTGTATTCGAAATACAAGCGATGTATCATATTTATACGATTGTTATTCATTTTTATTTTAAGAAAGGAAGTGAAACAATTAGGAAAGATTTGCATCTTTTGAATACTTGCTTGGACTAATGTCCTCATAAGGAAAATTCTGGCGGTTTTCGACTTCAATTTTTTCTCAAGCCAATTCCTCTTTTAGGCCGAGACTCTTCAGCGCCCGACACCCTGCTTCATATAGAAGTGCAGCGATATAACTCACAATAGAAGTTACAAGGCAACTCTTTCTCTTCTATCAATTTATAACAAGGAGATTCTTCCATTCGCATCTGGCTCTATTCCATACAGGGTAAAGGAGCCTTTGCTCACTGCGGAAGAAAAAAAAAAAAAACACCAACACAGCCATGATACCCTCTCGGCCGCTACCATGCAGCGAGGAGTTTTCCACTCCGCAAGAGTACATCGAAGCTCTTTTGGAATTCGTACAAAACACGGAGATATTCCAAATCTTCTGCGGCGGCGTTCATATCCTCGACTTCTTCACCTCAGACCCGGGTATTTTTCACTCGGCCCTACCTGAAGAATGGAAAGAGTTTCTGTTATCCTATGATACGATGAAGCTGCTTGATCTCTTTCTGAGAGATGATTTGGACAGTCTTAGTTTTGAAGAGGGCCAGGAACCGCCAGAGAGTCTGCTTGATTATGCCAGAGCGCTGAGAAGATTCTCGCTGAGGAGAGAGTTCGCGCCGCGGCAGCAGAAGCTGCCCGTCTTGCCGAGATCTGTGTCCGTGGGGATGAAGCCTAAAAAAATTCACGAAGTTGTCAACTTTGCAGACTACGTCGATACTCTCTCAGAGGATATTTCAAAGCAGACCGGCAGCGAGATATCGCATTTTGTGGACTTTGGCAGCGGTCAGAATTATCTTGGCAGGGCACTGGCCAGCGAGCCTTACAACAGGCATGTCGTCGCCGTCGAAGGCAGAGATCACAACGTTACGGCGGCCAAAGTGTACGACTTGACGTCTAAGCTGGCGGTTCGGCCAAAGATGATGAGGAATAAGAAGATGTGGGTTAAAGCCCAGGAGACTCTCACTCCGGAGCAGCAAAGGGATCAGGATGCGATACGAGCCGCGGTGCAAGAGGTTGAGGGGGCAGATAATTTTGAATTCCAGCCAATGAATGTCCAAGAGGTCGAATACGTGGCTGAGGAAGGCAAAGGAGGCGTTCAATACATCTCAGGAAGACTTGACAGCGGAGATCTCGCAGAGGTTATAGAGAGCATCGAACATAAAAACACTAATGACGAGACTGGGAAAGACCTCAGCCTGATGGCCGTTTCTATCCACTCATGCGGCAACCTATCTCACTTTGGAATTCGATCCCTCGTCATGAACCCGGACATTCGCGCCGTTGCAATCGTCGGCTGCTGCTACAACCTCATGACGGAGAAACTAGGACCTCCAACCTACAAGCAGGCCTATCTACGCCCAAGCCTCCAGGCCCTCAACGGAAGAATCGTCCGCGAATCCGAAAAGCGAGATCCGCAGGGCTTCCCCATGAGCCAGCAGTTCTCATCCTACAAAGACAACGGCATCCGCCTCAACATTACAGCTCGCATGATGGCCTGCCAAGCACCGCAGAACTGGACCCGGGTCGAGAGCGACGGCTTCTTCACACGACACTTTTTCCGCGCAGTCTTGCAGCGCATATTCCTCGACCGCGGCGTCGTGAGCCGCGTGTGGCACGACGGCAACGGCGACGGCCAGGACGACAACAAGGAAAAACAGGCGACCCCTTTCAACATGAGCACCAACCCCGTGGTCATCGGGTCGCTCCGCAAGAGCTGCTACGCGTCATTCAAGGCCTACGTGCGGGGAGCGGTGGAGAAGCTGACCACGAGCACCGAGTACAAGCAATACGCCGCCGTGATGAACGAAAAGATGGCGGGCATCACGGACGAGGAGATTGAAGGCTACGAAGCCCTGTATCTGCCGCGCAAGAAGGAGGTCTGCGTCATCTGGTCGCTGATGGCGCTGAGCGCGGCGGTGGTGGAATCGCTCATTGTGGCGGACCGGTGGACGTTCCTAAAGGAGCACAAGGACGTTGTCAAGGATGCCTGGGTGGAGACGGTGTTTGACTATGGCGAGAGTCCACGGAATCTGGTTGTTGTTGGGATCAAGAAGTGATGGGTGTTCAAAATCATGGAGAGAGTTTTGTTGTCAAGAAGAGAGAATTGGAAAGGTTGCTTGCAATTACGATCCAATGACAAGGAGAGAAAGAGAGAAGGGGTCAGAAATATCGTGCAATTTCATGCTTGAAGCAATGACGAATGAACTGATGGGATATACATTGAGTGGCATGTTATCCTCGTTGTCAGATGGAGGCGTCACATAGAGATGCAAGTATAAGCTGTTTGAAGCACGGGGATGGAATTGAGGGGTATTTGCCATATACGAGACATGTACAGAGTGTCAAATGCCGATTCATGCGGTGTGGTACGGCTGAGCGGCATTTCACTATCAGCAGGAAGAAGACGTGGTCGATGAGCCTTTTTTTGAAGAGTCTGAAAGCGTAGCATTTAGACAGTCTTTGTTATTAAAGCCCCCAGTGCGGGAATTGGATTTTCGAATTGTCACTTATCGCTTCCGAGGCATTTTCAAGTAGATTACAAAGTCTAGATATCTCTCTTCCCCGCCGTCAACAGATGCCTAGTTTTTGCAAAGCATCTGGTTTATGCTATGATGTCAAGGCAATTTGAACGTTGTCAGCTATGGATGAAATGCCAAGTTGAAGGATTAAAGTTGTGTTATTCGATGTTTTCCTACGAGAACTTTTTGTTAATTCGAAAAGGTATTGTCAGGTTGGTAAATCAGATCTTGAACAAGTCCAGGGTCTGATCTGTGGAGCACTTGGCGTGGGCCAACTGCCTGGCGGAACAAGACCGAATGATGGGAGTCTAGAAAGGCCTTTGCTGAGTATAATCTGCCTCGGCTTTTACACATAGTGCAAAGTTAATACGCAATTATTTTCTGTCCATGTGGTTCTTGTTTTTTGCCCAATAGGGAGCCACAACAGGAGATGAACAGAGTCGCCTGGATCATATGAATGTGGCGAGACACGCGCTGTGGCGCATTCGCGATACAATGCCATGATTTGCCATGGCCGTGGTGGACAAAGGACCAAGAAAAAAGGTGACAAGTCAACCTGCCACGCAGGGCTGACATCAGCCTCTGCTACGGAGAAAATAGCGAGCAGCCTGCTTAATGCAAAGCTTGCTTGCCTGCTACAAGCCCCAATGTGACGCTGGTGGCGCGCCTCGTGGACGGTTGGAGATGGCAGAAGTCGAATGAAATCCGACGGTCTGGATGGTGGTGCTTAATAGGTAGGCATTAGCAATCACAGCAATCAATGCCATATACCATCACACCAACTTGTCAGCCTTAACATGGAGAGAAGGATCAGACTGTGGGCAGTGGTCAGCACGCTATCAAAAGCGATTGGGCGCTGCAGCAATAATGGAGGGATGGGCTTTGAGAACAGAGGCTGCAGCGCCGAGACATGGCGTGTCGGTCGTCTTTTCCGCCCACCCACCCAACGACCACGGTCACGATGCTCGACCGTTGCGGCTAGCTGGTGTTTTTCGCATCATGACAGGACAGTTGGCCGAGTCTTGGCTGTCGACTGCTGGGCAGCTTCTGCCCTGGTTCTTGGGCGTCGCATCAGATTAGCTGCCCATCACTCGCTTGAACCTGCGTCCTCATGGATGTTTGCTAGCGGCGCCATGCCCTCCAGCCATGCAACAGCTCACCACTCGCCTGGGCCGTGCCACCATCATCCGCATTGACATCACATCACCATACCCCGGATCGCCTCTGCAGAGCAGCCCATGACGAGCAAACGGGTTCCAGCAGCCAAGAGCCCAGAGCCAACAGCAGCCATCCACCTATGTCATGTCTATGCCAGCGCCCACAGGAACGCTGTCACGCACCTAGACGCCCCAAGCCAGCCTCCTTCTCCACCAGACGTGGATTGCAGCGCTTCTCCTCGCCCTCTGTGTCTCCCCTCCTCTTTGTGCAGACGTTCTCGATTTTCGAGCCAGTGCGTTTTTGCGGCCGTCCTTGTCCGGTCTGGCACAAACCTCCGCCCCGGCTTGGGTCGAGCCGCTGTTCCGCTGCAGGCTTAGAGGGAATAAAGGGCATCAATCAAGGCCGCGTGCCAGCGCATTGAACAGATATCCCCCAGATGTAGCACTGCATGCTGTGTCCTTGTAGCGCACACCCCCATCTTGCACGTACATGGATGCGCCCTTTTGTTCCCGGTATTGTAATCTGGCAGAGGCAACGGCTGTTAGTAGATACGTACACGCTCATACTCCATACTGGCACAGCAATCCCGAGCTTCAGGGACCCTGCCCCTGCGCCCCAGATTTCCGCAGTATCTTGCCGGGCTTCCAGCGGCTCCCCGCTCCGCTGCGCTGGGAAATGCTCGAATGGGCTGCCGCGATCAAGGCCTGTTCCAGGGTCCTCGCCTGGTGTGGGGGGATCTGGCCTGTTCCCTGCTCGAGTGGCGTTTAAGCCCGGCTGGATGATGTCTTTCTTGTCTTGGGCTTGGGCTCTGCTGGCGCTACGAGCGAACCTGTTAGCCGTGAGCAGTACTAGCAGGTACGGTAGCAGTTAGTGTTGATGCATCTGCTCCTTGACCTGTTGTCCAGACGCCAGGTCTAGATGCTTGCTGCGTGCGCAGAGTTTCCGCCGGGGTTCGCACATCATGGCTCATTCGCTCCCGCTAGCACAAACGCCGTTGTAGGTAGGGGGAGGGATTTGCCGATGCTGCACCTCCTCTTCGTACACCGTCGATTGGGCTCGATGGTGGCAGTATTTATAGACGGCCCGGGCCCCTTCTCTCCTTGCTCGCAGACAGTTCTAATTGACGCCTGCGTCGTGTTCTTGGCTGGGGATCCGGTTAGAGCTACCCACTGAGAGATACTGACCCAGCCTTATCAGTGACGCCTCCATACCAGCTCCATGTACCGTTTATAGCACACGTAACCTTGCCTTATCACTTATCAGCGCCTTTCCACCTCCCGGTTTGCGGCGCTCCGACTGACTCGCCGGCCTCGGTCTTCGTTATCGTGACAAACTTTATCCTTCCTTTATTCTTCTCAAAAATTTTGTTGTTTTTAAAAAAATCTTTCCTTGTGTCGTCTTTTCTTCTGTGTTTCAATATTGCGGGATTCTTTTGCATTATTCTCCTACATTGTTTGCTCACGGGACGTTTCGCAAAGGCTAGGAATCCCTGCTTTGGTCGCATCGTTAGGCCGTGGGCTTGCCGACATATCGGGTCTGGGAAGCCGACGTCGATAACGACAGCTATTGCGCCATCTTGACAATTGCGAAATCGACGGCAACAATCATCTTCTATATAATTCCTCGTGTCCTTCAGCTTCACCTAGTCTTGATTGGGATTTACTTTTGTCAGTCTTTTGTCCTCTGCGAGGGGACAGCATCGAAGCTAGAATGAACACTCACACTCAAGTCTCGTTCCTTGTAAGTTGGTCCAGCCATTCTCGCCTGTCTGCATTTCCCAATGACACTGGACCGTCTCTAATAAATTTCCCAATCACAATATTTTTCCTCCGTGGTTAACAAAAAACAATTTCCTCATCCAACTTTTGACTCTTTTGATCGGTGCTAATTAAATCTCCACTGATAGGACGGGACTTACACGCTGATCCACATACCTCTCGAAATATATCCGACTCTGTTGCAACCCATTCTTCGCATTCTCCTCCCTCAGACGCAGAGCCTCAATTTCTCTCGAGATTCAACAGAATATGAGCTTGAGGGTCTCACGACAGATTTCCAACACGCCTTCCTCAACATTAGCGTCACTCCCATCGAGTGCTCCGTCGTCTGCCACAGCTCATGGGCCAAAAACGTCTTCGAGCCTGCGCTCAATGCTCTCCCGAAACATGTTGGCAAAAGTGTGTCCATCTCTGAAGATACCTTTATGATCCTGGCAGTGACAACTGCCGGCTTGGATCCCGGTGGTCGTGTTATGGAGCTTAGTTCACCCCTGGCCTTTGCGGGGATTCCCATCTTCTTCATCACCACATATTATTCCGACTTCATCCTTGTTCCTACGCAAGAAAAGCTTGAAGTCGTGCTGGCGCTGGATGCCAGAGGCTTTGAGCTCTCAGGGGACCACCACTCCACCTTTGTCAACTCGTCATACGCTCCCAGAACATCTGACGGCCATTTGCCTCAGCAGCCCCCCGGAACCCCTCCGCCTTCCAACTATGACGAACTTCAAGCACGGACCTTTGACCTCCTCCTCAAGAACAATGTTAAGCCCATTGTCGAGGTAGGCCTCGAGCTTGTCCAGTGCTCCGGCCGTGAAACCTCGCCGCTCATGAATGCTTACACTACCCGGCCGTCCATGAGCCGGAAAAACTCGACCGACTACCGTCGCTCTTGGATAACCCATGTTGATCCGAAGCTTTATACGTGCATCGTATCTGCGCTTGTTTCGCAGCCGAGGTTTCTCTCTCTCACTCTTGCGCAAGATGACCCGCCGTCGCTGTTGCTTGATAAAGCCTTGCTGCCTATCTTCGACGACTCGCTCATGGGCGACATCAGAGGCTGTTTAATACCAATCTTCCTTGATCTCAGAAAGTTGCCTGCCAAGTCTACGGGTATAGTATGTGGTGTTGCCGGGCGAATTGCCAAAGGTGCTGATGCCAGTGAGAGCTCAGAACTTTCCTATCTCTCCACTGCTCGCGCCGGCACCGTTATCTTGTCGCAGGTGCAATCGATCCGAGCAATGTGCATTTTGACTCCATTACTTTCCAAGTAATCGCGAAATGCAGATCAAATATCGAGCACAAAGGAAGAAAAATTACATGATATGCTTCATGGATACATATTGCTAGGTATACTTAATATTTATTAACATTTAGGTTTGTGTTTTTGACACCCCTACTCAGGGAGGGGATATTGACGGTATATATTGGTTGAGGCTACCTCTTATTGTCTTTATTTCTGGGTTTAAAGAGTTTTTATTAGAAATCTGTTCATGAAAGAGGGAGGGAATGAGACAAAAACGGTGAAAAGGAGTGGAAACGACTTCTGACTCCTCTTGGGGAGGGGGGGGGGCGTTGAATATAGGCTGCGCATGTCATTTCAAAGATACCTACTTGATTTGTTTTACTGGTTGGTTTATATACATGGTTGATATATTACAAAAACGTCTTGTTAAATGCTCTGACTGAATATAAATAAAACAAATTTTGAACACAACTGTCTACACTCTTTCCAATGAATGCTACTATCCAGATATCTACAAGACATGCTTTCCTCTTCACCATCATCAATCAATATAAAAACACCCTTTCTTATTTCCCCTTCTTCTTCCCCCCATCCCCCATCCCCGCCCTCACAAGCCCATCCCTCGCAACGCTATTAATCAACGCAAACCGCCTCGGCCCCAACTTGACGCCGCCATACCACCTCGTCACCACAACCATGGCATCCCAAACCTCCATCAGCTGCAGCAAGTGCAGCAACCTTCCCCCCGCCGCATCCTCCCCATCGTCGTCGCAATCATTATAGCTCACGCCGCCCGCGCCGCGGATCCGCCACGCCGTGATGTTGTGTGTCGCGGAGCGTATGCGCTTGTCTGACCAGAGGAGGTGCTGCAGAAAGAGCTTCGCCTCGGCGGGGGACGACACCCGCGCAACGTGCGCTACAAAGGTCGATTTGTTCTCCACGACGACTTCGGAGAGCGTCCATGGCGGGGGCGGCATGGTTGCGAAATCCACTTGGCCGGCGTTGTTGTCGACTGTCCTTTCGCCCCGGGCTGCATTCTGGCCTTCGCCTTCAACGTCGTCATCTTCTTCCTGCTCCTTGTCCTCCTCTATCCTTCTTGAGAACTCTTCTACTGCGTCAAAGAGACATACGCTGCCTGGCTGGAAGACCGTCCCTAGAGCTTCCCTGAATACGCCCAGGTCCCTCGCGCCGGCGCCCTTTCTGCCCCCGGAACTATGCTGCGTCCCTAAAACACTTGGGGGCTCAGCCGGATATGCCGCCGGGAACTGTAGTCTCAGTGACGAAGACTCATCGCCCGGTAGTTGTAAGATGTATGTCGCTGATGAGGATACTGGGGTCTCGTCTTGATCCTCAGAGGGGATTAGACAGCCTTCGCCGTAGATGGAATTTAATGCCTCTACCTCATCGCGGAGGTCCTCGGACATTTCTTTGAGACGATAAATAGAGAAAGATTAAAGACAAATGGAATGTCGTTTGGATGCTTTACGTAGACTGTCGTAATCATAAGAGACATCATATACATGTCTTTTCATCTGATAAGCTGGAAGTTCGAGGTATGATTTTCACACAGTGTCAATATTGGCAAATTCAACGTCCGTCACACTGTATCTGAGAATGCGATACTAAAGATCTTGTTGAGATAAAAAGCATTCGATTAAGGCTTGTAGAGCAACAGCTCTTGAGTTTAGGGAAAAATAATATTGACATTTGACATTGAGCTGATACAATATAAGGCGGCGCTTTCAAAGTCTGGCCGTCTTCTACCCGCCCTTGAGATGCAGCATTGTTCTAAGTGCCCTCCAGCTGCACCGTACATATACACGCGCGACCGCTTCTACAGATACTTGATTGAATGGATTAAAGCCCGCCTCATTTACTCGTCAGAAACGGATGCAAACTTGTCCAGCATCTCCTGCTGGATAGCCTCGTACTATAGTAACAATGTTAGCGATGGGAGCATTCTTTTTTCTAGGCAGGAAATGGCAGAAAACAAACCTTCTTGACAATCACATCTTCACCGTCGGTGGGGACCTCGAACTTGAGTTGTCGCAGCTTGCCTTGCAGATCACTGGTTGACTCGCGCACCTTTGCCCAGCTCTGGCCCTGAGCAACGGCCTTTTGTGCCTCGTCGTAGTAACCAACCATGAGCTTCATCATCCATTCCGTCTTCCAGAGAGGGCAGAACTGGTCATAATCGGAGTAACCGTTCTGCTGCAGGAAATCTTCCTTGATCAGAACAGCGAGATCAAGAGTGATTTTGTCGGGGTCGGACAGAGCACTCTTTCCGACCAGCTGCACAACCTGATCCAACTCGTCCGAATCGGAAATGAGCTGCTTGACGCGGTCTCGCAGCCTGGGGAAGTCGGGGTTGTTCTGCTCGTACCACTTGTCCAAAGCCGTGTTATACTTGCTGTATGAGACGCTCGTGTTGATGGAGGGGAAGTGCTTTCGCTGAGCAAGCTTCTTGTCCAAACCCCAGAAGACCTGGACAATGTTGAGAGTTGAGGTGGTGACAGGGTCTGAAAAGTCACCACCCGGAGGGCTGACGGCACCGACAATGCTGACACTGCCGCTGCGTTCAGGTGATCCCAAAGTCTTGGATCGGCCAGCTCGCTCGTAGAATGAAGCGAGCTTGGCACCAAGATAGGCAGGGAAACCCTGATCAGCAGGCATTTCACCCAAACGACCAGAAATTTCACGCAGGGCCTCGGCCCATCGAGACGATGAATCAGCCATCATGGCGACGTTGAGACCTTGGTCACGGAAGTATTCGGCGACAGTGATACCAGTGTAGATGGAAGCTTCACGAGCGGCGACGGGCATGTTGGAGGTGTTTGCAATGAGACAGGTTCGCTTCATGATGGGCTCTTTGCGGCCATCAACCTCAATGGTAAGCTCGGGGAAATCTTTCAAGACTTCAGCCATTTCGTTTCCACGCTCTCCGCATCCGACATAGACAATGATATCACTGTTGGAGAATTTGGACACGGACTGACTGATGACAGTCTTGCCGCAGCCGAAAGCACCTGGGATGGCAACGGTTCCGCCCTGGACGCTGGGGAAGAGGGCATCAAGAACTCGTTGTCCAACAACGAAGGGCTGGTCGGCCGTCAATCGCTCCGACGTGGGACGGGGAACTCGAACGGGCCAGCTCTGCATCATGGGATACTCCGTCTTCTTGCCGTCGAACTCTACCTCGAGGATCTTTTCGACAACAGTGTATTCGCCCTTGGGGGCAATCCTGGTGATGACACCTCGAGCGCGAGGAGAAACCAAAATCTTGTGAACTGCCAGGAAAGAGTTCTCAAAGACCGTACCCCAAACATCGCCACCGGAAACGTGATCGCCAACCTTGAGCTGAGGAGTGAACTCCCACTTCTTATCTCGGTCAAGGGCAGGAACAGCAACGCCGCGAGGGATATAGATGGACTTTGATATCTTGGCGATGGCCTCTAGAGGTCGCTGGATACCGTCGTAGATGCTGTTGAGCAGGCCGGGGCCCAGCTCGACGGACAAGGGCTTACCTGTCCGAGCAACGGGGTCACCGACCTTGACACCGGCTAAGAGAGCTTGGTCAGTATCATTGTGTCTTTCCTTGTGTGTATCAATCGTCTCGGCTTTCGAATATGGAAGGGCAGAGGAGTTCAGGTGTCGCCATACCGGTTTCTTCGTAGACCTGGATGGTGGCCTGGTCGCCGCTGATTCGAATAACCTCACCAACGAGGTTGTCGTGGCCGACTTTGACCTTGATTGATCAGTCAATAAATGTTTTGTAATCACGACTCAGATGAAAGATGTCTTACCAATTCGTACATGGCAACACCAATCATGTCTTCGGCGACAATGACGGGACTGCGGCTGGGTTAGCTACGGAGCTATCTTCATGACACCGGCCGCTGCTGGCTATGTCGAGATTGACTGACCCTGAGATGGAGTAAATCTTGCCTGCGCAAGCTTGTCAGTAAAGTCTGCTCTCTCTCCTGGACACATGCCCATTTCATCACGCTTGCTCTCACCATAGTGAACGGCATCGCCATCTGAGTCTGTGGTTTTCTGTGACGCCATACAAGTCAGCTTCGCAGTGGTTGACGTAGCGGGGCATTCGCATCAGCCTCGTCGTTTTGCTTCAACCTCGCCACAGCTGCTGCAGCTATAGCCTGTGCCTGGCAGACAGACTGTGCCGGCAAACGACGAGCAAATGGGGAGCGGGAGGGCGCATACAGAAGGCATCTTGGGCGATTGGAGAGGAGCGTCGTCGAGCTCTCGATCGGGAGGGACAGAGGACGACTGAGACGGGCGAGATGGCGATGGAGAAGGAGATGGAGGTGGAGAGTTTCGCAACAGCAGCGGCAGCTTGATGGTTGCAGGAGCGCCAGGGCTCGGCGCCGGTGGAGGCGATGATGTAGCGCTGGCAGCGCCTGGAGCACCGCCAGGAGTCCCACCAGCTCGAGCTTTGGGGCCGCTAACAACAAAACTGGCCCCCGAAGCGATGGCAGCAGTGCTCTCAGAAGTACCGGGCCTAGCAGCAGCAGCAGCAGCACCTGTACCTGTACCTGTACCTGTACCTGTACCTGTACCTGTACCTGTACCTGTACCTGTACTGTCCACGAGGGACTGCAAGCCAGGGGCAGATGCGCTGCCGTAATCGCTTTCCGAATCGCTGTCGTCGTTATCGATGTCACTGTCGCCTTTGGTGCTGCCTCCTTCGCGAATCAGGTCTAGCAGAGAAGGCCGCGCCTTGAGCTTTGGCCGCAGTCCCAGCATCTGCGAGCGTGATGTAGACAAAGACTCATGTGGAAATCAAGGGCTGGGCGACAAAAGACTGGAAAAACACGGGTGAAAAAGTTGAGATTCAGGAATTAGGTTCTGTTGACCTGGGTGTCGTGTCAGACACAGAGTACGAGACGTTGTTGCACCTGAAAGACAGCTGGCAGCGACGCCAAGGGGCCATTGAAGCTACTGCTGCTAATAAAACCGTGTAAACAAACTTAGCCACAGCGGACGCGAATCTGCGTCCATCACTACTGTATCAATGCTTCTCTTCTACTCTTGTCGTTGCATGATGAAGGGATGAAATTGAGATGGATCCGCAGCGCTTTATCCCAGTATATATCTCTACTTTGTGCAGAGCATAGTTCAAGCCTTCCGCGCACTGCTGTTAATCTGCAATGGCGTTTTCAATTGGTTACTCTACTATTGGCGGCCTCCATTATTAGACTCCGGCTTCAGCAATCTCGCTTTGATACAACTACACGCACACAGCCTCAACGATTCTGTCTGTACCAGGTGGACCAATATGCCGAGAGACAGCCATCTCATCTTCCACATGCATTGAATTAATCGTACTAAAGATATGTACATACATATACGCCTCTCCAATTAATACGCAGCGCTTCCCTTCAACGCATTATATCTGCTCGCCAGCTCCTCCAGCAAATCCTTCCTCATCGCCAATGAATTCAGCGTCTTCATTCCCGCCGACAGGCCGCACTCGTCGCTGTTCACAGCATGTTCCTGCTCATCTACCACCTCGGATCTCTTGTTGAAATGCAGCCCCGGCGCAATCGTCTGGCAATTGTTCTCGCTTCGAGCAGCCCGCAGCTGGCAAAGCTCCGCCGTCGCGCAGTCGCCGGTGCACGAGGCCACGTTCCAGCCACGGCTCTTGTACGCAATGTACTGGTTGAACGAGGCTGAGTCCGACTGGAACAGGGCCGTCACGTTGTGCCAGAAGGCGGGCGTCAGCTCGGCGGCCGGGTCGGTCACTGGAGGGCTGAGCTTGGAGCCGTATGCCTCCTTGGCGGAGTAGTATTTTGTCCACACGGGGCCTGTCGTCTGGAAGGCGGCGTTGGTCATGTCGGCAATGTAGGTTGTTGTGTCGAGGACGGCAAAGGTCTCGGGGTCGACGTCGTAGACGCGGAATGAGGGCATGCCCGAGGTGGGCGTCAGCGAGGGACAGATGTAGGACGTCATGACCGCGTGTGCAGCGTCCTGGCTGCTGTAGTTGGAGTAGCTGATCTCAAAGTGGTCGACATGAGTGTGGCCGAAGAACATGGCGGCGATGGTCGACGAGTAGCGATTCACAACCTGGTCGACGTAGTTTGACCCTGCGTGGAATGCATCGCCCACGCCCAGGGGCATGTGTCCGATGATGTAGACCCTCTCGCCCGCCTTCTCTGCAGCGTCGAGCTCCGTGACAAGCCACGCAATCTGTCCATCGGGGTCCTGTTCCATCGTCTCCTGGTACAGCCAAAAGTTCATGCGATAGTAAAAGTTGGTGTTTAGAGAGATGATTCTCAGGTTGCCGTTGGGGTATTTGGTGGAATATGCGCCAAAGTTTTCAATATCGGCCTTTTCCGAAACTCCAACCCAGGGAGTCCATTCGTCAGACAGAAGATCGTATACCCATTGAGACGAGTTGCTGATGGACGCAACGGGGAAGGCATTGACGGGGCTGGCCTCATGATTGCCGGCGGTACCATAAACGAGGCCAAGATACTGGCTCATAGAAGTGTAGGCGTTGGTAACTGCGAACGGGGTCATGTTAGTCTATTGAAAGGGGCATGAGCGGACTTGGAGTGAGTAGGAGACCGACTTGACTGTTGGTTGTAAGCCTGTGAAGTGTTCCAGACTGCATGATCAACAATATCGCCAGTGAAGAGCGTAAAAGCCGCGTCTGGCACAAGTTCTTGGATGGCTTGATACAGACTCGTCTCCAAGCTCACGGGAGCATCGCAATTGTGGTCACCATTTGGGCCTGCAGGCGATGTCGATGAGCCAGGCTCGTCGGCGGCTGTATAAGGTCTTATTCATTGTCACCTCGTCAGGATTTTGTAACTTGTTATTGCGGAAGAGCATCTCACCTGCAGCAAATCGGTTTTGTGCAATTCGTGCTTGAGCCCGACACGTAAAGAGGATCAACATGAATATCCGAGTACTGAACCACTTTGAGAGGCGTCTTGCCGCTCGGCGCAGGACGGCCGGTAGACGGTTTTGGAGAGGGAAAAGGAACGTTCCACTGGGGAACGGTTGGTTCAGCACAGAGTCCAAGGAATGATTCGCAAAAGAGCTGTGCTGTCTCTGAGCCGAGGTCCATGTTCCGAAGAGAGTTTGCGATGATGGGTCCCTCAAGTGCAATGGTCCCAACACAAACGTCGGTGTCTTCGACCTACAGCCTCATGTTAGCCATGAATAAAGAGACCTAAGACAATAAAGTGTGACGGTTATCAACCTTGGCAAGTTCGCAAAGCCCCGTGGCTATATTGACAAATGCGCTGTTGCCAAACTCAGCAACGCCCATGAGGAGAACAAGAATGCCCTAGAGTCATGTTAGAACTCAGCTACTATATATATGTAGTTGTGAAAAGTATATCCTAACCTGGCAAGCCGTGCAGGTGGCGGCATTCTTAATGTCGTTCCAAATATCGTCTACCAAGCTTCTTGCCTCGATGGCCCTCTTGAAGTCCTCGATATCTCGAGGAGAAAGGCTGCTGTCCTCAAGAGAAACTGCGCCCTGGGCAACAGAGCCCAGGGCCAATAGTGTAAGCGTCAAACTGGGACGCATCGTCAATCACGAAATCCAGGCCTGGCCATGAAAAAATATGATCTACAGGGACCAGGAACCAGGCGCTTGGCAGGGCGCTTCATCGTGTATATATAAACTTACGTAGAGGTGCCTACATCACATTACACCTACCAAACGCCCGCCCACTTACACCACCTACATCAATTCAGCCGGTGCGGCACAACTCTCTCCACTCGACGATACGAGTCTTGAGTCTTCACAAACAACGTTTAGTTCACACGGAACTTCCCCCCAGCTTGATCAGCAATGCTCGTCGAGGCGGATGACCTTCCGAACTTCGTCTGGTCCCATCCGCGATACCACGCTGAACAAACACCAAGGCCGAAGCACCGTCCAGTAACAAGCCCCCAAAACCCTCCCCTGAAGCCGTTCGAAAGCGACGGTCCGGGATCGAGATCCAATCAGAGGCGAGGCCCTACACATGCATCAGGATGGACCAGCTAATTAGAGGAAAAGATGTGCGGCTTCGGGGGGCTTTCTGGTGCGGTTCGGCAGATCATGGGGCGGGGAAGGACGCCTGGCGGCTGATGCTGGTTGGGGAAAGCTTATGCGATGACAATAAGATCCGATGGCCATCTCTTTTTGTTTCTGGAACTTATGATGGTGGCTGTATGTAGTTGCGGTGCCAAGACGGTAGCGAGAGGATGCGCAGGTTAAAAACAGCTTGGAGAAGGTATCTAAATTACAATGAAGGCGATTCTAGTTACGTATAGTAGAATGAGAAAAGTCCCCGAATACCTGAGCCATCTTCTAGACTAATAGCGCTGTCGAGATCAACTTACAACATGCTGTGTTCTAAAATGGGCATGTCAAATGACTTCAAGGTTTCCCGCATAAATCACGAGTCAATAGATCACCAATACCACAGCATAATGCTTTTTCTGGCCAATGCCAAAGCCCATTACAATCACCTGCGCGATATGCATTGTTCTCGGCCTCTCTCCTCTTAAAACCAAACAAGAAAAAAAAAGGCCCAGGTTTCGTTATATGCTCTCGGTCACCAACTCAGGAAGTTATCCATGCTGCTAGCCTACTGTGGGTTAAAACGACGGGTGAGGGGCTTGTTGTGATATCGGCCGAGACTATGTTTTCTGCATGTGAAAACAAGAACTGCCAAGGTTCAATTGAATGGCTTGTTCACTCTGCAGCGATCGACCTTTTCCCGGAGGGTTTGGGCATGTTGCATAAGCGCTGCATTTGCTTCGTGTAATGATCTTTTGTTTGGCGTTTTTATTGATTTGGTAGTTATTTTGGTGGCTGTTGTGATTGTTGTCTTGGCTGCCGTTTTCGTTTTGAAATGGTCAGGTATTGATTAGCGGCCGGCCGCTTAAAGCCGTCCTCAGCAAATCAAGCAGCTGGATATCCAAGACTTCAATCTCCTTAGCTCTGCTATAGGATCAATACTATGAGCAACTAACATCACCATCAACAGCCAAATAAATATACAAAAGTGCGTGAGTTTATTGTACACAAATTCGTCGCCAAATCATACAGATATCCACCCATAGGTACATAATACTTACAACCATTGCCTGCCCCCAGATTTTGATATATTCCGAGTAATAATACAAGTATCCCTTCTGTAATTATATTTATACAGTAGGCTCTTCGCCGATTCACAGCCAACACCATCGTATCATCATTTCTCTGGTAGTTGAAAATTCTCGCGAGACACTGCTCCTCGTTCCCATGCAACATGCATCGGACTCTCCGCTTCTTGCTGGGTACGCATCTCTCTAAAGATTTCGCCCTTCTTAGACAGTGCCGGTAGTTTTCCTTGAAACATCTTGTACCAGTCCCAGTTGTCTGAAGGCGTAGGCGCAAGTACCTTCTTTCTCCGCTGCTTGAGTTTATCATAGATCTTGCGTGCCCTTGTATCGGGCAGCTCAGTAATGTTGTATTGAACCGACCAGTCGAAATCGTCTTCTTTTCTGACGTTTGTTGGGCGCTCAACGTGCTCGCCATTCACTTGGTTGCGAATAGTGACGAACATGCCAAAGAGTTCACGTTGTGGCCGTCCAGGGCTTTCCGTATTCTCTGCGGCATCACTCTCGTCTCCCTCTTCTTCTTCTTCGATAAGCTCATCTTCGTTTGAAGTTTCGTCCTTGGCAGATGTCACTTGTTCATCCTCAATGGCTTCTTTATCATCATCCTTGGCCCTTGTAGTCAGATCGGCAAACATTCGTTGGAATGTCTTGAGATTTTGCGCCTTGTTGTCAATGCCCTCCGTGGCTTTCAGGATCAAATCTGTCAAGGAAGCCTTTTGCATCTCTGAGTCTGCTGTATCAAAGTTGGACCCTGAGTTTTCGTGCTGCTTCTCGTCCGATGCCTCATCAGCACCAAGACCATCCTCCGTGTCGTGTTTGCGAAGTGGCCCTACGACATCTCCTGGGTCGTCAGATCTGTCTCGTAGCTCCTTAATTTTAGAAGAGTGTGCCGTCAGGGATGCCACCATGGCATCTAAATATTGCTCGATTTCAAGCTCAGTCTTGTCTTTGAGTATTCCGCTTTGCTCGAGAGCTTCCTGAACCGCTTCCCTGACTGATCCTATTCCCAGAGAATCATCTTCCACGGTTTCTTCAACCTTGATCATCATATCATTCCAGGCAGCCTCGTTCTGAGCATCTTGGTATGAAAGATTATCAGAAAGCTGCTCCGTCTCCTCGTTGAATGGCAGCGATGATTCGGCCTGGGCAGTTTCTCCCGTTTCTTCAGCTCCCTCTTCGGCTTCGGCTTTGTTAATGGCACGCTCTAATTCTTCAACAGTTGATTTGGCAGCTTCTTGAGTTTTGGTCATTTCTTCCTCCGTTACCGGCTCAACAAAAAAGTATGTAAGAGGCACCTTTGTTGGGCGAGTCTCCACATGCAGTCGGAGCGTTCGTGCTGGGAAACGTTTGGTAGCTCTGTCCATGAGCTCATTCAAAAGTGTAACGCTAATTTTGAATTCTTGGTCGCCGACTCGGCGATCATTAGTCCCGTGAAGAGCCACATCCATTTCATCCAAGCTGATGTACTGGAACCCAAATATTCGCTGTGTGTTGTGATATGCGACGAAGATGCCATCCATGCGGCCCATTCGCACTTGCAGAGAGTATTTCAAAAACACCGTTCTGACCATATCGTAATACTCGCGCTCAAAAGACTCCCACTGACCAAACCGATTCTGAATTTCGTAGCCTGCCCCTTTCTCGTATCCCCGGACATCCATTCTGACGGCAACAACTGCTCGTGTTTTCAGGTCGAACATGCCGGAGCCAGGAAGCCTAGGATCATAGGCATCAAGCTGTGACCGCATCATGAAGTCTCCCAAAGTAGTATAGTGGAATGAGTCCTCTGCGTTTCTCTCTTCCTCTGTCAGCTGATGAGACCTTGATCTCCTATATTTTTCGAATTCCTCTTTTGGCAGCGTAAGAAGTTTTTCCATGGATTTTCCAAGCGAGCTGAGGATATTTTCCGTGTCATATTCTTTGTCAGAGTCAAATGCATAGACTCCATCATTGAAGTGCGCAAAAGCGGCAGCAGGGCCACGACTTAAAGCGGTAAAGTTGTAAGATTCCGGCTCTAGTGATCGTGACAAGTACGCAAAATTAGGTTTTCTCCAAGCTGAGAGGAGAAAGTGAAAATGAGATAAAATTGAAGTCATGCTTGATGTTGAGCCGCAGTATTTCATGCCGTGAGCAGCACTGAGCTGTCTCAACTTTACGTCTTTGGATGAGGTGACATAGCTCCTTAGTGCATCGAAATCGAACTCCTTCACCGGCATGATGGAAGCCAGATAAGGATCGAAATTGAAGACGCGGGATCGGTCATCCTGCATGTGGTAGACTCCTGGGTTGAACAATACTCGATCAAGGTTATGGGAGAGTTGCGGCACTGGTAGCAAGGCGTCCTCTTCAACTGGGCACAGCTTCAGATGTTGGGGCCTTATGGTCTTGACATCCAAGTTCGATTTGCCCTTTGTTTTTTTGCCCTTTGTTAATTTTTTGGCTAAAGAGGACTTCCCAGGAGGTAATTCTTCGGGAGCCGCTGGTGTCTCAGCATAACGAGCGATCAAATCATCCTCAATTTCCTCTTCATGCTCTGTTCCTTCAACGTCATTTTCTCGCCTTTTCCTTGGATTTGAAGATGAGCTCGAGGCTTGAAGGCGGGATTTTAATGAAGTCCATAAGCCTGCAGATGGCGGTATCACTGCATTATGCGATTCTCCCTTGCCTTTCGGGACTCCATTCTCAGGGCTCAAAGCGAACTTTCCAGGTTCAGCAGAGCTGGGCTGCTTATTCTTGGTTGGCTTTTTACTTTTTGGTTTCTCTGAAGGGTCTTTGCGAGATTTGGTGCTCAAAGAGCTCTGTCGGCGCTTTGCTCTGGCTCTACTTCGTCCTGCTTTGCCATCTACCACTTGGGTGGTTGTGAAAGATTTTAAACTGATCTTGATCAGAGGCTGTGGCTGGCGGAGCGCCCAGAGGGTAGCACGTTGGGCCAGTGGTCTGGCACGAAGAAATGGCTGAATCATCTCAAATTGTGAGACGACGACATGCTGTTATAAAGACAGCATAGAGTAGGTTTTCTTAGATTGAAGGAGGATATCCCTGGCAAACCAAACCATCAAGTTCATGATTGAAGTACAAGGGTACATCATACATAGAGTTTTGCTTATCGATAAAAGATGCCGGCGCTCTCGGCAATACAACGGAAGAGCCAGGCCCTCATGTCACTGCTTAGCGGGCGGCAGCTTGCCGTTTGCGTGCGCCACACGCAATCCGCTTTGTGGTGCTGGCACTGATGACGAACTCCCCTGCGACAGCTTCATCGCGGATCTTAAGCAGCACCAGTCGGTTGGTACGTCATACGAAAACAGTCAGCAGGGCTCGAGGCCTTCAGCTGCAAAGATGGGTGCCAGCGACTCCAAAATAGGATTCAAGCAGGGGATATTCAGACTTTCAGAGGAGCGGAATATTGCGGCGCATGACCCGTATTGGACCTCAGTGCGTGATGCCCTTGATCTCACATGCCACCCAGAAGCTGATGGGGTTATAGTTCTGGGAACTTCCCGAGTCGTCTGAGGATGTGTTTAGCCTCTTCTCGCCCAACGATATCCGTCGAACCCGTGACAATGCCCTAGAGAACATCGAAACCCTGATTATAGCCTTGACAACGCGGATCTTCAATTTACGTCACCATCCATCCTTTCCAGACGTCGACAGCGCTCCCGAACGAGACATTCTAAACTGCATTAGAGTCTTGACCCGAATACTTCCATACTTGTACGAAAAAGACAGTTTGGGGTCATGGGAAGAGCGGTTCTTCTGGACCCCACGAAAGATAAAGCGTCGAAGTTCAAATGCAGCTGAAGTGCTGTTTGATGAAGCCCAGGGCGGAAAAGAGGCGCCGCGGCCTGCAGCAGAAAAGCATGAAGAGCTAAGGCCTCTGGCTGAGGAGTTGTTGGATACGCTGATTGACCTCCTATTCTTCTCGGATTTCACATTGCCTCGCCAGCCAGATGGGCAGCCCAAGGTCTCATATGCCATATGGCAGAGCGGGGTTGGATGCAACACAGCTCTTGCAACGACAAAGGAATTTGAAAGCAACCGATGCGAAATTCTAAGGCTAATTATGACTTTTGCTGGTCAAAGCATGTACATGACCCCAGCGGTGCTTCCGCAGAGGGGAGTTCGGACTCTGACTTACCTCTGCACATCTTCCGACAAGCAAATGGTGCTTTCAGTGCTCTGTTCTCTTCTAAACACCGTGAGTACCTTGTTTTTATCTTCAGAGAGATCCCAGAGCTAACAGCTCCACCTGCAGACCTTGAAGTACAATCCAGCAAGCTGGCGCGTACCATATAATACTTTAGTCTTCAAGGACACCAAGCAGGTGCTTGTGACTTACTCCATTCACACCCTATTGGCCATGCTCATATACCCCATACCTGAAGACGCTTCTTCAACCTCCCACAAGAACTACTATCGTCATTTCCTCGGCAGAATACATCGCCCCCAAGACTTCCAGTTCATCGTTGATGGGATGACGCGGATACTCAACCAACCACTTCAGGAGAAAAGTTCATATCTGCCTACCTCTCAACCTTCTTCAAACCTAGCTCCAGAAGTTCTAATGCTTTTCTGGGAGCTGACTCAATGCAACAAACGATTTCGGTCCTTCATCATTGAAACTGATAGGGCACACGACTTTGTTGTGTTAGCCCTGTTCTATGCTTTGGAGTACAAAAATGAGCCCTCCAAGCAGGGCGTGGTGCGCATGTGCGTTTTTCTCTTGCAGACGTTGAGTGTGGAACAAAGCTTTGGTTCTCACCTCAACAAGTCATTCGAAGGCCAGGAAAGCCTTCCCGCAAGCATAAGGATTAATGGGTTCAGTGGCACCTATGCCGACTTCCTTTTGCACTCCATTTACACATTGATTACTACAAGCCAAAGCAACTTTGCTCCCGTCTATCCCGCCCTCCTGGCAATAATTAACAACATAGCTCCACACATCGAGGGCCTGAGTACCTCCAGCAGTTCTCAGCTCATGCATCTCTTTTCATCAATGTCGTCGCCATCATTTTTGCTTGCCAACGAGACCAACCATGGCCTTTTACACTCTCTGCTGGATTCCATCAACTCAATAATTGAAAACAAATACCGCGAGAATCCCGAGCTGATATTGGCCATTCTGAAAAATAAGAAGCGCATTGAGGCACTCAGAACATTCACTTTGGAAAGCGGGCAAGAGGAGATTGAGAAGATCAACAGGAGAAGGAAAGACTCTGGAGGTCACGTCGGACCTTTTGATGATGGGTCTCGACGAAGCTCTGTGGATAGTCTACGAAGTCCGACCAATGCTTTATCCAGAACCCAGTCGTTGGAAGAGACCCCCGAAGATAGCGCATTTGCCATTGGAGATGACGACGACGACGACAATGACGAAGACGTCGACAATGATGACAGCGAAGAAGAGCCTCAGCCAACCCCAGCGGCGTCAACCGCTAGCGAAAATCCATCTCAGGCGTCCTCTACAACCAATGTCGAAGACGCGGTACCTGTACAGATGCGAGGAATGTCAGAGAAGGCACGAGGGAAAATGCCAGCTAACATCCAATCTTTCTCTCGGCAGAATAGCTCAACAAGCCTAGGGGCATACTCCACTGCAAATCAGGCGTATGGGGGTAACTTTGAGCCGACAGCGCCGTGGATCGACAGTTGGTTGCCTGAGTTACCTCTCCATACCGTTCTGTCCATTATTCAACAGGCAGCGAGCCTTCTTCCACGGCAAGTATCCGCTCGAGATGCGACACCAGAGACTCTACGTTGGATTCAAAAGATGGAATTTGTTGGTCTAGAGCCATCTCCCGTCCGGGTTCAGTCGTTTGAGTGGTCTCAATTGGCACTTGGATGGTACGAATCGCTGCTCTGGGGGGTCATCTTTGCCAGCGAGATGCAGATTGCAAAGGGTACTATGGGGATATGGAATGGTACTTCCATCAAGCTCTTCCGAGTCCAGGAGACGGCGGCGGCAGGTCCCACTCTGACCTCACCCAGAGGGGCTGTGGATGCTGTCGGAAGCAATATCGTCTCGCGAATTGGCCAAATCAACCTTCGCGGCGGCGCGGCACCTTCAAATCCTGCACCGAACAGGGGTGGGCCATGATGATATGCTTCCATCGTTTTATTACATTATTTCTACTACGGGAGATACAGCGTGTGAAATGAGCCACGAGTTGTCAAGCGCGAGGTCCAAACGGTATACCATGACGAGCTGCTCTTGCTTGGCATCCCCAGCAAATCTCATCCTGCTCCGTGCGAGGCGCCGCTTGGCCCAATCACGCCCCCTGGATGAGCATATCCCTGCGTGTACTCGGCGAGAAAAGAGGCAAGCAGCACATCAGCTTTTGGCTAGTATTCCCTCCGTTACAGCGCTACTGGGCCAATCAGACAACTTGACGTGGCTGGGAGGGCCTCGTGTTAATATCCGCAATCGTCGACACCTGACGGGCATGGGAGGGGATGCTAGGAAACGAAGGCATACTTGTACATACAACGTATTTGTACGATTGATAACGATGGGCATCAATGTTCTGCGGCTGGGTGTGATGGTTGGGCCGTGCGTCCCCCATGACTCTACCCCAGATGGGTGTACGATGTACGTATTTGAGAGAAATTAATATTGAAGGCAATATGCAAAGTACCTACTAGTAGTATCTACCTACATATAGGAGACTGGGGCTGCGACGTCATCGGCGCCTCGACATGAGTCTCATTACTTTAGCCCTTGAAGGTGCTGGCATGGAGGGAATTGAACCTGTGCACTGATTGATGGCCTACAATTGGAACTTTGTGAATGCGACGTGATGACGGAAGACAGGAGCTGAAACGAGCGATTTGGTCCCTGGATGAGAGGCCACGCTAGAGGCACAAACTGCGCAGTCCCTTAGCCTTCACGTCGGGAGATGATCCCGCGCAAGGATCGGCGATTGCCACTAAGAGGGCTCCCCATCGGATTAGCAGTTGGCAGCTCGAGCTCCCAGCCCAGCCCCAGAATCGAGACGAGGCCGCCGAACAGCGTGGGATGAAGCCGGTTTAGTGAGGGGCCAGGCCACAAGAAGCTGCCAGCCCGTTAGCGCTACCTACCTCTAGCCGCCGTTTTTACCGTGACCTGAACGATGGCCCAGCCGAGCTACAGCTAACCTGTTTTGCCGTGTGCTGTTGCTGCTGTATGCGGCTGAGACAAACAATACGTCGTTTTGCGTTTTGCGTTTACGAGCTTCCCTTTGCAACCTCGTCTACCTTGGTAGCTGCTGTTCTGCTCGCGAGCCTCTAGTCTCCAGCATACAAATAGCGTCTTGTCTCTTCTCACAGGCGGCCGATGCGATGAATGCGACTCTCAACTAACACCATCAACGAGCTCCCGGCGCGCTGAGGACATCGTCGTCCTTTTACCTCGCCATCATGTCGCAACCCACTCAATCCGCCGAGCCGACAACTCCTGCTGCTGATGGAGAGATCAAAGAATACAAGATTCACGTGAGACTTGAGAAACCTCATTTGGGCTGCTCAGATCTGAGCTCGGGTCCTGACTAACCATCTGCTTGTCTCCTTGCGCAGGCCTCGAGCAAATACCTGGAATTGACGCGGCAGAAGCTCGAGCTAGCCCGGCTGCCTCGCGAGGTTCCCGACGCGAACTCCAAGGCGTGGTGGAATCCGAAGCCCGCGCTGGAGCCGCTCATTGACTTTTGGTAAGTATGCGCGACGCGCGCAGTAGCCTCCAGCTTTTGAAGTTTGGGAACGTAGCAGTTAATGGAAAGTCGCTAGGCTTGAGCACTTTGCCTGGAAGGAACATGAAAGTGAAATCAATGAGTCGGTTCCCCAGTTCAGAATCAGCATCCAGACATCTGCCACTGAAGGCCCGACGCGGATGCACTTCATCCATGCGCGGTCGCGCCATCCCAATCCTGTGCCTCTGCTGCTGATACCTCCGTTCCCTTTTACCAACCTGTCCTTTCGGCACATCACCGACATCTTCGCCAATCCCAATGACCCAGACGTCGACCAGCCCTTTCACTTTGTTATGCCGTCCCTTCCTGGGCTGGGCTTCAGCGATCCTCTGCCCAGTAGCGTGCATACAGTTTCCAAAACGGCTGAGATGCTTGACACCCTCATGAAGCAACTGGGATACAGGTACTACATTGCGAGTAATTCCGGATCGTCTATTACTCCCAAAGGCAGTATTGACTGGAAAATCATCAACCACTTGGCCGCTAGTTACCCAGGGTCGTGCCTGGGCGTTCATTTGGTATCGCCGCCATGGAAAGCGCCCGAGGCGCGGAAGAATCCCGTCGAGTGGCTGAAACTGACAGTGGCAAAGTCTCTAAAGGCTGGGATTCTGGGCTATACAAAGGAGGACATAGCATCGCTTCGGACAAGTGATCGACAAAGGGCAAAGAAGAAGGACAGCGACATGACTACCATTGGGGCGTTTGGCGCATATGACCCTAACACGCTCGCTTATGCGCTTTGTGATTCTCCAACGGGACTGCTGGTGTTCTTCCTGACTCTCATTAGGATGCTGGGGTCAGAGAAGGAGTTTACTGCTACGGAGCTCGTCACGATTACCAAGTTAACGTGGCTCCCGGGTCCAGAGGGAGCATTGCGATTATGGGCGGAGAACGATATCTTGGCGAGGGAAGAGGCGGAGCTGAAGCCATCACATAGAGTCAAGGCCGCCATCACGGTATTCTTGACCGACGATGGAGCCAGTCAGGATGGTCCCGACTCGGCGCAGAAGACCGATTCGCTCTCGTCATTCTCTTACGTATGTCCCAACTGGGGCAAGCAGCATTACGATGTAGTCTGGACTGGTCGAATACAGGGGAATCAGGGCCTGTTGGCTTGGGAGCGGCCGCAGATTATTGCAGACGGTGCAAGGAATCTCGCCAAGGCTTTACTCGCGGTGGACAAGAGACTTTATGAGGTTGAGCGCCGCAGAGGAAGGACGGCTTAATTTGAAGTAACCGCTGAAGCTGAGGGGGGCTCATCAATCTTTTCAGGGGATGAAACTTGATATGGGCTGGCCATATTGAAAGGCACAGGCTAGTTTGTAATTGTAAGTTAATTGGCATTTAATAATAAGGATTTGACGGATCGATACGATTTTCGAAGCTTGAATAAGAAGTCGAGGGGTGCTGCCACTTAACGGCTAGATATGATATGTCCATATTGGGGAGCCACTCGAAAGTTGGTGTTGCTTTCTCTGTAAAGTGGCGTCCAAAATATGATGCTCAAACGATTGGAAACTACCTATTTGAGGAAATTATAATAATACGTTAAGAAACATTTTGGACTATTGCAAAGTATAGGTAGCCCTATTGGCTACAGGTACTAAGATAGCAGGAGTGACAACTTGCTCCTATAGCGAACATTGGCCTGGAGCTGGCGGGGCTTGTAGCTGTAGCTGTAGCTGCCACAATGGTCTGTGCGTCCATGTCAACCCAGCCAGTACCAGCCTGCATTACAGAGACCAGACAGACTCAACGGCTTGAACAAGCACCGATCCTAGGTTAAAGCACCAACCTCACCTCGAATCCCCTCCCTGCTGCAACAAAATCACAGCGAGGAGTCTCCCGAATCCAGACCCCGAGCGCATCGACCTTCTTTCCCCAGTACCGACGACAATGATCTCTCGTGGCCGGCCCCTCTGGTGACAATACTCTACGGCCCATCATGTCCAACGGCTACGGCAACTCCATGCGCAATGGCGACGGCTACGGCAACTTTGGGCGGTCGAATGACGACTACGACCCGTTTGGCGACAGTAGAAACAGAATAGACCGGTACAATATCCAGCCTCCGTCATCACAGAGCCTCCGCAGCATGCCGTCGCGGCCGCGCGCCCAGGAGACGAGCGCCGAGAGACAGATTACCCAGGTCTTGGAACACATCAGGGGCGAATGGCCGTCTCTGTGCCGGGAGGACTGCGTGCCTGTCCAGCTGGCGCTCCAGCTGCTGGATAACAGCTCGGTTGGTCGCGCCCACGACTACCGCAGGTTCCAGACGACGCATACGTACCTGCAGGACTCGCTGAAAAACATTGTGCACGAGCATCATCAGGGCTTCAACAGTTCGATCGGTACATTCCACAAGATCCAGAGCAGCATTCAGGTCTCCCAGAAGCGAGTCCGAGCGCTCAAGGAGTCGTTGTCATTGTCAAAAACGAGCCTGTGCGCTACAGATCCAGGACTGAAGATTCTCTCCGAGGAGTCGAAAGCTTACGATGACCTTTTACAAACGCTCAATGAGCTGGACGACCTTCGAGCTGTTCCTGATCAGCTAGAGGCCCGTATCTCCGAGAAACGATTCTTGACGGCGGTCGAGGTGTTGCAAAATGCGCTGCGAAGACTGAGAAAGCCCGAGCTGGATAACATTGGAGCCTTGAGTGACCTCAGAAGCTACCTCGCCAACCAAGAAACTGTCCTCATGGATATCCTAGTGGAAGAACTACATGAGCATCTTTATCTCAAGTCTCCGTATTGTCAACAGAGATGGTCGAGCTTGGCTAAGAACCGAGGCGGAGCCAACGAGGGGAATCACAACGAAGAGAACCCCGTCACCCCTTTCTACCTGATCCTGGACTCGATTGATTTTGAGAGGCCAGTGATAGAAGATCCTATGAAAAACCCAGAGGCGGACACGTTTTATTACGTGACCCTCTTGGTGGAGGCATTGAACAAGCTCGGAAGACTGCAGAATGCTGTAGAAACGTTGAAGAACAGACTGCCTGTTGAGCTGTTCAGTGTTGTTAATGAGACCAACAACGAGGTTGAGCAGCGGCACCCAACTTCGTTCCGGGCGGCTATTGGGAAGCTGGATGGAGTGCAGATATACAGCCCCAGAGAAATCCAGATGCGAGCAGACGTCATTTACGATCTTCTTTGGACACTCTACGGCAAGTTCGAGGCTATCGGAGAAGGGCAGCGTGTGTTCCATGAGTCCATCAAGGCTCTTATCCGCCGCGAAGGTTCTGGCAATAACATTGCTCTGCTCGGCAGTTTCAAGGAGCTTTGGAATCTCTACCAAAACGAGATACGGTCCCTTCTGCACAACTATGTAACAACGGATGCTGATGTTTACCAATTCGATTCTCCTACACCGGGAGTTGGTGCTGGTGGCAAAGATGGCATGCGAGAACACCTATTCAAGTTCTCAGAGACGGATTCCAAATCCACTGAAGTCACTACAGAGTACGAGGCGCTGGAGACTATCATTCAAGCCACCGTTCCCGGCCTGACGGGCGGTTCTCGCAAACAGGGCTCCGACAGCAAGAGGAACAAGTCAACTGCTGATGACGCCGGTTCAAGACGAAGCGCTGCGTATGGTGCAAGTCGGCAGGCATCGGGTCCTTCCAAGTCCTTGGTTGAGCCAAGCGTCTTCAATATGAGTCTGCTCTTACCGCCGACTCTCATCTTCCTGCAGCGGCTCAAAAACATTGTTCCTCCTGGTTCTGATTTGGCCACAAGCACGCTAACCAGCTTCCTCGATAACTTCCTGGTCAATGTATTCCAGCCGCAGCTGGATGAGACTCTTGGAAAGCTGACTGACACCGTCTTTGGTGAGGCCGACTCCTTTTCCCAAGATCCCGCGTGGAGTCAATGCTCTCAGCGGCCGATTTTCAAGGGAACCACTGCCTTCTTCCAAGTGGTCACAGCATTCTGCCGAATGCTTGGCACTATTCCTCCAGATCAAGCTTTGAGCTCTCTCATCGTCACTCAGATGATGAGATATTATGACCGCTGCTTCAGCTGGTTCCAATCACTCGTGACTAAGAGACACGATCAGCCTTCTGATTCGAACAATTTGCGAGCATCGGCCCGCTTTTCTGTGCAATCTGGAAAAGTCAACGAAATCGCAAAGCAACTTTCCGACGAGCTGGATGGCAGCCTGATGAAGGAAGAGGTTCAGCTTCTAATTCAAAAGACAAACGTCCAACGGCTGCAGGCAAATGACGTTATCCAGGACCGAGACACAATATCATCCTTGTGCCTTTTATACAACAGCATGAGGTGGCTGGCTGCGAAGATTCAGAGCTTGAGGCATATAACAGCGCATGAGACGGACTCGTCACGGCAGCATCTCCCACGCCAATCAGGCCAGCGGTGGGCGTTGAGTGATCCTAGTAAGGCTACAAACCAGAATCAAGTGCAGCTTCCTCTTACGGAAGAGTCAGCTCAGTAAGTTATCCATGATGATACCATAATCTAATATTCAACGCCGTCCGCTAATAAATCTCGATAGAAACTTTGACAACATTGTGTCGTCTTTTGAAGAGCTGGCTGCAACAGCTCTGTTGACCTTGCACATGGAAGTGCGTTGTCGGGTGATTTATGGGCTGCGAAACACTCTGTCGCCAGACTTGGCGCCATATATCCTTGAGCAGGACGTGAGAGAGCCGGATCCCCAAATCATCAGTCTCAACCAAGAGCTGATTGTTTTGGATGAGACAATTGTGCAATTCTTGAGAGAGAAGGAAGTCTTATTCATACGCACTGGGCTTGGCATCCTGATCAACACCTTCTTGGTTAAGAATGCCACTCTAGCGTCTCCCATGAACGACAAGGGATGTCAGCGCATGCAGCTCAACATTCTCGTTCTTCAGCAAAACCTCAAAAACGTCGAAGACGGAACTGACCTGGCAAAGGCCGCAAGCTACTTTTCACTCTTCGAACGGGGTGCAGACGCCATTATTGAGAAGGCAAGAGAGTACAAGGACAGGCATGGGATGGGAACGCTTTCCATTGACCCCAACAGCTTCTCGTATGACGAGCTCAAGGCTTTGATTGAGCTCTGCTACAGCGAGCAGATGGCGAATCCGGAGAGGGGCATCACGTCAGCTGCCAGGAGGCAGCTGGATGATAAGTTTGCGAGGTTGAGTGAGTTTAAGTGGGATTAATAGCATTAGAAGTGGCGTAATGAGTTATTTGTAGATGTTATGAGGATGAGTATGGTAGATGTGAGCGCTGGGGGTATTTTTATATGGTTGATCATAGTTATGCGCTTGTCGATGTTAAACGGTGGTGCTTTCTATATCAAGATTTTGGAGAACTAGATTCAAGCCGGGTATTAATCATGAGGACTATATCATATATTGAGCATACCTAGGTAGTTGGTAGTCGAGTGGTATTGACGATCAGATTATCTTCTCAGCGAATGTTGCCTTTCTTGCATATAAAATACATGCGGTTTTTGAAGGCAACCTTGGTTACAAACGCCGTCAAACAGGTAAAAGAGGGAGTTTTAAAAAATTGAAACATGAACAAGGGGTATCAAAGAAAACATCATGTCCTGGGATGCCTCATATTTGCCAACACCCTTGCGAGCAGCTCCTCCCGGGTATCCCTCTTATGCGGGAAGAGGTTTCTCTAGAAACAGAGGACCAGATTAGCCTACCATTTCACATTTTATTTCTTTAATAGAAGAATTAGGAAATCTTACTGCCTTTAGCCATCTTCGCATCTCTTCTCTGGTCCAGGTTTCTGGATCGCCTTTGGGGTCATCTTGAGCTGGGAAAATGTCGCCGCCAAAGATGGTCCAAGCTGCTGCTGCGGTCACGACAGCTCCGAAGCCTTTATTGGTTGTTAGACTAAAGCTGGGGTTAAGCCAGAAGTTTATTTCATCATGGACATACCGAGCAGTAAATTCTATATGCTGTTAGAAATTGAAGTTTGATGAGCGCCTATCAGTTATTGCAGAGCTTGGCTCACCTTGGATCTCATCGCATTGTCGAGTGGAGTAGACATGGTGGAATGATGTAGGAGTCTGGATCACACACAGAGCTTGTCTTGATCGTGCAAAATTGAAGTTCGTCGAAAATATCCCTGGTAAATATATAAAGCCGAGAGAAGAATCAAAAATGCAAATCTGCCTTGCTTAGCCACTTTGCATTGATGGAATGTGTCCTTGATTCTCGTCCTTCGATGCGAAAGCCACTTAGACCGTCGGCAACACGCACGCTCGTCGCCACAACCACCAGCCACAACCACCAGCCTCAGCCACAGCCTAGATTGTGGCTAGTGCATCTGTTGGTCTGTGCGTCTCACCCCCGCGAAGCGGACGCACAAAAATAATTTGTTGCCAAAAATCCAGCCATACTATCTCCAATCGTAAATTTCGTTACTCTCTGTTGCCCACGAACCCCGTCTCACAGAGCCGATCAAATACCGCCAAAATGCCTAAGGAGGTCGCTGATATCAAGAAGGTGAGGATTTTGATTGAGAAGGAGTTGATTACCTTTCTATTATCAATGTACTGACATCCTGTTTTCTCCAGTTCATCGAGATCTGCCGTCGCAAGGACGCTTCGTGTACGTATTTTCGATGCAGCTAGCTGAAAGGCCGCCCCGGACGAGGAAGAATAAAAACGATATTCGAGAATGAAGCGACAAGATGGAAAGGAGAGGAATTCAATAACTAACTTGCTTTTCTTGCAGCCGCGCGGATCAAGAAGAACAAGAAGGCCCACAACATCAAGTTCAAGGTCCGATGCCAGAAGCACCTCTACACCCTGGTGCTGAAGGACAACGACAAGGCCGAGAAGCTTAAGCAGTCCCTTCCTCCTAGTATGCGCCCCCCGATCTCTTGTTACTCCCTCCCATATTCGATTTCGACGGTATTGGTATCGAAACACGAGAGAAGATGATGGAAAGCTAACATTGTATTTTCAACTACAGACCTGCAGATCGCAGAGGTTTCTAAGAAGAACTAAGAAAATGAATTGGCGGTAAAACGGAGGTGGTGGCATTCGGCGTGAGAAGGGTTTACATGCACAAACTGGGCGTCTCGGGATACCTTGCATTTCATGTGCTCAGAACGCGCGCTCGCAATAGAGCTCAATATAACGATTTGAGACACAAAAAAACAAAACAAAGCAACAATTCGCACACACACCGATTGATGAGTCCGAATGATTATGTGTCCCAGCTGAAAGCCGCCTGATGAAGAGCCACGACGAAGAAGAACAAGGGGAAGAAGGAACGGAAACGGGGACTCAGGTGCTCGGTGATGTGCCCAATTACACAATGTGCTTGAAGCGGCGATGATCCTTCTTGAGGGCAAGGCTCGCCAAGCCTTGTAATCGCTCCTTTAGAACATCGCCCGCCCAGAAGATGACCAGATCCTCTTCCTCTTCAAACGTTTCAATCCTCCAGCCTGCCCATATGCTCTTCTCCTGACCCTCTTTTCGCAATTCGTCTTCCAGTGCTTGATATTTAAGTTGTAGTGCTTCTCGATGATTGCTTTTGACCGTTATGCGGCAGACGTCGAATGTATCGTTGCTGTCCTTGTGTTTGAAGGCCTCGCGCATCTGCGGCCTTTTCCCCGCCGGCTCCATGTGGAACAGCAGGACAGAGTCGGCTCCTGGCGCGGTGAACTCGCTCAGGCTGCCGTTTGCCATCCTGTTCTCGGCGCTCTGGATCCATTCTCCGTGAGCCTCGGGGGAATCCCAAGGCGCTGTGATGAGAAGGGTCGATTGGTTCGTTGCGTCAGTGTACATGCTGCTAACATTGGCGCCGGGATTCAAGTTGTGCGCCTGGTTGTTGCGAACCCAATTGTCCTGAATCTCCTGACACTCCATGAGAGTCTCGAGGAACTCGAGGGTATCGTATTGGCCCCGTAACTTGATGAGGGCAAACTCGGTGACAGGCATGACGGCTAAGTGCGTGTGTGTGGTGTTACAAAGGGAAACAGATATGATTGGATGATGTTATTGAAGTGTGAACTATGGATTTAGGAAAGCTACTGCGAGCAACCGAAGGCCTTTTATCTCATATGAGATGTTTTTTTTTTTTTTTTTTTTTTTTTAAATCTAGGCAATGAGACGGTGACGCTGGCAATCCGTGGCTCCGCGGACAACAGTTGTTTCGAATCTCGAATTATTGGTGTTTGCGTAAGACGGTAACCTAGAATATCCGTGGGAGACAGCAGCTTACAGGGTACCTTGGTAATTTAAACAAAAAGAGGGAGCATGAAGGCATCGCGGCCGCGCAAGCAGCTGCACTTTCCCTTATAGGTGAGTCAATCTCATTTTAGCTCATCCCTCCCCCCCCTCAATAAACTAAGGCTCCGTCGATCAGCCCGAGTTGTCTGGGCAAAAATAAATATTAAGAGGTGGCTTGAGGCGTTTTGTGTCGTCATCACCCCCGCCCTTTTAAGAGGCCGCTGGACGTATCGCAGTGACAGGATGGCGGTGGCACTGAAATCAAAGAGCGATGGGCGCAAACTTGGGTTGGGTCAGGTTCCTCGCAATCTTCCTTTTTTGGCAGGGGGATTTTTTTGACTTTTTTTGTCAAAGGTGGCGTGGGAGGGAGTGGGATGATTATTTTGTCCGCAGCTAATGAGGGAACGGGTGATTGACGCCGGCTGAAAGGTCACATTGACGACGCTACATGAGGAAAGAAATGGGCGTTTAATAAATAGTAGTTTAGAATCGGTGAATGAGAGTCAATTGTAAGTGCGGTGACAATTGAAGACGATATAGCCTGGTATGAGTGTAAGTTTTATAAAGCACTCAGTGGTTCAAATTTCCACGGGGAGCTGCCAAAACAAAAAAGGATATATAACAATGTGAACAATGAAAGCAAAGAATTTTGTGCCATGCCTGTCTATGCGTATAGTAGCGATTTTGAGCATCTCCTGTTGACAAAACTTCCGCTTCTCTTGTGCTGCCTTCTTGACACGGCATATTTACCGAGTGCGCCATGCAGGCCGTTGCTCATTCTGCATAGCAACTTTGGCATTTTGCACGATGAATATAATATCTGAATTGATGGCTCAAACACCAATTATCAAAGATGTTGAGAATTATTTTTGTCTGAACGACTAGCGAATCTTAGTTCTCAGCATCTCGAGACCCTTGCTGAGAGCATAGATGGTGGCTGTCGATTTACATTGCTTTATGAACACAAAATTCACAGACTTCTCTCTTCAATATGAAATGCGCGCTAAATATTCTGAATATTGCAACTAGTTGAAATACCTGTATATTTCGTTATTTCATTTAATCTTCTACGTGTAATGGATAAGATGGGCAGGTTATATCCAGTCAATGCCAGCATACGGCACTTGGTTGCCGAATCTCTAATCAAGAGACTGCGTGCTTGACTGCTGGCTAGTTCCATTGGTCACTTAGCCCGAAGGTGGCATATCTATTGTGCATTTACCCAATATAACGTCTATTCCGGGCATAATACTAACAGTAGTGAGCAGCTGGAAGATTAATCGGAATATATCGACGAATCCAATTCAGCCACGCACCAGCTGTCTGGTCTCACAAATGATTAGCTTCGGCTTAGGATTGTCAGAGTGCGAATACGCAGCGGCATCCGGGAAACAGTGGTAAGAAAAAGTGAAACCGAGAAGATTATAAACACACAAAAAGGTAACTATGTGCACATTAGACTGAGATTAGTCTTGCGCTAATAGTGCTCCTGTTGATGTTTTACACGTGTATATTTATTTTGCAGTCTCGCCTTTTTTGGCTACCACTTGCCAGGATTCACCCCACTTGCCCTGTTCCAGCAATGTCCAGGGCTAAAAGGCCAACCAATTGTCTCTACTAGTAGTAGAGCGCCCACCACCAGCGAAATTTCTTCCAATTGGGGCTTCATCATTACTGTGCGGCGCTGAGACAGCTGGGACTTGGTGGCGGCTGGCTAATGCAGGCGTGATCGTGGGTGCAACCGTATCCGACACCAATGTGTACAATCTGCGCATTCGTATCTGGCGGATCTGTTGGAGGAGGTCGTGGTATCTGGTCGATTGACTGTGGGATTTTCACAGGATGTCCCGTATGACAGAATGTGCAAATGCCAGATTACAATCTAGATACTGTAGCAACTGATCGGACCTCTGTTCGAATCAAATAGCGGTGCAGCAAGGAATAAGATGCATCAGTTGGCCTTTATCATGTTACTGATGATTGTTCCCGTTTTTGGGGCAGTTGGAGATCAATAGCCGCTAAATTCCATCGTGCGGGGACTTCCTTTCAGGAAAGGCTTGGGCCGCTTTGACTTTGGCCATCCCAAAAAGCTTGGCCCCAGATCCTTTTGGCGTAGGGGGGCAGCCGACAGACCAGCAAGCAGCCTTGTACTTCCACGTCGAGAAGCTGTGCTGTACAAAGTCTCTGCATCACCCATCCTGCGGCCAGACAGCCTCGAGCTTCTCCTCTTCACGCCTCTTTTCACACGAACACACGTATATAACAGCTCAGCATTGGCATATTCTGACCGCCGCGCATCTACGACGACGATCTTCTAGAGGCGACCTCTGCCCCTCGCGCCTCGAGCACCCCTGCCCTGACAATCAGGTAGCAGCTCCAAACTGTCATGACATTGCAGCGTCCGACGCCAGCAGACGAGCCGTTCAAAGTTGCCAAAGCAGTCCAAATGGCCGACGCTGCAGAGACCAACGGGAGCGTGTCCCCAGTCAATGGCAATGGCCACCACCGCACTCTGTCGCAGCGCAGGGCATCTGCCCCCATGGCGCCGCCCTTTATGGTTTCTGCGCCGGGCAAGGTGATTGTCTTTGGAGAACACTCCGTTGTATATGGCAAGGTGCGTTGGATGTTGAGACACATGCAATCTTTCAAGCAATTCATCAATCGCTAACTGGTCATGTTCTTGCCGTGTAGCCTGCCATCGCCGCCGCCATTTCGCTACGATCCTACCTCCACGTCACAACGCTGTCCAAGTCAAAGCATACCGTCTCGCTTCGCTTCCCCGACATTGATCTCACTCACTCCTGGGATATCGATAATCTCCCCTGGGCCCAGTTCCAGCACCCAGACAAGAAAAAGTCATACTTTTCTTTGGTCACGCAGCTGGACCCCGAGTTATTGGCTGCCCTGCAGCCGCACATTGACGAAGTCTCTCCAGACCGGCCAGAAGAGATTCGAAAAGTTCACCGGAACTCTGTCACAGCATTCCTCTATCTCTTCCTTTCTCTTGGGTCGCCACGATTCCCAGGATGCCTCTACACTCTGCGCTCCACAATTCCTATTTCAGCTGGATTGGGCAGCAGCGCTTCTATATCTGTCTGTCTAGCTGCGGCTCTGCTGCTTCAGCTGCGGACGCTTTCTGGTCCTCACCCCGACCAGCCGTCAGAAGAAGCGCGCGTTCAGGTTGAGCGAATCAACCGTTGGGCCTTTGTGTCTGAGATGTGTATTCATGGGAACCCTTCAGGAGTTGATAACACTGTGGCGACCCAAGGCAAGGCGGTAGTCTTCCAGCGAACAGATTACAACAAGCCACCATCTGTGCGCCCACTATGGGACTTCCCCGAACTACCACTGCTGCTTGTAGACACGAAACAGGCCAAATCAACGGCAGTTGAGGTGGGCAAGATTGGAAAGCTGAACAAGACACACCCCAAGATTATTGGCCCAATCCTCGAGGCCATGCGCCACATCACAGATACTGCCTCTCAATTGATCGAGGACAAGGATTTCAATCCAAAAGACGAGGAAAGCCTACGGAGACTGGGTGAGCTCATGGCTGTCAACCACGGCCTATTGAATGCTCTGAGCGTATCACACCCCCGGCTGGAGAGAGTGCGTGAGTTGATAGACCACGAGGGCATCGGCTGGACAAAGCTCACTGGCGCTGGCGGTGGCGGCTGCTCCATCACTCTGCTCAAGCCCAATGTGCCGGGAGAGAAACTTGCCAAGCTAGACAGCCAATTTGAGGCCGAAGGCTACGAAAAGTACGGCACTACTCTGGGTGGTGACGGCGTGGGAGTCCTGTGGCCCGCCGTACTGAAGAACGGCACCGAGGAAGACGAAGAAGGCGGCATGGAAATTGACGTGGACAAGTTCCTCAACGCGCAGGGCACTGAGGGCGTAGAGCAGCTCGTCGGTGTCCACGGCGATGGTGGTGAGCGAGAAGGATGGAAATTCTGGCGAGTGGAGAGCGAGTAGCCAAGCCAAGCCAAGCCAAGCCCCGTATAATATCGAAGCTCGGAGGCTATGGTGTGGTCTGGCATTGGATTAATATCATGGTAGCAGACAGAACATGTGCGGGAAGAGGTTCAGTAGCACTGCTTTTCAACGCATGAGCATTGGGACGCTGCAGTGGCGTTTGAGGAACTCTTTTTTTTCCTTTCTTTTCCATTCTTTTTCTTTTTCGCTGTATGATATAACAAAAATCAATTCTAATTATAGTTCTAGATACAATAGATTTAACGCATTTGATGACTTGATGTTTTGTCTCTGACAGTAGAACACATTGTATAAAGACCACCAGCCACTACTCATAAGATTAAATCCAGGTTATATATAGGCCACTCTATTTATTTCAGCTCTGACAGCCGGTACTTCCAATATCCTTCCCGCACAGGGTCCCACTTCTCTGATAGTTCTACCAGACATAGCTTGGCTTTTTCAATTTCGCCCTGCTTGTGGTAAACTTCTGACATGAGGTCCAACGCATGCGAGCTCGTGACCTCCTCGTCCTCGGCGCCCAGATTAGAAAAGAACTGCGAGGCAAAATCTCCCACTGTATCCAGTCCGCGGCCACCTTTCGCCAAGACTCCGCGCAAGTACAGCCAAGAAGACTGATTCTGCGGCGCAAGCTTGATCTTCTCCTCTGCGTACGCAATCTCCCTATCAAGAATGGCGCCTGGCACCTTGGGATCATACTCCGTAGCAGCGCTGCCCTTTGTGGAATGGGACGGGTCCGAGAAGACGATGAAGAAGCGGTGCGACCACGCCGAGTTGTTGCGCAGGTCATCCTCAATCATGCTCTGCGTGGTGGCGAGCTCAAAGGGGCTCCAGTAGTTGAGCTTCGTGATGAGGTACTGGCGGTACGACCACACATGGTAGTTCTTGGTGTCCTTGGCGAGGATCTTGGAGATGAAGTCGGTCTCGGATTTGGCAAACTGCTTGGCGGCCTCGGCGTCGGAGCTGAGCGTGTTGGCGAAGTGGTGGTCGAGGAGCAGCTGGCGGTGGTGCCAGATTTGGTAGTTCTTGAGGTGGTTCAGGGCAACGTCGTTGAGCCACTGGATTTCATCCGTGATGGAGAGCTTGAGGGCGGAGACGATTTTGAAGCGGTAGAGCCAGACGGTGTAGTGGCCTGGGTTCATGGCGATGACATGCTCTGTGAGGCGGAGGCAGCGAGGGGAGTATTCTTCGGAGGCCATGACGGCGCGGAGGTAAGAGACGGCTGGAGATGATGATGTTAGCTGAATATGCCTTCAACTTCCTCTCATATTATGCATTCTAGAGGTTTGTATGGTCATACCCTCAGCATAGTCGTCGGTATAGGCAATCCTCGCCAAGGCATCCTGAGGCTCTTCCTGCGGAATGGGAATCACATCGTCCCACTCCGGGTCGTTGCCAAGCGGTCCGGGAATCTCCCCGTAGAGCTCTCTCTTCAATGCCGCCATCTCTTGCCGCCTCTTCTTTTCCTGATCGATATCCTCCTGTGGGAGCTCGGCGCCTTTGCTGCGAGCGGCTTCCCTCTTGAGCAGAAACTGTCGATGGAGGACGGTGAGCGCAGTCAGCTTAGCCTGGCTCAGCGATCGCTTCTTGAGCTCTTCGAATCTGTAGGTGCCAACGTCGCGGCCGTGCTTGTCTGTTCCCCAACTGTAGTTGTTCTTGAGGCGGCGGCAGGGGAGGCCTTCTTTGGTGACCTGCTTCCAGTACTCGCGGTCGGTCTTGTTCGAGAGCGATACCTGGCGGTTTGCGACGGGGAGGATCAGCCTCGAGTGGGTGTACGTCTTCTTTTCTGCCGGCGTCAGGCCAGGGAAGCCGACTTCTTCGAAGCGGCGCTCGACGGGGTTGGTCTGGTAGTAGCGCTGCTTGGACCGCTCGCCAACAGTCACTGGGGGGGCATCAGTCGTAGCTGTAGAGGACAAGAGAGCTGGTGTTAGCTGGCGGATTGCTGTGGCGTGTAGACTATAGCATCCAATCACGCTGGGTGCGGGAGAACAATCGGTTCATGCTTGCCTTTGGGCTCTGGGTTGGCGGCCTTTGCAGTGGCCTTTGGCTTAGGCGGCATGTTGGATGCTGCGAGGTGTAAATGCCAATGGCGGGGCTTTTTTTTTCTGAGCTGGAGCTCCAGATAATGCTGTCGCCGCGATGGGTCCGGACCAAATAGCGGCGTGGCGCCGTAAGAACAATAAGAACAATCAGATGCGGGAAGCGTTCAACTTTGCATTTATCGTTTGCATTGTGTACAAATTTGGGGTATGTACTGTAACACAATAATATCCATAGAAACTGCATAATAAAACCATCAAAAATTCACCAATTGATGCAGTACCTGGCGACCGACATGAGTGTCCGCTTTGTCAATGTAAAGTCTCTCTCCGCACAAACCATTATGCAAATCTGTGGCTGGTACAGTGCGTACTGTCCTAAGACTCCCGTCCGTTTTTGGTTTCTAGATAAAATGCCATTTCTGGCGCCTAGTTGCTGCTACTGCCGCCATTATCTTATTAATGGACTTGCAGTATAGCAGAAGTGATGTAACTGCAGCTCTATATATCATTGCTGAAAGTCTACTAGGTATTTTAGCAGCTAAGAATTGACATGACTTTGAAGGCGGAGCATACAGAGAGAAAGAAAATCGTGATGCCCGCTCAAAGCGTTCATAGTGGTGAGCAAAGCTGCTGCACTGATCGAAGCCATCTTGTTCGAACGAAGCCGCCTATTTTGATCGAAGCCATCTTATCGGGCGTCATAACGTGGCGAAAACGACCATTGCAGTACACTTAAAAAGAGCTATGAAAACACCAAAAGAACAGGTATATTAACATCGCGAGGGCGGTAAAAGATCCTGCCTTGACCAATTGCCACTCGAATTAGTTTTAAACTCCATTCAGCGTTGTTTTTTTCAGCCCATTAATAGGAGCAAAGCTGCAAGTGCGATTTTCTCCGGTTGGCACCTACGCAAATCTGCTTCGCAGCTTTGCTCAACAAGTATAAGTCAAAAGCGTGAAGTAGAACACAGCAAATTTTACAACTTCTATAAAGCATATACTCTACTATATACTCCAATAGTAATGTAACTTGGGTAAAAAAGCACCGCTAAGCTAGTACCTAATTGACAAGTTGGTAATGTTGACTAACTGCACCTAAGCCATCTTTAGAGTAGAGGGCAAGGAAATGGGTTTGGTTAAGGGTATAGAGCCCAGGCCAATGTGAACGGGCATCGCCCGTGATAGTAGCTAGGCCCCATGTTTGACCTCCGTCTACACTAGTAACAACTTTCATTTGGGCTCCGTCATAACCGCTGCCAGGGATTCCGGCCACATCCTCATCTGTCATGAAGCTTGTAACAAGAGTACCACCAACATTCATAACTTGAGGAGCTCCGGCACCGGCCCCGTTTCTTGCTGTGTATAAGCGCCCTCGCTGTCCCCAAGAGTTACCGTCGTCATGAGATAGAACATAGTCAACGGTAAAGGGGCCGGATTCCGTATTCTCAAAGACAGCACTAGAAAAGTAATATCGTTAGGCGATGATCACACATTCCTAAACAGGGTTAAACAGCTTACATTAAGTTGCCAGAGTTATCAATATTTGCAACACCAATCATTCCATCGCGTGATGTGCGGTCACCTCCAGAGATCTTGGTCCAGCCTGACCAAGTTATTCCTCCGTCTATTGAACGCTTCATATAGCCGTCCTGATCTACCGCACTATTCTCGGCGGAGTAATAACATTGCAGTGACCCATCCGCGGCAACACGCAGAAAAGGTTCCCAGAGGCCATTAGGGTTATTTGGAGTGGCTGCTTGCTGCTCTATGGTCGATGCATAGACAAAGTTCTTACCACCGTCATCGGAATAACACAGAGTTAGTCGGTAGTATGTAAAAGTGTTCCCTGTGCGGTCATGGTTGCGGAAGGCATATACAATGCGTCCACTGGGAAGCTGCAAAGGCATAGCGTTATCAACATCATGCGTAGATGTATCAACACGCCAGACTTCACCAATAAAATTCCATGAAGAACCACTATTGTCAGATTGAGCAAGACGAAGAATACTCTGACCGTTTTCATGCGCAGTATAACCAGCTATTAAACCTCCAGTTTTAAGAGGGCTTGCCCGGATGTATATGCCATTCGCATCAATAACAACTGGTGAGCCAGCCTGAACCACATTTCCAGGTGACCTTTGCTCAATGCTAGTAGTAATAGGATTACTTAGAACCGTAACAGGAATAAGCAGAGCAGAAAATAGTTTATAGAGAAACATGATTGCTAAGTATTAGTGATTAGTGATTTAACTATAGATAATGAAAGAAAGGGAGCTGTTATTTATAATTCATGAAAATACTGTATATATTCAAAGTAATAGAGTTAATTTAAGGGATGCCTCTATGATATCATCCTACAGCTTCTATTCCTAGTATAGCCAAGCAAACAATAGACAAAAAACAGAGACCGCAAAATGAATATGCGCGTAATCCGCTATAATATGCACATCTTTTTCACAGAAAGAAGTTCGAGATTGTATGTGTATAATTTTAGCTTGGGTGTTCAAAATCTTCTTATTCCCTGTTTTTCTGTCGACCGCTTGCCTAGCAATAATCCCCGCTAAAGGATGCTCCTTTCAATTCTTTTAGGAAGCTCCGAGGGCTTTTTAACTGGCTACTTCGTAAGAAGAATACATTTCTCCGAAAATATTGCGTGTTGTTCCTGCAATTAACTACTCGGACCGAATATTCCTCGCGAACACTTGCCTTGTGAGGGATCACGATGGAACAAAGGATCAACGAGCAAAGCAAAGCGAATGAGAACAAACACAACAACTAAAGGCACTGACACTCAAAGGTGCACTATGTGACTATGACTGGAAACTACTAATGATGATGAAGAGAAGAATTAAGCTAGTGACAGGCAGAGGGAACCATAAGGCGTGCTGCAGTGGGTTGCGTGACATGCCTCTAGCAACTGGAAGATAACTTCTACTTGAAGACCATCATTATCCAGAATGTGTTCCTAGCCTAGAATGTGTACTAGAAACAGCCAGTAGAGTGCAAAGTTATGCCAAGAGCCTCTATGTTATATTTCCCAAGCATGGCTATTATATTGCCATAGTTAACTTATGTTTGACCGCCTAAACGTGTGTGGCTTTTGGCAAAAAAGTGGTTTTCTGGGAAATCGCATGATATAGTCGTTCACTTTCTCCCAAGTCTTGCCCAAGTCAGCTTCGTCTCAAAAAGCAAATCAGTCCTCTGCTGGCTCCTGAGTGCGGACAAATGCATTCGGGGCAAAAGCTTTTTACTTTATTACGCCTGTAGTTATAGTAGAATATAGCTAGCCATTACTTGTACTTGTTTTTTTTTTTTTTTTTTTTTTTTTTTCCAATGATGAAGTCTCGTGTCCTCAATGTGGCCTTGCCTGAATGTATAATGCGCACGCAAGAATTTAGCACTTATAGGTAATAAGAAAAGCCTATTATAGACGCTTCTTGGTGGCATACACTAGCTGACTCTATTGCTGCCTAGATAGCAGCAAATCAACATTACAAATAAAGGTTCATTCCGGCTTGTAGTACAGTAGAAACCGAAATCAGTGTCCGGTTTTCATTATACCGAAAGTCTTTCTGTAGCGTAGTGTGGCTTGTACAGTGTAGACGTCGAGACTCTACGTACATTATTAAACTGGGTCTAGCATTGTCTAGATATGGATTCGGGGTTCTGTTGGCCGGAAGTTGGATCGTTATCTTTTTCTTAGGGCGAGCATTATATTGCATAACTAATTCTATAATTACATGTCAATCTAGAGCCAGAAGTAGATCGTATATTGTAGTAACAGTAAAATGGTAGGTGGGGCCTATTTCTATTTGTAAATAGGATTAGCTCTCAGCGAAAGCCTTCACAACAGCTTTTGCTCCCTCAGGATGCGTCATGAGTCGATCCATCTCCTCACCGGCCTTGATGTGATGTTTGCCGCGTTTCAACATATCCCTCTCATATTCCTCTACCGCCTTATTTATATGCTCCAGTCCGTTTTCTCCAATCTTAGTAACGAGTTCCAAGGCATCCTGCATGGCGAGATTGACACCCTCCCCATTGGGCAACGATAAATGCGCAGCGTCTCCCGCCAAAGTCACACCTGGTACCGAGTTCCAACCAAAGCTTTCTGCAGGAAGTTGATACAGCGGCCAACTGCGGAAATTCTCCGCGTTTCGGATATAATCTCGTAAATCCTCAGCCCAGCCTTGGAAGAAAGAGGACAAAAGCATATCGCGAGTCGCTTGGGGGTTGTTCAAGTCCATCGATGTGCCAACAAAGTGCTCGGGGGCAGTGATGCCAAAATAGATCCTGTATGAGTTATCGCCTTGTCGTTGAATGATCATACGGCTTGGCCCTGCCAGAAATAGAGCTATGCCGTGACCGATTTTGTCCGTCAGCGTCTTGTGCAATAAGCTGCTTTCCTGTATGCGAGTTTCGATAAAGGTACTTCCTGCATATTGTGGCTTCGTAGAGCTGATCTATAACTATTTTGTTAAACGTCCAGCTTTTAATGTCGAGGAAGTGATGACAGCCGTACCGCAGCTCGTACTTTGCTCCAGGCCCCATCCGTCCCGACAACGAGCGAGAATCCACCAACTGTGTTGCCATTGGAAAAATGTAGGACGGGAGACGAGTTGTCACCGTCGAAACTCAACTTTGCCAGACGATGAGACCACACTATTTGGTTTTGCGGGATTGACTCCAGAAGGATGTCTCGTAAGCTCTTGCGGTCAATCTCGGGCTTTCCGCCGGTCTTCAAGCCGTCTTTTCCATCTTCCGCCTCGCCAGTAGCTCGATGCAACAGCTCTCCATAGGAGTCAAAAAAGGTAACCCGATCGTCCTCCCATCTTGCTTTCTGAGCAAAGGCATTGTACAAGCCAGCCTCCCGAAGAGCAAGCTGACCTGTTTCTTTGCGTATATCAAGTGAGCCACTAGAGACTAGTGTCGCCGCTGACTCTTCCTTTTCGTAGACGGTGAAGGGGATATTCTTGCGGTGGAGGAGGCGGGCTAGAGTGAGACCGCAAGGGCCGGCCCCGATGATGGCAATGGCACTCTTCATTGTGCAGTGACAAACACGTCAAGTTTGGGCGAAGAAGGGTTACTGTACGAGTGAAGATTATTCTAAAGCCTGAGTGAAGCATGCTTGATATACTTTTCTTATTCAAGCGGCTCTATATGTCTTATTCAAGTGACTACCTATCTGATGTCCAGCAGGCTTCCGGCCCCACCTTGGGTGATGCGGCACTCGGGGCCGAACCACTCGGGACCGAGTCACCAAGACCCGAACCCACTACGGTCCGAGCCACCGTGCAAATGAAATCTTGATGCCGGCGTGGATGGCCACTCCTACCAGATAGCGTGCAGCCCGACTTGATGGCACATGTGTTGAGTCATCTCATCTCCATCTCTTCATCTCTGTTTCATTAGCATTCTTCACGACAGTACTCAGCGCCGACATCACTACTGACTGTGGATCGGCAGGGAAATAGGGGGTTAGCTTTACAACGACGGATCATACTTTCTCTCCGCCTAATCGGATGCCATGGGAACTGCACGCAATCCACCCTCGAGCGTTCCCAGCAGGCCAACTTTTGCTTGCGTTCGCTGCGCTGGGCGCAAAGTGAAATGTGACAGGCATATACCATGCACCGCGTGTGTCAAACATGGAGCCGAGTGCGTGTTTCAACCTCCGCCGCCTCGGAGAAGACGTCGACCTGGGGCAGCTGGACCTTTGATTGATGGGCGCGAATACCCGCAAACACGCCTTCAAGCGCAAGGCCACAGCCCGAAAGAATCATCCAATCCTCCTGATACTGATTCACGGAGCCATCTGTCGAGTCAGGAAATTCGCGGCTCACAATCGAGCTCATCAGAGCCGAGCGGGAGTGTCAGCAAAACTCAAGTTATCCAAGGACGAGGGCAGTCAATGTTGATTGATAAGTGAGTTCAGACCCCCAGTAATTAAGATGTATTTGCTAAGTCCCCGCGTAGTAGCTTGTGGTCAAGAGTTGTGGAAGAGGTGAGTGTCCTGCCGCGTATCTTGCTTGGGTTGCTTGCTGGGCGCTGACGGTATCACAAGTTTCACGACCCCGAGGATGCTCTGCGGAGGATCTCAGACGACTCGAGTGATGCAGAAACGCTCAATGATGACTTCAGTTTTGTGCTTGGCGGCCCACCGATATCTCGCACCAAACTCCGTCATCCACCGCCACAACAGATACATGAGCTATGGCGCACCTTTGTGGAAAATGTTGATCCTCTCTCCAAAGTTGTGCATATCCCCACATTAGAAAAGGCATTCCATGAAGCTGCAAATGAAGTAGACACGGTCTCGCGGAGCTTTGAGGCACTCATGTTTGCCATCTACAGCGCCGCCGTCATGTCACTGAGCGACGTTGAGTGTGAGGACCGACTTGACGAGCCTCGAAAGCCTCTGCGATCTAGATTAATGACTGCCACAAAGGCAGCATTATCGCGAGCCAACTTCATGAGCACAGCCAGCCTTGTAGTTCTTCAGGCATTAGTCATTCACATCATCTCAGCGCGAGACATGTACGAGCCGCGCGCCCTTTGGACCTTGACAGGTGTGGCGGTTCGCGTTGCCAACGGCATGGGCCTTGATCGCGATGGAACCCTTCTTGGGTTGCCCCCATTTGAAACAGAGCTGCGGCGACGCATCTGGTGGTTTCTGAAAGCGCAAGATCTACATAATGCTGAGCTGTGCGGCCTTCCCAAGTTTCGAGATGTTGGCCTGAGCAGCGACTCCACGAAGCGTCCCACCAACATCAACGACATTGAGCTCTATCCGGGAATGCCTGTCTCGCCGGTGGAGTCGGGAATCTTGACGGACATGACGTTTCTCGCTATAAGATACGACCTGCTCTGGTTTGCCGCCGCCCGCGTTGCCAAGTTTCGTCATCTAGGCAAGAGTCTGAGCCAGTGGGATCAGGATTTCGCATCCGAAGGTGATAAGGCGGAGACGGACCAAAGTGTCAAGGAAATAGAAGAGCATCTGGAGAAAAAATATCTTCGGCGTTGCGATCCTTCGCAGCCGCTGCAGCTCATGTCGATGCTGATGGCACGGGCTGCGATCGACACCATTCGCTTCATGACACACCACCCACGCAGATGGACCAGCATCAACCAGGCGCCGCCATTTGAGCGTCAGTGGATGTGGGAAGTCAGCATCAGGCTTCTGGAGCAGCGCGACATGCTGCAGTCAAACCCCTCGCTGAAGAGGTTTGCGTGGCACGCGGCGTTTACCATGCAATGGCCTGCTTTCATCCACGTGCTCGATAGCCTGCGAGCCAATCCGTCCACGCCGGATGCCGAGAAAGCGTGGAGGCTGATTGCGAACACGTTTGAGAATAACATGAGCATGTTCTCCGACTCGAGAAAGCCCATCCACAGAGCCGTGCGCAGTCTCTGTCTGAAAGCATACGATGCTCGCAGGCTGCAGCGCAATGGTGTTTATGCTCTCCAGACGCCGGCGTTTATTTCGAAGCTACGGCAGCAGCAAGAGGTGGTCAAGATCAAAAGACAAGCCTGCCGTAGGAAAGCCGAGGATGCGTTCCAGTGGGACTCCATCGGCTCAGAGGCCACTACCGCATCGACAGGTCTTGAGCACGGCACGATACCCAACCAGGAAGACGCTGCGGAACACGTGGATGCTGGTGGTCAAAATCAACGATTGGAGCATGTCAATGAGCACGGCAGCGAAGCTGAATATACCTATGCTATACAAAACATGGACCTGGATGCTCTGCTGGCTGGGGACGGCAGCGCAGATCACAGGGCGTATCAAGCTATCAACTGGGAGCAATGGGATCTTTTCCTCGCCGATTCCAAAATCAATTGAGCAATGCTACTGCGAACCCTTTTAACAATTGGGAAAGTGCCAAGGAGTTGCATACTTTTCAGTCATATCAATACAAAGACTTGGTGATGCCATACACTGTGAAAAATAACCATAAAGATAGAAGAGCCGGGTTCTATTAGTTGTGTAACATGTATTATGAAGGAGACGGCAAACTCGTATTTAGAGGGCCAACGTAGATGAAAAACTACAATGCTCAGCTTAATGAGCGTGTTGCTATCCACATTAATCAGGATGCTACAAATGAAATCCCAATCAGATAACAAGGATATAATCTCCCAGAATATTCAATGGCAGATTACGATATAAGCAATGGGGATACGCCAATATATATGCTATATGTATTACTCAGAGATTCCAAAAGTTCTTTTCAAGAACGTATAGCACTCATCTCTGTGTTGGGTAAGTGGTATCGCCTTTTTATGAGAGACATGGTTCGCAAGGTCAACGTGAAATCCCATCGGCCGCTGCCCACAAAGGACCCAATCAAGCGCTGGAAAAACTGCAGCGTACGCCTCAGCCTGTGCGAGCATGCGGTTTCGATGCGCTCTCTCCCAAATCTCAGCCTCAGCTTCACTCTCTTCTTCCTCGTCCTGTTGATTCTCGATCATATCATGCGTATCAACAACTGACGAGGTTTCATCAATATCAAGATCCTCTCGGGCTCTCGCGTCAACGCGCTCACTTTCTCCCGCTAGTCGCAGACTATAGTAATTCTCCACATCTATATGGCTTGATAATGAGATGGGATATGTATCGCGAACTAGGGCTAGCATCTTGAGTCGGCTTAGAGTTCTAAGATGCTGGCGTAGCTTATCGTGGTCTATAAGCCACTGGTTTCTCCACCCAAAATTATTGCCAGCACGAAGACTTAGTCGCTCAAGGGACACAATCGTACCGAGTGTCATGATTGCTGCTTCAGGAATGTGAAAAACATGTGGTGTGGTCAAATCACTCACGCCTTCTCCACCCCATGCTAACGAGAGACAACGAAGATTGTTGAACCCACCTTCTGCTAGGATAGGGACGACAAGGCGGTCCATGTGTGTAGTGTTATGTTCATGTACAAAGAGTTTGTGAACATGTTTGTGCTGTTTAATAAATCCTGCGATATGCATACATGCCTGGCTTTGGGGAGGTAATGTCGGAATTATTAAGCTCTGGAGATCTCGTAATGGCTCGCACGCAACAAGACTTTCCGCAAGCCTTCCCAAAGATGTAGGTAATTCAAGGTGCTTCAGCGGGGACGAAAGCAACAACGAGAACGCGCGAGGGCTTAAAGAAACAGAACCAAGCCGCAAATATCGCAGAAGAGGAAAGGATAGAGGAGAATGGCCCAACGAGATTGTACTCTTTGACCAGAACCCCATATGCTGCCAACTCAACGACTCTAGTGTGGCAGCGCAACGCTGGAAAAGAGTTTCGAAGAAACCAGATATAGGATTTTCCAGCTCTTCAGTCGATGTGTGTTCCTGAACAACTTCCGACTCAAGCTGACCTGCATCCCAGCCGTAAGCCAGCTCGACATCGAAGTCAAGAGAACGAAGAGGCCACAGGGCAGGAGCCAGAGGCGGTTCCATACGCCAAGGTTTATCGAGTTTAACCCTTTGTAACCTGATATGCTGGGCGGAACACCGAGAGACGTGTTTGAGAAAGTTGTCATCTACCGAGAATGGGTCTTTCCAAGTAAAGACCTCAAGATTGGGCATTGCACAGGTAACAACCAATGTCGCAATATTCCGTAGCGTAATGTAATGTGCCTTGGCTGCTTCCTGCAGCTTAGCTCGCTGCTCCTCAGAATATGAACTGGCCCTCTCGCTAAAAATTGAGTTGTGTAGTTCTTCGTAGCATGCCATGACGCACTCAGGACGCGATGCAAAGATAACGCTACGTACACACCTGCCAATAGGGAATGTACGTGTCGTCAGATCTGTTTCACGTAGAGCTTCCTCTGCCAAATGCAGGAGAAGCTGTCGTGATTGATGGCTGTAGTCGAAATGGATCTCAGCAAACTGACAGGAACGGGCGAGATAACGACAGTCGCTGTTTACTAGCGCAAGGCAAGCTAAAGCTGATTTGTCGTCGGCAAGGAAGTCAACTATATCGGCCAGAATCTCGGCGGGCATCTGGAAGAGTCTGCAACGGGATTCACGCTTTCGACCTTGCATGACGATATCCAGTAGAAGACATCGCCTTGTGCCCGCATCTTTGCCAAAATCATCTCTTGCATTGCCGCCAAATGTTCCTATCATCAAAGCGGAAACATCTGAATCCATGGTGACGGGATGATGGCGAAAAGAAAAGAAGCTTATAAGATTGATTTAAAGGTGAAGTAGGAAAGACTCAGTGAATGTTAAATAATCTTTCTCCTTAGGCCCCGTTCTGCCCTCAAGATCGAAATATCCAGTGTGGATTTGGTCACAGTAGCTTTTGGGGAAACAATCGCCTGGTCAATCATTCTAATTTCGAGAAAATGACCCCGAAAGGTTTATATAATTGTGTAGGAACCACCTTTGGTGAGATGATCAAGGTAGGAGAGCGGGGTTACGACCCCCGCACTTGCTCTGTCAGGATTCTATATGGTAGGTAGCTAGGACGGATGCCTACATATATAACCCTATTTCTGCTGGTTGCTGCCATATTGTGTCAGGCATATATGTAAGCTTCAGTAGTAAGCGATGAGTCTTATATGTACATCCTAAAGATGGTGTTATATTAAGCACTTCAAGCGACTCTGGCTCTAAACGATGCATGCTGCATGAACTAGTACCTGAGATAATTACCTTTGTCTCACAATTTCCATTGGCTCAGATTTGATGAGGTTGCGCGTTGAAATGGAGAGTTAGGTAGCCATAGCTAGTATAGGCTGGATCCATTTTCCAGACTGGAAAAGGATTTCGAGAGAAAAGTAAAAGGGCGGGAAGTGGCAAACATAATACAGACAGTGGGCTGGCATATCCAGTTTTAGCTTTATTTATTATGCTCCAGGTTCTTGGGGTATTTGCTTTGTACAAAGCTCAAAGCGTCAAGCTAGTTGTATTCTATAGTCGCGTATTAAAGTTAAGGGTAAAACAGTGACACCTATTTCGCCTTCTACTGTACAAAGACACAACCTACTTCAGTCTGTTAGGAATATTGCTCATCTCTCTTGGGATTGGCTTAAGCAGGTATGCTGATACAGGAACGTCCTAAATTGAACGCTGCTGAAGAATTAATGTTTCATATAGGTAAGAGTAAATATAGGACCACATTGGAGCAAACATCACGACTTGATCAGGCAGGAATATAAAAAGTTGGGTATAGAGATTTTGTTATAATTATAGGTAGCCAAGAGTGAAATAAACCCTCGTAGTTGCTTTTGACATGCTTGGGGTATGTATGACATGACTTCTAACACACAAGCTCTCCGTCTTTTGCACTTGACCAACTATTGTTCATTGCAAATGACCCCCTGTCCAGCCTGAATGAAGAGACAGTATTAGTAAATGCTCGAAAATGATGGGTAATCACCGCATCTGTGTATGAATCAACGTACCAATCCAAGAGTGCAGCAATTGAGCTTGGCGGCGCCATGGCAACCGTCTTCGCCAACTATAGAAAGGAGGAATTATTAGTCACGGGTTTCTTATATAGGTAGTCATATGGAAGGAATAAATATATGGAAAAGAAGCTATACCGTTCGCGCAATCAAGGGCTAGCAGGCCAAGGACATTAACACTGCAACACATGGGACTACTATTGGTCAAGCCGCTGGGGCAGGAATAGGTGCTGCGGGCAACGATGTTGTGAGATTTGGTCTCCGTCACGGGGGCGGCGAGGCCCAATGTAAAGAGAGCGGCAGCAATAAACAGCTTCATTTTGGTGGATTTAAATAAAGAAGAGTCGAATGGTTGAACGTTTCTTGTAATTGTGGTCTTGAGTGTACAGGAGAAGAAGTCTTTGCATTTCGAGATGGAAGAGCTGACTTATATACATGTATCCAAGTCAAGGGATATCTGGCCTGGGATCGTCGCAATCTCGTGTGATAGTTCCGCTGTATTAAATGTCTCGGTCAGTCCCAAATTCCCCTATGATGCACTGATAGTAGATCAACTTTTCATATGGCAACGCACCAGAGATTCTCGTACGGGCCTGTCCATCTCAAATGAGTAGGAAGAAGGGAGAGGCAATAACATCGCCGCTATTCGTATAGTCTGTGAAAGCCATGACTCTTCCGGAAAGGACCATTCAGCTATGCCTCCCTTGCAGCCAGCCTAATGTATTGCAAATTATCTCTTTTGCCCAGATCCAGCCGAGGGAGTATCTTTGCCTACCATGCGGCACAGCTCTCCCGGTTCTTGGATATTGGCCTGTCTGAGACATCAAGCGGGGTCTAATAAGACAAAGTTTCTCAAGCATGATTATCACTCAGTTGAATTATATGACCATACATCGATTGATCCTTCTTGTATCTACATCATTTCATAAATCTCCAACGCCATCACATTTGAACACATATTAGGCATTTATCATGCCTATTGTGAATTTTATGTCTTTATTTTGAGGTTCTATATCCTATCATAATGAATTTCATTCTTTTGCGTGTATCCGTTCTTGAAGAAGCTACAGGCAGCAAATATATCGGCCAAGCTGCTGTGCTTATGATTTTTAGATAAAAGCTCAAGCAAAAGTTAGGCCACCAAGCGGCTACCCCAAAGACCGAGACCACAAAGGATCACACACAAATCTGTATGTGACAAACACAATTGGGGCGGCACCCCTGCTTGCAACGCTCTGCACTGCCCTATTGTATGCATGTACTTATTTTGCGGTCTCTGTCCCTCTGATAACAACTTGGCCACGGCGACCATGCGCCATCCCAGGCTATAGTAATTGTGTGGATAGCCCAGAGCCACGAAACTGTCATTCAGAATATATCATCCGTTCAAATGGTCCCAAGACGATGTTCGAAGTGTGCTCAATCCCTGCGCGTACGAGAGTCTTACCTTGAGATTGGTCTCTCGTAGCGCGTCTTTCAGGTGAAAGAGCACACAGGTCGAACACCGTCTTGAGACCAACCTCAGTTGTATAGTGAATAAATAATCCTGTGCGTGTGTGCGCGTATGTATGGATGTCTCAGTTGTGTCTCGACCGATGTACCGTCTCAATGTTCAACGGCTTTGACAATCGGCTGCAATGTTTAACAGCCAGTTGTCAAAGCTGTTAAACATTGAGATGTTACATCGGTTGAGCGTGTCCACTCTCAAAGAGCGCGGAAGTTTTGCGACATGATGAGCCATCTTTTCAGTCCTCGTGCCGGATTTCGCGCCATCGAGTCCCAGTTGGGGGTCAGCACAAAAGTCTCGTTGAACATCTTCTGTGGTGCCTCCCTCCCCTTGCCGAATCGGACTTTGCCCATGGTCGTGACGACGATGCTCATCTTCCGTCCACTCTTTTCGTTCTTTTCACTCTCGTACACAGTTTCCGGAGCCCCATATTGGAATGAAGGGTTGATAATGTGCGTGTCGAACGACTCTATCTCGTAATGCACATTCTCGCCTTGGGTTTCGAGTAGCTTGGAGTACTCCTCCGGGGTAGGAACGACAGAGCCGTTGATGGAGATGTCGGCTGGGATCGAATATCGAGAGGACGAGTTGATGTAAAAGGTTTCAAGTTTGGCACGGGTGTTTATGGCTTCATAGTAGTTGATGACAAAGATCTCAGCAGCTAAAACGAGGCGTCGTCAGTAATAGAATCCAAAGCTCCGTGAACGTTAAAACGCACCATCGCTGGAAGCTTTAACTTCCGTATCTGCGTCTGGCAACGGCATGATGGTTTTAAAAGAGCTGCTAGTAGCGTTCGTATTGCTTCTGATAGCAACTTTGAGGTGTAGTTCAAGCCCAAGTCGAAGACAGAAAGTTCCAGCCTAGCTCGTCATGACGTGAAGTGCTGCCCCGCAGTTATCTACAGACTACAGTTATCGCCATGCCAATTAACACCATTCACACTGTATCATGCAATTTCACCACCCATCTCTACATCTTGCTCTAAATTATAGCTCGCCGTGGGTGTCGCAACAATGCTGCTCCCATTCAGGTCGCGGGCCCTCCCAGGGCTGCGGCAAGCTCAATCAAGGCTTGCTTTGCGATCTGGCTGGACCTGCTCCAGCTGTCGAACATCTCGGGCTGCCGTGCAACGCTGGAGCAGCTCTCAGAGCTCTGCGGGTCCCTCAAGCGAGAAGCCGTATTATATAACTACGCCAATCTTTTATGTCAATGCTGGTAAATATAATCGAAAATGAGCAACTACTCCCAACGGTTTGGCTAATATGTGATACAAAAGCCCCCCACATTGGTCATTTATATACTATGGTTCTGGCAGATGTCATCAAGCGCTGGCAGCAGATCAAAGGTAAAGAAGCGTTTTTGTGTACGGGAACAGATGAGCATGGAATGAAGATCCAGAGAGCTGCGCTGAAGCATGGAATGGAGCCAAAAGAGTTTTGCGATGGAAACTCAAATAAATTTCGAGAATTGGTGGCGGCTGCCAACATCTCGAATGACTTCTTCATTCGGACAACTGACCAAGAACACAAGGACGCAGTAGCAGAGTTCTGGCTGCGCCTGAAGCATTCCACTCCCGAGAGCTTGGGGCTATATAAAGGCTCCCACGAAGGCTGGTACTGTGTCAGTGATGAGTGCTTCTATCCTGAAGACTTGGTACGACCCAGTATTGCGCCTCAGACTGGAAAGAAGATTATGGTTAGCACTGAGACGGATAACGAGGTGGAATGGATCAAGGAAGAAACCTGGTTCTTCCCATTGACAAAATACAAAGATGCTTTGCTGAAGCTTTACGATGAGAATCCCGGTTGGATCAAGCCTGCGCATCGCATGGCCGAAGCAAGAGAATGGATTGAGAATCATCTTGAAGATCTATCGGTTACAAGGCCGGCTTCTAGGCTCAATTGGGGCGTCTCTGACCCCGAGGATAAGAACCAGACTATATATGTGTGGGTGGACGCTCTCATCAACTACATAACTAAAGCTGGATACGGAAGCAAATGGCACACAGCAAAAGACGACATGGGAATATGGCCTGCCAACCTGCAGGTTATTGGAAAAGACATTCTGCGCTTCCACACAATTTACTGGCCAGCTTTGCTCATGGCTCTTGAGTTGCCTGTCTCAAAGGGCTACCTTTGCCACAACCACTGGACCATGTCCAACCGCAAGATGTCCAAGTCACTGGGCAACGTTGTGAATCCGTTTTTTGCCATTCAGCGATGGGGCATCGATCCCCTGCGATATTTCCTTATGCGCAACGCAACCTTCCACAAAGATATGAGCTACTCTAACCAGATAATTGGTACCGTCTATATGAAAGAGCTGCAGGCAAATATCGGCAATCTCTTCTATAGAATCGCAAAGCCAAAATCATCTGTGAGATGGTCGACTCTGGAAGCTGTGACAGCCTTTCGCAATGGAGAATTGAACAATTGGGTTAAAAAACATGACAAAGATGGTTTCGAGGCAGTCTACTTTAGCTTGGAAAGCCACTTGTCCGAAAGCCCTGAAGCTTTCTGTAAGGAAATGGACGACTATGACACGAGTGCCGCGATCCGAGTAGTTTTCGAGCTTCTGAGAGAGGTATGGTTGACTGCATACACATACATATTTGGAAAGATGCATAAACACTAACGATATGGCAAATTAGACCAACCGCTACGTCTCAGATACCAAGCCTTGGGATCTGGTCAAGAATCAGGATCCAGAATCTCGCGTCCTGCTAAACTGGGTAATCTTCAACAGCGCAGAAGCACTGCGCATTGCTGGCATCTTACTCCAGCCAATCATGCCGACAAAGGCATCAGAGTTGCTGGATGCTCTTGGAGTCCGACCTGATAGACGTACCGTTGAGTTTGCTGCCAAAGGCAAGGATGCCGACTATGGCACTGAGTCTAAGCCCGCAGAGCCAGCGCCTCGTATGAGCAAATGGGATACGATATTCCCTCCAACTGCCAGTGCAGATCTTTCAGATGATGAGCTGCTGGAGCACCTGAGGGTTGCGTTGCTGGATAAGACTAGAAACAAGATGAATCAGATGGCTGAGTTACTGGCCATGGAAGCGCGTATGGGAGAGGAGGCCGTCGCTAAGCTATTGGCCGAGACACATGCTGCCAAAGTTGGCGCACAACAGTCATGAACGTGGAGTAGGAGTTTTGTATAACTTGGCGCCGCTTGTGTGCGCGGCACTGTAAGATATGTATAATATGACCAGGAATTGTAGACTAGATGATACGTCTCCAATTAGTAAATATATATATATTGAATGAAAAAATATGCTATCAAAATAGACTTGCTATTTCTGGTTTGTTTGTGCGGAATATTGCGACTGTTGTTTTTCATTTGTTAGTGGCGTGCCCAAATTCACCTCTTCATTTTGGGCCGATGCGCAGCTTAATACCGCTCTGCTACAAACTTTTCACTCTCTCACATTGAGCCACCTATATAAGCACGACCTACGAGCAGCAACGATTCAGCATGAAAATCAACGAAAAAATAGGTATGAGTGATTTTTATTCACCCTGATCTGCTCATTGAATACTAATTGAGTGTAGCTATCTCAACGAGTAAAGTTTTACTGGTTCCATATGAAGCCCACCAGGTGCTCACATATCATGGCTGGATGCAAGATCCTGTACTAGACAATCCCTTTTAGCTTAATGTTTATTTTGCAACTTATTAACAAATAAGTAGGCTATCCAAGAGGCGACTGCATCGGAACCCATGACCTTGGAGGAAGAGTACGAAAACCAGCAATCGTGGCGGACGTCTCATGATAAATTGACCTTTATTGTCTGCGAGCCGCTCAGTGCAGAGCAACGAAGTCTTGATGCACGGTTAATTAAAGCCGAAACCGACGATTCGCCAGACAAAATGAAGGGAGACGTCAATTTCTTCTTATACCTGGACGATGATGACGAGGAAGATGGCGCTGGACAGCGAGAGGGCCATATACGACTGAGAGGCGAAATAGACGTCATGATAGCCGGACAACAACATCGCGGCAAAGGCACAGGAGAAGCAGCAGTGCGCACAATCCTGGCGTATATACGGAAGAATTTGACAGGCATACTACAGGAGTATGCACAAGGCGAGAATTTAGACAAGGACAAGATACAGCTTGTCGGTCTGATGGCAAAGATCAAAGAGGACAATACAGGAAGTAGAGGACTGTTCAAGAAGCTTGGATTCAGGCAAGAGGGAGAGGCGAATTACTTTGGAGAGGTGAAGATGGTGATGAGTTGGGAGGAAGTTGAAGGTGTGGGAATGGCAGATGGGTTGGAGTATCGCGAGGTGGCATATGAGATGTAAAGCCTTGGATGAGAAACGGCCACGTGCAATCGGGTATCTCACTTGCTATCTCAGTACGATTAAACACGAAAATAGATCATTTCATACGTATTTTTCTGTTCTCAGAACTAGAGATCATTGACTGTCGTTTATAGAGCTCCCTTAATTATATTAGATCAAAGCTACTCAGTCCGACTTCAAAAAAGATAACTTGCGATCTACAGAGCCTCAAGCCTTTCACAGCAATTTTAACGTACCCCAAGCCTGTGCTTATCCTCAGAAATTGAACTAGGCGGATGGGTATTATTGGCTATGAGAGGCGATGCACGCCCCCTCCATTTTCTTCACAGCATTTAGCTCACCTCAAGACCTTCTTTTTCAAGATCCGGAAAGCTATTTGAGCCCCCTTACAACAACATGAGCAACAACTTCCAATTAGCACTGCTTAGAAACGAGATGTAGTTCATTGATTTATGTAGCTTCATTCAAAATTTGGGGAGAATCACATCAACTTTCAGATTCCAAAGACTGAAGTACAACATTTTTCTGCCATTTCTGTGCCTATGCTCGCGGGTAGAGGTATCGTTGGGCCTGGTGAGGGAGCCTGACTTAAGCTGGGTATCCGCACACCCTCGGGTCTGCGGGCTCTGTTCATCGGAGCTGTGTCCTGACTCGCGTGCATACATGTCTTTCACAGCATTTTTTATTCTCTCCAAAGCTCTGTGTGCAAAGTACCTAGGTAGGCAGGTAGGTTAGTAGATACGTTTACACCAACATCGACTCCCCAATGCCATGACACATTCGCACTGTGTTGCCTTTTCCACGAGTTTTCATTGTCCCTTAAGGCCTTGGTATAGCCAAGATCATGATCTGCTGAGTGTTTTGTAGTCATTACACTCTTAAGAAGCTTTAGACCCAAGCAGTTTGGTACCTGAGATCGCTTTTCACAACATTTTTTCCTCTCAATAAGGCCCTGGAATGACTGAAATATAATTTACTAGCTCTACAACCACTGAACCACCCCCGATGTGACCTGTCGTTCTTGTCGTTCACAGCGTTTTTAACTCTCCCCGATGCCGTCCTCACACAGGCTCCAGATCCACTCGATGCCCCCCCCCCCCCCCCCAACCATGGATTAGCGCACAATTGCCTCCAGCTGCAGCCATCCGCCGCCAACTGTCAAGGCCCGAACCTCCAAAAATTCAACGCCAAGCTACTCTCACCACCAAGCCTCGGAATCGCAGTCGCAACTTCCAACAAACCCGCCAATTCACCTCCACATTCTCTCTTCAACCAGCGCTCGCCACACCCAACGAGTCGCCTTCCTTTCCCTCACAATGCATTCCATCATCCGCCTCGCGCGGCCTCTCCTGGCCCCGCGCATCTCTCCCCTCTCGCAAAGGTACATCTAAAAAATCTCTCCAATATCATCCAAAAACTTCAATGCAACTAACGAATCATACTCGCAGGACATTCTCATGCCTCTCTCCTCTCCGACCAACCCTAACCTCCACCTTCCGACCCAACAACTCCTTCACCCCCTCACCCACAGCTGCTGCTACAGCGTCGTCAGCCGAAACGACAACCGCAGATGTCGTCCCCAAAACAGCGCTCTCCATGCATCCCTCTCTGCAGGGCGCCATGCAGCTCCGCTTCGGACCCCGAAATACCATGAATGGACACACTAGATTGGTGCAGAAGCGGAGACATGGCTGGTTGAAGAGGACGAGGAGTAAGACTGGCCGAAGGATCTTGCAGAGGAGGAAGCTAAAGGGCCGGAGACACGTTGCGTGGTGAAGAGGCTTGTACTTTCGAGGAGAGAATTTCCATGATGACGGATGACGAAAAAGAAACGAAGATGGGATATGTGTGAATAAACACGAGTACTACTACTATGTAGGATGGGGAACGGGGGAGTGTATAAAAGGGAGCATCTAGAGGTATAGATGTGTTATTGTATTGTACTACTACTTTCACGCCAAAACTCAAAAATAACAGTAAAATCAACGAGATCAAAAGCCTGTCAATTGCTCAAATATGCCCATCATTTCGACTCTTATACATCTACACCGGCCCAGTGACACCAGTCTCGCACTTCAGTGTATCGGTATGGCACACAATACTCAGATTATCGCTGGCCTCCCCAATCCACACCTTGTACCCTCCATCTACCGCAGGAACTGTCCAATCTTGGGCCACCACATCCCATACACTCAGATCCTTCCTCGTGAGCGTCAATGTCACCGTCGTAGACGCCCCCGGAGCCAATTCCTCCGTTTTTTCAAAATCCCGAAGCTGGATAATCGGCGTGTCATAGGCGACGTTATCCGGAAACTCCAGGTATGCTTGTGCGGATGCCTTGCCGGCAAAGAGATCGCCCGTGTTTTGGACAGTCACCGTGAGAGTGTACGCAACGTCCCAGAGCGCAGGATTGCCTCCCTGATCACCGCCGGAGCGAGGACCGGGTTTCTGGACGGTGGAATAGCCAGGTGGGTAGGCATACTTGCCATTCTTTCCATCGGAAACAGCGTTGTTTGCATCACTCTGGGAGAGCCAAGAATAGATGTAGCGGGGAATGGAATTGAAGCCAGACGGCGCAACGGCTTGCGTTGCGGAGGGGATGGCTTGTGAAAAGTTGAGAATGCCGCTCTTGGCAGGGCGAGTAGGAGGATATGAGCTTAGCTGAGTGACTTTGTTAATTGATGCAGCTGTGTAAGTGAAGTTTGTATAGCTCAAACCATGGCCAAAAGCGTATCGAGGCTTGGTGTTGTTCTTGTTGACCCAGCGGTAGTCAATATACAAGCCCTCAGTGTAAGGATCTTGAGGCTGATTAAGAAACTCCGAATTGATTAGCGTGGTGACGCTACTTGGCATGTCGCTCTCGGCCTTGGTGATGGTATACGGCAAATGTCCACAAGGTGAGGCATGGCCAAAGAGGACGTTCGTCAGCGACGTTCCAGCTTCCTGGCCGGGAAGATGAGCAACGAGGACGGCTTTGACGGATGGGAGATCAATCCAGTTCTCAAGAACCAGAGGTCCAACGGTGTGAATGACAACAACGACGTTGCTAAACTTGCTGGCAGCGCTTTGGACGAGCGTATCACCATTGTGCCAGGCGTATAAGCCAGACGCATCACGGTCACCATGATTGCCTTCAACGGTATAAGTGTTCTCGCCGGCATCTGATGTGATGAATACAATAGCAACGTCGCTAGCTGCGACTTGGCCAACCGAGGGAAAGCTATCGGTGTTGTAGAATGTGACGTTGCTCGCCTCCGCCGTGATGGCTGTGATCGGATCGTCCAGATAGGGGTAATCGACAGTGCCGGAACCCCAGCCCTGGCCAAGAGTGCCTGTATTGCAATTGCGATCTGTACAAGCGTTAGGACCAGCAGAGTTCTTCTGAGCGTCGGTGCCAAAGACTTTGAGATGCTGTGATGGCGACAAAGGAAGAATGTTGCCATCATTCTTCAACATGGTGATGGCATCCTGAGAGATTTGCCGAGCAATCACGTCGTGATCAGCTTGGACTTGGACAAATTCATTTGTAACTCCGGACGGCGAGTTTGGCCACGCGGCAGGATACAGAGGATTGACTGCAGCGCCGGAATTTGTGTCAAAGTTGGTCGCCGGGTAGCCCTGATCCTGGCCCATTTGGTACCACGCCGCAACAATGCGTGTGGCCGCGTCATTGAGTCGATCCATGGGCACCGAGCCGTTGAGAGCAGACCGAGTAAGCTCGTACATCCAGTAAGAGTTTCCAAATAGCGGGATCTGAGTGTCACCAGGCATGTCCATATCAAGACCAGCAATGGCGGAGGCGACGCCGGACATGTGCGCGAGCCAATCAGTCTGTGTGAAGCCCTGGAAGCCCATCTCGTCTTTGAGGAGATTATTGATGAGATACGGGTGCTGGGTGCATGCGGTATTGTTTACCTGCAGTGGTGACATGGAGAATCAGCTCTTTTGAAGTGTTCAAGTCAACTCGATTTCACTTACAGCATTGTATGCCATCATGACGGAGCCAACGCCTGCTCGAATGCTTTCGGCGAATGGCCAGGCATAGAGTTCATGCATTGTTCTGTCATCTTTTCATAGAAATCATCATCAGCAATCATTAGCTCCTCACAATTTGGGTTATACATGTACTCACCAATATTCGAGCTGTAGGCATATTGAAAAGGATTGTACATGCGGTACATCTCCTGCTCATTGCCGATAAAGTGCTTGATCGTTGCAATCACTCCCTGCTCCTGAACGCCCTTGATCGTCTCTCTTGCGCCAACAGCTTGAAGCACAGGATCGGCTCCAAAGCCCTCCCAGTTGCGGCCGCCCTTTGGCTTGCGGCCAATTGGCCCAACCACTGGTCCCAGCCAGACGTTGACTCCCTTGCCACGGTTCTCCTTTCCAATGGCCACGCCGCGTTGGTACATTAGAGACTTGTCAAAGGTTGCACCGACCGTGATGCCGTCCGGGAAAGCTGTGACATTGTCGGCATGTCGCACACCCGCGGGACTGTCATTGAGGCACAACTGGGGAAATCCGACTCGAAGTGCTGAGCCTGTGTTTCCGGCACATCGTCTTGAATATGCCACAGCAGAATTAGCTTCATGTTTGTTTCAAGTTACACTCAATCAGCTTGCTCTACCAGAACCATGACAGTTTCTTTCCGTGAATAGAATAGCTGCTTAGTGGTGTGCTTGGATCGTTTAGCTTACCCTATCAAGAAGTCGGTCAGCATATAAATCCCATACATCATATTACAATCACGTCAATACAGAAAAAGACGCTCAGTCTAGTTCACTAGGCGTAAAGAGCCCATGCTTACCCATGTATATTCCAGTTCCTGCAGTGATATTTGTCTTTTCTGCCAGAGTCATCGAGTCGACAAGAGCTTTGGCTTTGGCATAGCTGTCCTGCCAATCGGCCACCCATCCGCCATACGGCGCAGGATAATACGGCGGCACATAATAGTCAAGCGCAGCTGAGTCTCGGGCCGACAACTGCTCACTGTCTGCGTCGGCGATGGCTCCGGCGTGTCCTAGTGAAGCGAGGCTGGATAAAACACAGATGGCGGCGGTGGGCACCCCGACTCTATCGAGAAACGGGGCCATGGTGCCAATGGCTAAGGGAGGCAGCTGAACAACAAGATATCAGAAGATACGAGATCCTATTGCAACGGGCGCTTTGCTCTCGCGTGCTCACGAGGCCTTGACACAAAACACACAAGGATCAATTCAAAGGCTGTCTAATTCCAATTGACAGGGACAAGTTACGGAAAAGTCATCTCGATGGCCGGAAGACGGTCAATCATATCCCTATAAAGAGGGCCCTGGACCCCCCCAGGACAGGAAAGGATGGCTGAGCACTTGCACTCCATCATCCTCTCTGTGCCACGATAAGACGATCGTGACCCTCCTGCTTTAGACGAGCTTAGACGAGCCAAGACACAGACATGCCTGTCACTCATATCCAAGGTGGTCTTTTTTCTCCTCATTTTTTACATGCTTCTTCCCCTTCTTTCCTGGAGGTCACGTACAAGTCCATGTATTCTGATGCCCAAAGCAGTATTAGTAGCGCCAGAGACATGCAGGCGGTCGAATGAGGATGAAAAGAGACGAGCTGAAAGGGACGGAACAGCGCATTCCGGAACAATCAACTCAGGCTATTTCTCTGTCCATTATACTTTGCCAAGAGCTGAGCGGTGGTAACACATCGTGATATTGAAATACAGTGGGAAAACCACTAGCTCCCTCGTGTCTCAGTAGTGCCGTCATGCGACAAACGCCAGGTCACCGCCTCCAGCCCAAAGGGACGGTCACAATGGCCACTTTTCAGGCATCGATCATTGGGCTCGGTGAAATGTCTCATCGAAAATCCGTGGTGGAGCGGCGGCTTTCTTCTTTCTGCATTCCGTAACGAGGGACAGGCGGGGGGGGAATCCCGCTCTGGTTACGACGACGGCTGTGAACTTGTTCGTATTTGCAGGGATCAAAGAGAAAGCTAAGAGACCGGACAGAGTCTGGGGAAAGCAGGCCGATGGCGGGGGAAAGCGATTACGTGGAATATCCAGCAGTAATCGTATTAATAATTGATGTTGCCGCAAGCAGGTAAGGCAGCAATGACAAGCATTGGATCATTGATGCTGTTAATACTTAGCACTTAGTGGTGGCAGCTCTGCAAAATCCATGCATCGTCGAGATGCCCAACCCAAGGGCGGCCTTCTTTGGCGGTACAATAGCCAGAGCTGGCGGGGAAATCACAAGGAAAAAAAAGAAGACAAGAGACAGCAGACAGACGCGGATGGCCCTCGGTTCAAATAATAGCTGCCAAGGGCCATTCCATCGAATCTACACTTTAGCGCCCTGCACGATGATCTTCTTGGGAGTTGACAAGAACTTGAGGGTGTGCAGCCCTTGCGCTCTGCGCCTTACGCTTTACGCCTTACAGTATGCACCTCGTGGTTGTTTCTCCGTTTCGGCGTCGATGCTTACAACTGCTCATTGTTTTGAGTCTGTGTAGAGAATGTCGTATTGCTCCTCGATGAAGCATGTCAAAGCGTAGCCAGTCAGCATGTATGAAACACTTGCACGTCCCAAAATCGACAATTGCGGCATGTCGAAACCAACAGCAACGGTATTTGATGCCGGACAGGGGGTGGTCCCGCTAGACAGCAGAAGGATTCTTATCCGCAAAAAGACTCAATCTGTTGTTGCAAGGTTGCAGTCTTTTGGCCGCGACCCTGTAAACGGTAGGAAAAGAGAACAGTTTCGGGTGGCAGTTCCACGCCCGCAAGGGCCCCTGGGCAAAAGACCAGTTCATACGAGAAATGCTTCGTTGGAGCCTAATTAATTCCCCCGACGAGGAAATGCAGTCCGATTGCCGATATGTTGAGCGTATTTGAGACTTGTCAAGGCTCAATCCCAGTCTATTCTGGGAGTGGATTGTCACTTGTCTCCGAGTTTTGCTGTTGATTTACATGTAGCCTTTTCCTACCTACGTATGGTTGGTAATCAATCTCTATACAAAGCATTGAGTATTCCACTGATGTAGAAGGAAAGTTGTACAGTAAAAGACTTCCATTCAACTTTACCTGCCTTACCTATCTGTACATCTTGATGGTATCTTGTCTATTAAAATGCCTAGTCAAGAGTCCACTGCGGGTACTAGAGCTTCTTTTCGAGCTGCCGTTTGGAGATGATCTCCGAAGTCAGGTGTCGGCCGAATGGCTCTCGGAGCTCGTGGTTAGAGCCACTCAATATGTTAGTACGGTAATTAGTCTATCAGCTAGAGAAAATGTGTGTATAGTGATTGTTATGGTTTATGAGTCAAGACACATGAGCTCTACACTTACACCGAGATTAATGGCAGTAAGCTGTAAGCCCCAACACACACTTGAGAATAAAAGAGACAAATGTCAGTCAGTTTCTTCTCTACACCAAATATACTTTTTCACTCTTCATGTCTCATCTCGGTCACCATTGTCACCATGAAAAGCGTCATTCTCAGCATGCATGCCCCCCCGGCAACAAATACCCGATTTCGTCTCGTCGAGCTGCAAATTCGGGAACCCTAGAACAAAACTTCCATCACCCCGCAGCGCCACAGCAAAAGATCCCGCTCTAATGCCGGCAGAGCCCTAGCCAGTGTTAGTCTCTTCCACTAAGAAGCCCGGAAAAGAACACCAAGCAATGTCATTTGACGAGATTGCCGCCGACAACGTGGGCGAGGCGTGGCCGTGGCCGTGATCAGCGAAACGACTGGCGAACGTGCCATGATACAGCTGATTGCTCCAGCCTCAAAGCGCCAATTTGTCTTGCACGAATCGTGTTTCTTCGTGCCGTATTGTGTAAACATGGGCACAGCTGCTATAAGAGGCTGATACAAGATAAGAAACTGCCATCGATGCTCCCTGTCGTCATGCCGCATTGGTTCCAGGGGACAAATGCTTGGCAGGGCCGCGATCCTACACCTTTCCATCGCCCTTTTCCAGATCCCCGAATAAGAAAGCACATGGTAAGCCTGGCAGCATAGCCGCATCCAGTGAATGCTGATAACGCAACCTCTTACTCGTACACTGCAAAATGCCACCTACCGTGTCAGTAGCGCTCTAGTGTCGATCCCAGATCCTTGGACGCATCTCCCGCCCACCTTGGTGAGCATCAAAAGGTAAAAGCGCCGATCAATCACACGCATTCGTAGCCGCCCTGCCCTTTGTCTTTGTCTTCTTTGACTCTGCTAGATATTAGACCACCAATCGTCTTTTACGATTCCGTTCCCAGATCCCCATTCGGCGCCACCATCCTTGCCTCCTTTGGAAGTTGTACCGAATCTCCGAGCCTCCAAATCAGTTCTCATCCTGCACGTTTGACAAAAAGTCTCTTCTTCTTATTCATCCTATTTCTCAATTCGGAGCATCTCCGGTGCCGCTCGTTCCTTTTCCATCTTGCAAAGAGGCCTTTCAAGTCCAACTAAACTACATGTAGACACCGGCAAGAGTAAATGGCCCCTCACATCGTGGAGAAGTGCGGAGGTGGCTGGCGGTTCACGCACGCACTTTGGACCCATCCCATGATACAGGATGAAATGAGAAGAAGAAGAAGAAGAAGAAAGAGGCGTAGCTCATTGTGAGACGCGCGCATGCTTCATGGCTTTGCCCGGCATTGAAGCAGCCCGTCCAGCTGCCTGGAGGGATCAGGGGCGCTCGGACGCCCCGAGTTTTGCTCCCGCGTCTCACATGTTGCCATCCGGAGAAGATGAACATCATGCACGGTATAAAAGTATATAAACATGTGGCAACTCACCCCAATTATTAGAGAATTAAGCATTTGACATTCTAGACCATCTTGTGTGAAAGAGAAAAGAGTGTTTCAGCGTTTCTGATCGAGTTTCTGTCTGAGCTCTAACAAGCAAGACACTTTAACTTATACCCATCTCCATCCCATCTCCATCCACACTTTCTATTATCATTATACACATATCACAATGAAGTCTGTCCAACTTCTCTCTCTCGCTGCTCTTGCAGCCGGCAGCCCCATTGGCTCTATCCAGGACTACACTCGCCTCCTCAAGGCCCGCCGTAAGTCTAAACTCGCTCCTTGGAAACACACCGCTTACAAAGAGCTAACAACTCCCAAAAGAAAGCGACACCAGCTTCACCACCTCACAGGCAGAGCTCAACAACTTCCAATTCTACAGCCAATATGCCGGAGCTTCGTACTGCAACTCGGCCACGCCTGCTGGACAGGCCGTGACTTGCGCCGACGACGTCTGCGATGACGTTAGCGGAATCGTCGTCAACTCCTTTACGTGAGTCTCTATTGATATCGTCTCATATATATATATATATAAAGAGTAGCTAGCTAACAGCTACATGCTCCCAACAGCGGCTCCGTAACTGGCATTGGCGGCTTCGTCGCCGTCGACTCGGCCCACCAGCTCATCGTCCTCTCCGTCCGCGGCAGCAACAACCTCCGCAACTTCATCACCGACGTCACCTTTGCCTTCTCCGACAGCGCCTTGGCCGACGGCTGCGAGGTCCACGACGGCTTCAACGACGCCTGGAACGAAATCGCCGACGCCGCCACCGCCGCCATCAGCCAGGCCGTCGCCGCCAACCCGGGCTTCAGCATCGTCACCACGGGTCACTCCCTCGGCGGCGCCGTCGCGACGCTCGCGGCCGCAACTCTCCGCACGCAGGGCTACAACATCGACATCTACACCTACGGCTCTCCCCGCGTGGGCAACGACGTCTTTGCCAACTTCGTCACGGCCCAGCCCGGCGGCGAGTTCCGCGTCACGCACGTCGACGATCCCGTTCCTCGTCTGCCCCCGATCCTGTTCGAGTACCGCCACGTATCGCCCGAGTTCTGGCTGTCCACTGGCAACTCCTCCACCATTGACTACACAATCTCGCAGATCGAGGTCTGCACCGGCATTGCCAACACCGACTGCAACGCCGGCACGTCGGGACTCGATGTCTCTGCCCACTCAAACTACTTTGAGCACATCTCGGGATGCGCCCCGTCTCCTCTCCAGTTCAAGCGTGATGATGGCGACTCGAGCTATAACCAGACCACCATTGACAGAATCAACAAGTGGGCCGAGCAAGACCGGGCTTTGGTTGCTTCTGGCCAGGCATAACGTTGCTGTATATATGGGGTGTATTTTGCGTACGAAAAGGGGCGTTATGGGTTGTTTCTTCGGGTATAAAAATGTAGCATGAAATGATGCTGGGAATGTGAATTTTCGACATAGTTACTTCGAGCTGTGCTGAGGGGTTGATGTAGATAAATCTTCATACTCGTATATATGAGTTGGATATAGGTATATACATATTTGTTACTATGACTTTCGACAAGACATATGAAATACATCAAGTGACATGATAGCTTCAGGTAAGAACATTGAAATGTAGACCAAACTCTATGGCTCTAATCGACTCTGTGTTCCCTCTGCACTTGAACTCTAACTATATACATTACAGAGGAAAAAAACGTTTGGGTTGATCTGTAATATCCCATACCATATGTAATTTGCTCTCCCTAGCGTGAAGTTCGTTAAGAGAAAAAAAGCGTGACAAGTGCGAAGCTCTCCGGCAAATTATGCTCAGTGCGTGCCTTCAGTTATCATCCCCTGGGCGTTGGGTACGCCAACCAAGATAACGCCCCGTGGCACTCTGACTTCCTTCACCTTCATGCAGCCAAACACATTCACTTCTTTGATGTTTGGGCAAGCCCGGAATATGCTCCCAAGGATAAAGTCGGTGACTTCTTCGCAGAAGCTAATCTCTAATTTTCGTAGTTCCGGATACAGCTTCTTTTCGCTAAAGGCTTCTTCAAACGCCTCGCGAGAGATGTGTCGGCAAGCATGCACATTGAGATTTCTCAAGGCGTGGCCAGAGTGGTCCATGAGCGCCTTGAAACCCTCGCTGCAGAGCCCAATACCGTCGGGGTTTTCTCGTGGATGAGCGGCGTCGAGCTGCCGGCACTTTTGCAAATCCAAGAATTCCAGAGGCGGGTTTTGCCAGTCTGTAAAGAGCTTGGCGAAGCCCTTGTCTGTCATGGTTTCGCTTTCTGTGATACGAAGCTTGGATAATGATCGACAAGTATTATGAATAGCCTCCAAGACACTGTCATCGGCATCGGGTACAATCTTAAAGGAGAATGTCCTGAGGTCTTTCCCGATTTGTGTGATGCAAGTCCTGAGAGCTTCTGCCGAACTGTCCTGCTGGAGCTCTAAACTGAGATGCCGAAGGCTTGCAAGATTTCCAATTGCAGTGACTCCTACATCCGTGACCTTTTGGTTGTGGCAGACCTTGAGGCGAGTCAATTCGGGGCAATATTCCTTCAAAAGTCTCAAGGTTTCGTCTCCAAAGTGTCTATCGGTAAAGTAGACTTGTAGTTCTCTCAAGGATTTGCCTTTGGCAGCGAGAAATTCGTGCCACTTATCCTCACTCAGTAGATTGGCACCATGAAGATAAAAGCTTTCCAGGAGGATATCTCTCGAGAGCAGATAGTCCATGACCTCGTCCTTGAATTGGACCGCACACCGCACCTTGAATTTCTTCAGGTTCGGGGCAACTTGAAAAATGCTGATGAATTCTTGATGACCAAGTTTTGCACCATCGTAGATGTGCAGAACTTCGGTGGTAGGTTGCGTGAACAGTGGCAAAGTATCTGGCTTCAATAAACGCCGCTTGGAGAAAATCCTGGCAATCTTGTCGATGAGATGCTCAGGTAAATCGCCCAAACTTTCTGCCAAGTCCACATTCTTCGCCAGTGTCTGCACACACAGCGTAGCCAAGCTTTTTGTACCCACGTCTCCATCGAGCATTCGGCTCTGGAGAGTGCGTCGTGAGCCCACACCACCGGTCTGTTTTCGAGGCTTCTTTTTGGGTTGTCCCTCTCGTTCTTTGGCAATCTCACGCCCACAGGGAGCACATAAGAGGCCTCCATCAGGCCCTGCCAAGGAGTAAGGAGTCACAGTGAAGCGCTTTCCGCAGATTTCACAGTTCTCCATCTGCCCAGGAAGCGGTGCACTCCTCTCTTCAAAGATTGCCTGGGCGATTTCGTCATCGTATTCGTCGTCGTCGGCGTTCTTCTTGCGCTTTTTGAATGCTTTGCTAGCTTTGATCTTATCCAAAGCCTTGACTTTCTTTTCTGCTGCGGCATTGCGACTTCTTGCTCCCCGTCCAGCCGAGCTTGCTTCAACAGCAGTGATGGAGACTTGTACCGTTTCTGAAACTTCATTTTCTTCGGTCGGTTCGGCCTCTCCTGCTTCTCCTGCTTCTCCTGCCTCTGTTGTCTCTGCCGTCTCTCCGTCCTCTCCTGCTTGTTGCCTTCGGCGATCTGCGTCGGCTCTAATTTGAGCAGCCGAAATATTGTGTGACTAGCAGATGTGTTAGCAAACCATGACCACAGACCCGTTGAGGGATGGTTCAAAGCATACTGCAAGAAAATCAGTCAAGGCAGATTGGCTAAATAGACACGGTCAGCACAATCTGTCTAAAAAAACTATCATCGTCAACATTGTTTTGCTTACGGCCCAGTAATGTTACGACTTGGCCGCCCATTCTGCCCTTGATCATACTGGCGTCGACGGGCCCTAGACATTCGTATTGGTCAGCCGTGATTGCAGCAGAAAGAAAGTTAGGCCGGAATATGGAAGACCAACATGATGAGAGCCTGAATAGCAGAAAGTGACTGTCACTGCTATGGTCTTGTAGGTGTTTTGTGTCTCTGTATCAAATTTCCCGGTGCGAACGAGTGGTGCAGACAAAAGGCACGCCACAATATTCGCTTGTTCTTTCACCCAGTGCCGATGACATACAGCGTGTCGACGGTGTCGCGAGATAACACGGTGTCACGTGATATAGCTCTTACTCAATTGGCACTGTGAATTTTCATCTCCCAGCAGGCGAAAGCAGTCACTCACCGGTCGTCGGTACAGTCCCAGTACAGTGCGTATCTACAGTTGTGGCAAGCCCCTTATCCCTGCACGCGCCTTCGTGTAAAGTGGCAATTCGCGCCTGCTTTCCAAAGTAGGCACTGTGAACTGGCATGGCCGCTAGGTAGGTAATCACGGCCGATGAGGCAACTTCCTAACAAGTTTTCGTCCAGTAACAGGCGCCCGTTTTTTTCGTTCTTTTTCTCCTCGTCCCTTTGTCAGATTGAAGTGATCGAGGCTCGTTCATCAGCCATTGTCTGACGAAAAGGCGAAGAGAAGACTCATTTTCTCCGGCAGTCATTCTCAGAGCCTCTTCTCCACCATCAACGATCACCGGTGACCCTGTGCTTACTTGGGCTGGTGGATGAACCTTTTCTCAGTTTCAGCCCAATTTCCCTCTCTCTGGCCCAGCCACATCTTCATCTCTCAGACGACTCGGTCCGAACGGGAAATATCTGAGAGCTTTTATTGCGCATCGGTTTTTTTTTTCTTTCTTTCCCTAATCTTCGACCGTTGCCTGTGCTGGTGAACTACGGCAATGCCTCGTACATCGCTTGGAAAGCGTCGCTCGTTATTGACAGGGCCAAGCACCCCTGTCCAGCAACCATCGGGTATGATAACATATTCATCGCTTCAACCGCAAGATGTCACTAACAAATCATCTGTAGAAGCTGAAACCGGCTCTGTCACTACAAATGGCCGTCTTACCCGTGCACGGTCCGCAAGGAGTCTTGCAGCTTCCTCTGTAGTCGATGAACTTTCCTTGGACACTACTGAGTCTGTATCGTCGGCTCTTACGCCTTTTGGCCAAACTTCAGAAAGCGGCTACTCCACGCCTGGAACTAGCAAACTCCCAAGCCCTGCCGAAGCAGCCAGTTCGTCAAAGACATCTTTTGAAGTGCGCATTCCTGCCAAGAGCAGGCTGCAAGAACCCGACGGGGATGAGCGAGCCTTACGGCAAAGCGTCTATTCATTAAGCTCAAAAGCAAAAGGGAAACGAGTCACCGAAATTGAAGATTCGGATGAAGATGACGATGATGTCTACCCTAGCAACAGTCACGATGCCCAAGTAGCTCGCCGATTGCAGAACGAAGAATACCGCCAAGCAAGTCTAAGATCTCGCCGCTCTATGGCTAGCGATATTCAATCTCCTGCCTCAGCTGAAGCATCAGTGAAACGAACCAGATCTCAGTCAGGCCCTTCTTCAGCGCAAAAGCGACCAGCCAAAAAGAGCAAGATCATACCTGATTCAGACGACGCACCAGAGTCTGGTTTAGATATAGACGCCGAATTGGCTGCTGCTGCCGCCTTAGAAGACCAGCTAGCTAATGAGGTTTCCTCATCTGATGAACATGATTCAGTGGATGAAGGACGGGCTGAACCTGCTGAACAAATGAGGAGCCTGCCGACAACCCGGGGCAACAACGTGGTTTTTACCGATCCCAAAACTGTAGCCGATATGGAGACACTATGGTTGACACTTCCTTCAGATATATCATCTGGACTTCCATCTGACCTTTCCGGCTTATCATCTGGTATTAGCTCTGCCACTGTTAGCGATAGTGAAAGCGTTGATTCCGAGATAGCTGCGCCAGAGCCTGGAGCACTTCGGAGAATTGCTAATCAGAGACGTGGATATAGACGGTCTAGACACAAAAGCCGTACTGCCAAGGAGCGAGATCGCCTTGAAAAACACCATCCTGAATTGGTCACTATGTGGACGGATTTGGAAAACATGCCGGCAATCAATGCTGGCAAGATAGACCAACCGAGGAGTATATCAAGGCAGTTGAAGCCCTTCCAGCTGGAGGGTGTGGCTTGGATGAAGGAAATGGAAAAAACAGAATGGAAAGGTGGCCTTCTGGGCGACGAAATGGGTCTGGGCAAGACGATCCAAGCCGTCTCTCTCATCATGTCCGACTATCCAGCAAAGCTACCCACTCTAGTCCTTGTCCCTCCTGTCGCACTCATGCAGTGGCAGTCAGAGATCAAATCTTACACAGACGGAACTCTCAAGACCTTTGTGTTCCACGGAACCAACACAAAGGCTAAGAATATTACAGCCAGGGAGCTCAAAAAGTTTGATGTCATTATGATGTCCTACAACAGTCTTGAATCCATGTATCGGAAGCAAGAAAAGGGGTTCAAGCGAAAAGATGGCATCTACAAAGAAAAGAGCGTCATTCACAGCATTACGTTTCACCGAGCCATCCTTGATGAAGCACATTGTATCAAAACACGAACCACAATGACTGCTAAAGCATGCTTCGCGTTGAAGACCGAGTATCGTTGGTGCTTGACTGGCACACCTTTGCAAAACCGAATCGGAGAGCTCTTCTCATTGGTGCGATTTCTCAACGTTAAACCGTTTGCTTTATATCTCTGCAAACAATGCACCTGTTCGAGGCTTGAGTGGTCTATGGATGACAACAGTCGTTGTTCCGACTGCAACCATGCTGGTATGCAACACGTCTCTGTCTTCAACCAAGAACTTCTCAATCCTATTCAGAAGTTTGGCAATTTGGGCCCTGGCAGAGAGGCGTTCCGGAAACTACGATTGATGACAGGCCGTATCATGCTGCGACGTCTCAAGAAGGACCACACCGATTCCATGGAACTTCCTGTGAAGGAAGTGTATGTCGACCGCCAATTTTTCGGAGAAGAGGAAAACGACTTTGCCAATAGTATCATGACCAACGGACAGCGCAAGTTTGATACCTATGTTGCGCAAGGTGTCCTCCTGAATAATTATGCCAACATCTTTGGTCTCATCATGCAAATGAGACAGGTGGCCGACCACCCTGACTTGATTTTGAAGAAGAACGCTGATGGAGGTCAAAACGTTTTGGTTTGCTGCATCTGTGACGAGCCAGCGGAAGACACTATTCGAAGTCGCTGCAAGCATGACTTTTGCAGAACATGCGTATCTGCATATATCAAATCGACCGACGAGCCTGACTGCCCTCGGTGTCACATTGGGTTGGTGATTGATCTCGAGCAGCCTGAAATTGAGCAAGACGAAGCCATGGTGAAGAAGTCATCAATTATCAATCGTATCAAGATGGAAAACTGGACTTCTTCTTCTAAAATTGAGCTGCTCGTTCATGAACTTCACAAGCTGCGCTCTGACAATGCCACGCACAAGTCCATCATCTTTTCTCAGTTCACCACAATGCTGCAGCTTATCGAGTGGCGACTTCGAAGAGCTGGAATCACCACTGTCATGCTAGACGGCAGTATGACCCCTGCTCAGCGCCAAGCATCGATTGAGCACTTTATGAACAATATTGACGTTGAATGCTTCCTCGTATCACTCAAGGCTGGTGGCGTTGCACTCAATCTCACCGAGGCATCGCGAGTGTTCATCATAGACCCGTAAGCATTCTCCCTTTCCCCTTTATGCTCTTCTTCAGCTAGGCTAACATTGCATTCTTAGTTGGTGGAACCCGGCCGCTGAGTGGCAGTCTGCCGATCGTTGCCATCGCATTGGACAAACTCGACCCTGCAGCATCACGCGTCTTTGTATTGAGGATTCCGTCGAGAGCCGAATGGTACTGATCCAAGAGAAGAAGACGAGCATGATCCACTCCACTGTCAATTCAGATGACAAAGCGATGGATACTTTGAGCCCTGAGGATATGCAGTTTCTTTTCCGAGGCTCCTAAACTCCTTTCTAAATCTCTTCATTTCTCAGTAGACGGTACATGTTTTCTTTTTGAGCAACGAGTTAGGTATGATGGTATTACCTAGATGAACGCATCGCGGATATAATGACTGGAGGTTTTCCGCAAGAGGCGCTAGGGACTTAGAGATGATTCGCTCGCATTAATGGATTAGTTTACTGCGTATACAGCGTATACAGCGATACAGCGTATACAGCGACCTATATAATACAGTATACACTGAACCTTATTCTTGATATCTGTGGTTCTAAGATTGTGCTATAACATCGCGCACTTGGAACTACATTCTTCTCATGGTTCATTATTCAAGATTTGTTACACTCAATCTAGCTAATCAATATCTAAGAATCTGGTTCAATGTAATGCTAGCTTTCATCACGAAGAACGAAAATCAGTGTGGCACAGAATCAGATATGTATGATGTAAAGATGCTAATGTTGTATTATTGCATCTCGTGTTGTGTTGTATCTGTCTATCTAACTCGGGACTCTTATCTCCCCTAATTTTTTCCATCATAAAAAATTTGTAGTAAATCCACATAAAAGTGGCAAAAGTGCCTGGTACTATTAGGCAGCCTTTTTACAAGCCTCCTTCTTTTGACGGAAACCCTGACAAAGGCCATCATGACCAATTGGCTAGAATGTTTAAAAACCACTCCCTCCCAAAAATTGCTTCGCTCCTTTTGTTTTCCATGATATGGCAAATATATGCTACAGTCACATGCTTAGAGGTCCATGAGGGCCTTTGCACCAGGCTCGCTGCAAACGTAGATGGTGTCGTGCGAGTTGGGGAATCCGTTGAACTGAGTGGCAGAGCACTTGGTGTAGGCACCCATGTCCTCAAAGTAGAGCCAGTCTCCAACATTGAGGGTGCACGGGAAGAAGGCGCTCTGGCTGATGAGATCGATGCCATCACAAGTGGGACCCCAGATCGAATACTCGATACCATTTCCGACCGAGCACTGTTCGGCGGCGTAGGAGTTGTAGAGGGTCTGGCCACTGGAGTGGAGGATCTTGGCAACGGGGTGCTGGTGATCGAACATGATGCTCGAGAAGTTGCCGTAGACACCGTCGTTGATGTAAGCCATGTAGCTGGTGGCTTGGGCCGCGGGGTCATCGACGGTGCGACGAGCGATGATGTTGCAAGCAATAGTGAAGGCTGTAGCAACGTAGAAGCGGCCAGGCTCGGCAATGATGTCAACGCCGCATCCAGCGGGGAAGTACTCGGTCAGGGCATTGTCGAGGACCGCAGCCATGGTCTCAAAGGTGTCTCCAGAGAAGCCTCCGCCGACGTCGAGGACCTTCAAGTGGAAATCGTAGGCACGAGCCTGCTGGAAGACGGTGTGGGCGTCGACGACGGCCTTGCGGAAGGCAGAAGGGTCAGAGGCGCCAGATCCCACATGGAAGCTCACGCCGACGACGTTGAGGCCAAGCTCCTTGGCCAGGGCGAGGAGGCCCTCGGTGGTGTCCATGGGAGCACCAAACTTCATGCTGAGGCGACACAAGCTCGACGTGTCGTCCGTCATGATGCGGAGGAAGAGCTCGGCGCCGGGGAACAGCTTGGCGATCTTGTGGAGCTCATCAGCATTGTCAAAGGTCATCTGCTTGACACCAACAGACTTGACATAGCGGACGTAGGAGTTGGTCTTGCAGGGTTGGGCATAGATGATGTGGTCGGGGCTGGCACCAAGGCCAAGGACCTGTTCAATCTCTCCCTTGGAGGCGCAATCAAAGCCAGTGCCGAGGGCCGCAAGGAGCTGGAGCACCTTGGGGTCAGGGTTACACTTGACGGCATAGAATGGCTTGATGCGGGGGAGGTTCCTCTTCCAGCGGAGGTGCTGGCGGTAAACCTCACCAAGGTCTGCGACAAAGAAGGTGTCTTCCTCGCCGGGGTCGCAGAGCTCATGGTTGACGGCGCCCACGCGTTGGCGGAAGGCCTCGCCGATCAATTGCTTCGGATCGAGAGCAACATTGTTCTGAAGAGCACCCAGATACTGGGGTTTCTTCTTTACAACATGATTATGGATGACATTCTGGACGTAATTGTCGAGGACGGCTGTTGCCATAACCATATCCCTGAAAAGTTGGGGGGTGAGGGATGTTGAAAATCAGAGTATTCGTATTCCGAAGAAGAAAATCTGAAGATAGTCTTGTAAGAAAGACTAGGGAAATTCTGCAGCTAAATAGCGAAATGGATCTTAGGGTGGTCGAAAGCGATAGCAGACTGTTCCCTCAGTGATCGGGCGAGGCCTCCTCGACGACTCTTCCTCGGCGAGAGGAAGAACCGCAGAACTCCTCCTATGCGGCAGCTGGCGGGGGTCGTTTAACGACGGCGTGGGCGGCTGGTGACGAGGCACGTCGAAGAGCAAGAAGGCGACGAGCTGCTTAGACGGACCAAGCGGCGGGAGGAGGGATGACGTTGATGATGTGAGGGATCTTGCGAGCGCAGAAATCTTTGTCAGTCACGGCCTGGGGAGCCGTGATGGGTGGACGACGGAGTGCCTTTGTGGAGACAAGGCACCGAAGCTGGGATCGAGGCGAGAAGGCGAGAAGCTCTAGAATGGTGGAGAGGCCAGTTAGCTCAAGCAGCTCGTCGAGGCGGGTGTTGTAGCAATCAGGCAGCTCGAATTGATCGCGAGGTGGCATCGACGAGATGCAGCTTTCCGCACAGTTTGCGGCCCTCAAGGCGCACTTCGCGGCGGAGGAGTCATTCTGTTTGTGGTGGCGGTGACATCCGCCTCACCCAACGAGTAAAATCGACCAGCCACAGCTGATGAAGACACGCAAACCGCACAAGAAAGAAAACATCTCGCGAAAGAGCTAGAAGAAGAAAAAGCCTCACATACCTAGAAAGTAAAATCTAGAGCGACGGATGCAGTAGCAGCAGTAGCGGAGAGAGCTATTTTTTTCACAAAAGTGAATTAAAAAAAGAGGTAGGAAAAGAGTAAAAAGGAGGACTGCGTGCGAAAAATTGTGGTGGTGACGAGGGGTCAAGCTAAGGTTTTATCCTGGTTTTTTTCTCTCTCCCCCCTTGCGAATCGATCGCCGCGAAAAAAATTTCTAAAGAGCTGTAGTGCGGTAATGCGGCGCGGTACGTACCTGCGTTTGAATTTGAGTAGGCCGGGAACGGCGTTTTAGGTTGGGAGAGCCGCCCACAAATCCTTTTTTAGTATTGAGCGCCAGCAAACCAAATTGGATTGCATCAGCGATACTTAAAATTGGATCCTGGATGAAGCGGGCGTGGAGAGAGAGCCAATGGGACGTGCAGCTTTTGTGATGCAGCGCTTTACTGCGGTTGACGCTGTGTACAAGGCAAGGGGCGAGAGCTTGTAGAGGGAGCGGTATCTGGTACCGCAGCGGTGATACGCATCATGTGCAGCTTACACGCATGGCAATTACAGTTGGGTGTTTACTGTAGTCTATTCAAGAATCCCATGGGCCTATACTGAGCTGTGACTATAGGATATGCGGTGCACGCCACAGCTGTCCATCATGGTGCCTGTTATTAGACTTTGCAAGCATACCGGCTGCAAAAGATTCGCCATATCCTGTCTACAAGCTCTCGACACAGCTACCAACCGGCCAAAGGTAATCGACAGGTACCAGTGCTGCATCTCTGCAATTGTATGTAATACCTGATGCCCTGCCTTTGTAGTAGTAGCTACTCCGGCACGGTTTTCCCGTCGTGCATCGTGCCTTGCGTCCGTCTCACTCACCCTATACTACATACTTACTCATACGTGCTTTCATATACAGGCACATCACAGGCAAGTGAGCACTCTCATCTCGATTCATTTGCAGCCCCCAAAAATTCACCTCTCGTAGTAGCCCACATGTGTGGCCTCGTGGGTATTTTCCAGCACTGGCTCCAGCTTCCACCTGCAAAACACGCGACACCACGTACCTACTTGATAATGAAGCCACGAAAGCCTCGCCTTGTCCATTCCCACGAGGCGCAAACTCTCCTTTGGGCAAATACCCGCCCGCCGCCACACCGCACGAGGCAAATAAACAACAACGTGCTGTCAAGCTTGATTGGCTCGTCTGGGGTAAATTGCCGCATGCAAGGGAGAACGCTGCGCTGCCTGAACGGCCTGTGACACGTCTTTACAGCGGGCTGGATAGGATACTAACTTGCTGTACTGTGCATAGCCGCAAGGAGCAGTATATTACTAGGGCCGCTGTCATGCAACATGTGTATCCGCCTTTCCGAGTAAAGCTATGAGCAAAATGGTCTGGATCTTATGCCTCCGTAGCCGAGACATTGCCACGAATCTCATGCGAAAAGCAGGCGCCAGCACAAATGATAGAATGCCAATTCTAATTCGCATGGCTAGCTTCTCCATTTGTCTTCCCCAGTTGATTCCAAGGCCATCATTAGCCCCCCTATCCTTGCAAGACCCAATCTATTGCGTTCCGTATCCAAGTACTATGACGAAATCACAAGAATACGGCAAAAAGGTGAGAAAGACCAAAATGCACAAAGGGAAAAAAAACATCTCAGCTCCGACAAGTTTATATCATATAGAAAGTACCCAAACTACAAAGACACAGCCTCCTCTCGCTTACCTTCAATCTTACCTCTTAGCAACTAGGCCTGCCCATATCAAAACCGTCGAGGCAATTATCCTTTAAATCCCTCTCTCTATCTCGCATCCTAACGGTAAAAGTCAATCAAATGTGCTCGGCTCTTTAGTCCAGTAACCCAAAGCTCAGGGGCTCTGGCTCTGATAGAACGACCTCCTCACCGACGTCACTCCTCGCCTTTCCTCTCCCTCCCCTCTTTAAGCTCCAATGCTTGTTGCTTGCGCACCTCAGCACCGGTCTGAAAGGGATCGTTGAGAGAATTGGGCCCAGGGAGGCCGCCAGTGAGGTATAATTGTTTTGCTCTTGCGTTGCTCTGTGATCTCCATGCCATGGGGGAAGTGAGTCGGTCAAGCCGGCTCGGCAAGAAGATGTATCGTATCTGAACGCGTACTGTGCCTAACGAAAAACCCCAAGTCTCGAAAAAAAAAGAAAAAAAAAAAAAAAAAACGAAGAAGCAAAAGAAAAGAAAAAAAGAGGCAAAAAGCCCTCAAGAGGGGAATTATTCTACAAATAATGTACATCTTGTATCGTAAATACATCCATATCATCACAAAATTACCCAACCATAACCCTTCCGCTGACGCCATTTTCATATGTACCCGGAGATTCTTAGCTGTGTTAATGATGATAATTGTTCCTTACTCCTGGGAGCCGTTTACATTCATCTCATGAACGGTCCATGTTCCATCCACCCAGCCTTGCTTTTCTCCCAAAAAGGTTGTGCGCTCCTCTCCCTTTTCAATAGGCTCGACAAGGAACTTTTGTGCCACAGCTCTGACTTGATCCTTTGTCACGTCTAGCAGCTGCTCTCTCTTCTTCTGCTTCATCTCATCCGTAATGCCAGACAGGAATCTTGCCATGCCCTCCTGGTTCACAGACTTGGGAGCGTCAACTCCTTGGAACACAGAAATCTTGGCCTCTTCCAGGTCTCGATCGCTCCATTCCTTCTCCGTTGCCCAGCGCCCTGCATTGCGCATAATGCTCAATGTGTTCTGCGGGTTAGGATCACGGTATGAGTAGAACCCAAACAGGCCATCCAATGCCTTGGAGTAAGCCCCGCCGCCGTAGGCACCGCCCTTTTCTCGGATCTCGTGGTGGAGATGTTTGTGTGTCAGCAACTGTGCAAGGATCTGGAGCGGCGCACCGTCGGGTGAGGTATATGATGTCGTGGCAACGGAGAGGCCTCCATAATAGACTTGATATGGCAGAGGGAAGAATGCTTTGCTGTCTTTCGGGAGAGGCGACGGGCCCTTGCTTGCAACCCCTGATACTTTTTGTGGCAGTCCGCCTGTAAAGCTCTTCAGAGAGTTCAAGTTTTCTTGCACATTCTCAGTGCCGCACGTAAGGGCCGTGCGCATCTGACCGCTAGTCAGAGCAAAAGTCTGGATCTTCTTGAGCTTGCCAATGACATCCTCTAGCTGGTCTGACTCGGGTCGGCTGGTCAGCGAAGTAACCAGCTTGACCTGTGACAAACCGCCAATTTGCTGCCTCAGCCAGGCGCTGCGGGTCAAGCTGGATTCGGCGTGGCCCATTGCGAATCGGTGTCCGGAAGAAGCAATGTCGTTGACAACTCCATCGGCTGAGGCATGCAGCAACTGTCGAATTCGCAGTGAGGCCTCCGGGCTGTCAAAATCGGTCTCTTGCACCAGCTTGCGCAGGATATCGTACATGACGGGCACGTTCCTGTCAAGCGCCATTCCAGTAAAGATGATACCTTCGCTTGACTGAGTGTAATCGGTTGGCGAAGGCGTGGAATGGTAGCCAACAGAAACACCGCCAGTCTTGAGTTTGATGAGATCCTCGAGTTGCTCCATCGTCATGTCCTTTGTCCCCAAGCGCATGATGCTGTCCGTAAACAGAGGGATAAGCTCTCGAAGGTCGTCAGGCAAGTTTTCCAATGTGTTGATGGCACGGAAATAAGTAAGGCCATTGGTCGGAGCCTCGTGCCACTGGATGGGAATACCATTTGCAACCTCATCTCGGACTACCGTTGGCTCTTTTGACCTTGGAATATCCTTGACATGGACAGTGGGCAGACAGCTCAAATCCTCGGTGTTGGTCTTGTTCTGTTCCACCAACAGCTCCTGTTCCTGCTTCTCAAATTGCTGCCGTGCGCTCTCCTCGCTTCCGGCCTTGTTCACGGCGTCTTGGATTTTGGAAGAGAGACGCGCCTGTTCCTCGGCAATCAGGTCATCTCCAAAGGTCGCCGATGGCGCCATCGTAAAGGTCAAAGTGTTGTCGTTTAGCAGATATTTATCCATCAATCCTTCCAAGTAGCCACCCTCGGCCATCTTGGCCTGGAAAGCAGCAATTGTATCATTCCAAGCCAAGGAGTCAAAGGGATCGCTTCCATTGAACCACTTCGGCTTCAGCCTGTTGAGCATCGAATAGCCAAAGGTAGACGTTTTGTGCTTGAGCGCAAGCTCGAGTTGGTGAAGCGTTCCATCAATCTTGCCCTGGTCAAAGCCCTTGTCCCGGGCATCGCGCAGGATCTCTTGGATCTTGCCCTTCACCTTGGGAACATCAGATTCCTGGACACCAGTAAGGCCAATTGAGAAGATTCCGCGCTTCGCATAGCTATCGTAACCTGCATTGGGACTCCAATCAGCGCCCATGCCGGCTTCTATCAAGCCCCGGTATAACGGCGAACCATAGCCGTCCATAAGGAGAGTTGATAGCAGCGACACGGAGAATGACTCGACTATATCAGTGGTATCTCCAGTAATCCAAGATACCGATGTCTTGTACTGTCGATCCGGAGCAACCAATGGGTCCAATGGGCCGTGGAGAATAACTTCTCGAGGACCATCCAGCTCAACAGGTAAATGAATAACCTTATCCTTGGCAATCTTCTCAAAAGCCTGCAACCTAGCGTCAACCTCCTGCAGGTGATCTGCCAGGGGCATGTCTCCATAGGTAAACAGCTTGGCATTACTGGGGTGGTAGTTTTCGGCATGGAAGCCCTTGAGCTGCTCGTAGGTCAAATCCGTGATCTTTTGCGGGTCACCACCGGAGTTGTTGATGTCGGGGAAGATGTGGTCATGGAATCGAATGTAGTAGAGATATCCCGCATCCGACATTTGTCCCTTCATCTCATTATACACAACGCCCTTGAAGACAAGCTTCTTGCCCTCCGCGTCCTCGGCCGTGGGGTTCTCCGGCCCAATTCGCCAACCTTCCTGCTGAAAGTCGGATTGCTTCAGCAGAGGATGGAGCGTTGCGTCGAGATACACGGACATAAGGTTCTTGAAATCCTGCTCGTTTGTCGTCGCAAAGGGATAAAAAGTGTGGTCCGAAGCTGTCATTGCATTCATGAAATTGGAAAGCGTCCGGGGCAGCATCTTGAAGAAGGGATCACGAATAGGATATCTGGGATATTGTCAGCCGTGTCGACTCTCGTTGGCTGCCAAAAGATATCTCCTACTTTTCACTGCCGCAAAGAGTGGTGTGCTCTAGAATGTGAGGAACACCGGTATCGTCCGGAGGATTCGTCTTGAAGCCGATGGAGAAGACATTGTTGGAGTCATCGCGGGCAATGTGCAGATAATCGGCGCCGGTTTTGTCGTGCTGCAGCTGCAGTGCGGTTAGTTCCAGCTCCGGGACGTGCTTTGCTCGGACGACGGTGAAGCCGTGGAGTTTGGCGCCAGGCTTCGGATACAGCGCGAGATCCGTCACGGTCTTTCGAGCCGCATTTGCTGCGTTTCGCAACATGGCGAGAGAGCACGCACTATCGCGAGGTCTATAAGTGGGAAGAAGTAAGAAGGAATGGCAAACGTTCTAACGATGCATCGGAACAGGAAATGCGATGTGAACGGCCCGAGTAGCTGCACAATGTCCCTACAGCTTAGCCACGCAAATAAAACGACCGCAGCCAGAAAACCAGATGCTGATGATGATGTTCCCAGCATCTGTCGGGTCTGGCTCGGACTCTGTCGAAATTTAGCAACGCCCGCCACCAGAGCGCTTAGTCACGTCCTCGGCAAGACCCCCAAGTCTTTCCGGCCACTCGGTTGCTAGTGCACTAACAACCCCACCATATTGGACGCTGACCTAATCCCTGAGGCACTAACAAATTCACTGCACGCCGCATCATCGCACTATTAGAATTCTAACGAATTAACCTCCCGCCTGGTCACGCTCCCACCTACACATGTCTGCCATCGCCGGCTGTTGACAAATTCGACACACGTCAGGATCGCAACGACGGCCCACCACACCCAGTCCGGACCTCAATTCGCGGCCAGCTAGTATTTCGTAAGCACCGGCGCTCGCCCATTGTCCCGTAGCCCGGCCGACAGCCCAGACGGCGAACGATTTTGACAGCAATTCCGCCTCGTTTCCCGCTGGAGCCGTTGTCCGCTGGAGCCTCGAGCCGACGCCACCTTTTATAACCATATATCGATTAACAATCAGCTATATTGAACGAAGAAGGATATATAAAAATATATATTTCCCTTTTTTTGGTCCGCCTACAGCTCTCCATCAATGTGGCTCGGCCCTTGATGAGACTCGAGCCCAGCCAAAACACCCTTCCTTGACGCATTATTCGAGCCATGCCGGCAACTCATGTAGAGGCGGCCCTCACAAATGGCCACGATGCGCATGTCCACTCGTCACCCGCTGCGAAGAAGGCCAAGGGAAAGAGGGGGATGGACTCGTCCGAAGCTTCGCGCCTCCTCCAGGCCCGTATCTCGCAGCTGGAGCAGGACGCCGCTGGAGAGAAGGACCAAGAGATGGAGATAGGTGCGTCCAAAAGTTGCCGCATGAGACAAGAGTATTTGGGCCAGAGGTCAACTAACGTCTATATTTTCGCGAATAGAAAGGGAAGTCAAGCGCGCCAATCGAGATCTTCTGCAGCAGGTTTCTAAGATGGACGACATGCAGAAAATTGAACATCTTATGAGGCGCTCAAGTGAACTGTTAGCCGACATGCGACGCCTAGAAAGAGAGAATCAGAAGAATAAGAAACGCGGAGACGCTCTCCAGAAAGAACGAGATGCTAGCCGTACAGAACTCAGCAAGACCGTGGGATTGAAGGAGAAACTTGAAAAGCTGTGTCGGGAACTGCAAAGAGACAACAACAAAATGAAGGTTCGCACCGACCGCTTCGAGCAAACAATTACCGAGCCTTTGGCGCAACACGGCGCACTGACACTGGGACATAGAATGAGAATAAAGAGCTCCAGAGTACGCAGAAGCGAAATAACGCCGCCTGGGACGAGAAATTCGCAAGCTTGTTATCAAAATTGGAGGGGTACCAAGAGGAAAAGGACACCCCAAAGAAACAAGTAGTGGACATGGAAATGGACGAATTGTAAGCTTAACCCACTCACGAATTCTCTGGGGCGCATGGATTAATTGGCGAGACACAAAACTAGATTCCGAGTTCGATTCAAATCCTTCATTGAGCAGTACGAGCTGCGCGAGCTGCATTTTCACTCTCTCATGCGGACCAAAGAACTCGAAGTTCAATACCACCTATCTCGCCATGACAGGGAGAAGAAGAACGCCGAAGCCGAAGCGAACAAAGCGCGCCATTTGCAGAACCAGGTCGGAGCCTTCACTAAGACGGAGACGGAGCTTCGGAACCAGCTGAATGTATACGTGGACAAATTCAAACAGGTATGTCATACAGCATGCATTGGTTTAGCAATTGGCAGCCAGGCCTGACCTGTTGCGTCTTGTAGGTGGAGGATACTCTTAATAATAGCAACGACCTGTTTCTCTCGTTCCGGAAAGAAATGGAGGATATGTCGAAAAAGGGCAAACGCTTGGAGAAGGAAAATGAGACGCTGAAGCGTCAGAAAGAGGCGACGACGGCGAATATCATCCAATTGGCGGAAGAGCGGCAAGACTGGAAGCGGAAGATTGATGCATCCGACAAAAAGACCGAGAAGCTCATGAGCATCATCCAGCAGATGCAGCAACAAGGGCGGAAAGTCCCACGGGAGACTGCCACCACGGTGGAGGCCAGCACAGTAGAAGTGTGCCCCCCGGATAATCAGGGGCACGGAGCCGCAGAGGGCGAGGGCGAGGAGAGCGAATATTCCGAGGAGGAGGGCGAGGAGGAAGAGCTTAGTGAGTTCGATGATGATACTGAAGAGGAGCCTCAGCCGAGCGAACAGGGGCCCCCAGTGCCTTATGGCCCGGAACGCCCGCCGCAGCCAACTACGAATGGACATTAGTATGCGATTATTCAGTGTTTGGTCCCAAACGTACCAGAAGTCGCTCCAGAAGTCAATCCAGCGACAGTCCAAAAGGAAATCAACAAGTTTTTGAAGGTGCCAAAAGAACAGAGGTGCTCTCACTTGCTACAGCGAATGAAAGATGACCCAATTATGTTCTCTCACTTGCTACAGCGAATGGAAGATGAGGAATTTCTACCTAGGTTGCTGAATTTGTTACTAAACATACTATTGCCGCCATCTATGCTACGGCCACACTTTGATGATGTGCCTCGCGCATTGATGATCGACGTCTTTTGGAAGCTGATACTGGCTGCGAGATACAACGTAGACCTACATGCAATTTACAAAGGCTGCCAAGGACGAGAAAAAAAAGAAGAAGGGAAGAAATAGGGGCCGGAAGAAAAACAAAGTATACTTGGTTGGTATCAATTGTCTGACTGGCAAAGCGGGACTCATGTGTTGGGTTTAGCCCTGTAGTTATTATCGTCTATGCTGTCAATTATATTGCCTCTTTCTCAGCGGAAATCATTACTGCGGTTTTCTTTCTCCTTTCTCCAGTGAGCTTCAAATCTTGAATCTTGACTAAGTACTATGCCATGTGTGTGAATGAACACTGTGGCCTCGCATCATGCGTGTAAGGAAAGCTTCCCCTCACAGCTGCCAAGAAGATGGCATCGATTATTCACGTATCTGGGCCAGGTCCTTTGTTGTACAGTTGTCTAACTAAAGCAAAGCAGCTGGTCGCGTGATCCAGGACATGACAAGGTAAGCAATACTTGTTCGCGGGCTCAGTAGAATTCAGAGAGGTCTGTCCGTAACGTGTGTTTTGTATGTTACTGCAGGCACTTCCTTGACGCGGTAATACCATGCTGGGCATATCAGGCAGACTTTACTGCAATTGGCCTCTACAGTGAATGGTAGGTGAAGTACTAGTAGGTTATAGGTCACCAGTAGCATCAAATGTGCATGCAGTTACATCAGTATGAGATTGGATGGCTATCAGCAAATTTCAACAAGTAACATTTACCAATCTTACTTGAAGATCAAAAAAATCAATCAAGCAACAGCAGCATAATTCCATCACATCTCAATTGGCCCATTCCTGAGCACTTTTGAGGCACGTCATACACGGTAAACAAGGGCCAACTAAAAATCGGGTAGCTATCCGCGACGTGCATTAGCTCAGCAGCACTTATAGCCACCCTGGCCTCCCCCCCCCGCCAAGCTTCTAGTCGTTCCATCTTCTGTCCTCTGCATAGCAAGAAAAGATCCTGTCCAAGCTGTTGATATCCTGAATCCATCAGGAGAAAAAACAACAGCCCATCATGGACTTTCTACAGGTGCGTCTAAAGCCAATTGCACTCAATCAATCAGATTGAAGCCTTCCCTCTTGGCCAAGTCCGCTAACCAAACGCTCTCTTCACAGCGCCTGTCGCAGTTCCTCGACCGCCCGCTGTTCCCATGGAAGAGGCTCGTCCTGGGCTTCTCCCTGGGCCAGTTCGTCTTTGAATCCTTCCTCACCTTCCGCCAGTACCGTGTCCTCCAGTCGCCCAAGCCCCCCGCCGTCCTCGCCAAGGAAGTCTCCCGCGAAGATTTCGACAAGTCGCAAGCCTATGGCCGCGCCAAAGCTGAATTCTCCGTCGCCAGCGGCCTCTGGGGCCAAATCGTCAACTTTGCCTTTATCCAACTCGATGTCATGCCCAAACTGTGGTCCTGGACCGGCGACCTGCTGCTGAAGTGGGCGCCCGCGCGCTTCACCGGCGAAATCTCCCACTCCATCGTCTTCGTCTTCACCTTTATGCTCATCCAGCAGGCGCTGGGCCTGCCGACCAAGATCTACAGCACCTTTGTCCTGGAAGAAAAGTTTGGCTTCAACAAGCAGACGCCCGGCCTGTTCGTCTCCGATATTGTCAAGACCAACCTTCTGACTGCCGTCCTGATGCCCCCCGTCCTCGCTGGTTTCCTCAAGATCATCCAAAAGACTGGCTCCCAGTTTGTCTTTTACACTTGGGTTTTCACCGCCACCGTCCAGGTTCTCATGACTACTCTGTATCCTACCTTTATCCAACCGCTGTTCAACAAGCTGTCTCCCCTCGAAGACGGCGAGCTCAAGACAAAGGTCAACGAATTGGCTGCTCGGTTCAACTTCCCCCTGCACGAGCTGTACGTCATTGACGGCAGCAAGCGCAGCGCTCACTCTAATGCCTTCTTCTACGGTCTGCCTTGGAAGAAGCACATTGTCATCTACGATACTCTGCTGGAAAAGTCCGAAACTGACGAGGTTCTCTCAATCCTGGCCCACGAGCTCGGCCACTGGAAATTGGGTCACACCACGAGCCTCTTTGGCATCTCTCAGGTATAACCTTTCTCTCATCTTGCTCTGCGCAGTATCCAAGCATCCATCCAACTAACACAATGACAGGCCCACCTCCTCTACGTCTTCAGCCTCTTCTCCGTCTTCATCAACAACCGCTCTTTGTACTCATCATTCGGCTTCCACAACGAGCACCCCATCATCATCGGCTTCCTTCTCTTCTCCGACGCTCTGTCTCCCATGGACACCGTCATCCAGTTCCTCCTCCACATGGTCACCCGCGCTTTTGAGTTCCAGGCCGATGCCTTCGCCAAGGGTCTCGGTATGCAAACTGAGCTGGCCAGGTCGCTTCTCAAGCTGCAGATCCAAAACCTCAGCTCCATGGATGCCGACTGGATGTACGCGAGCTACCACTTCTCGCACCCCCACCTCTCAGAACGTCTCAAGGCCCTGAACTGGAAGGGAGAGCAAGCCGTCACTAGTGAGAAGGATGAGGAGGGCGTCATCAAAGCCAGTGGCCGCGACGAGTTGTAAGACATAGATAAAAGAACTATGCGTGTAATAGATAGATATCTTAAGTAGGGAAGAAGAGGGGGGGGAATATTCGAGAAGAAATCATGATTCTGATTGAGAAATGGTTTTCACGGCTATCGTCGTACTATCTATTTATGTAGATTCTACCGGCCCATGTCATCATCTGTGAGTCTATGTGAAGCTTACAGTACAGGTTTTCCAGGCCCATGTCTTGAGTTCGAACAATTGACCTCGTATCATCGAGTCTATTTAGTCCTCGTCCTCCTCGCTCCCCTCATCCGAATATGCTTCCTCATCGTCATCTTCGTCATCATCATCGTCATCGTCATCATCATCGTCATCGTCCTCGTCCTCGTCCTCGTCATCACCAGCATCCAAGCCATAATCATCGTGGAAATGGCTTAATTCTTGGGTCTGAACCTTGTAGCCCATTCCCTTAAATGCGGTTTCCATACCCTATACGAAAAATGTCAGCATAGCTCTCTCTCATGTTAAAAAGGAGAACAACAAAACGTACCTCCTGCATCAGCTTAGCGCATGTAATAACCACATTGCTCTTGCCCGGCTCAAAGCAAGGCATAATGATGTCCTTTAGCACCTGTCGAATCTCATCCTCCTTTACTTCTCTAACGCGCTTCAACATACCCTTGTTCCAGTCTTTGGGCAGCTGCCTGAACACGCTCTGGACAAAGTTCTGCTGGGCAGCGCCGGACATGGTAGATTGTTCGTCTGCAAAGCTAACCACAATCTGGCTGATGGTACCTTCCAACAGGTGTTTATCAATTGGCACCTCTTCATTGGCAATCTTTTGAATTGCATCACGCGAAGCAATAATTGCCTTGGAGGCATCTGGAGATCGGTAAACCTTGTAGTGTATAACTCCGCTCTCAACATTGCGTGAGAAGAAAGATCCGTAGGCATACCCGGCACCTCGAACAGCATTCCACAGGGGTCCCTCTATCGACTCAAGATAACCGATTGCCACCATGATGGACGGCAGCCTAGGATCTGAAAACGAGAAGAGACCAGGAGCAGTGCTTACGGAGAAGGAGCTGTCGAGAGTCGTCATGGGAACGATAATGGCGCCGACAGAGCCAGGGGCCTTTCCTTCATCGTTCAAAGTACTTGAAGTCTTCGGAATAGCAACCATCGCTCCATTTTGCGACTTCAACGCGGTGGAGAGCGGATCCCAGGTCGTGATGGGGTTAGGAAGCTTCTCCAAGTTTGCGGTGACGAGAACTCTGACGTTTTCGAAAGTGAAAAGCGAGTTGCGGATTGTCTTGAACCACTCCACAACCTGATCTGGATTCTTCTGAAGAATCTTTTTGAGACGTTTGAGGTAAACTGCCTTGACAAGAACGCGCCTTGCGACTGTAAGGGTTGACCTGTCCTGGTGAATAGCTGTGTTCACCTCAGAGGACATGCTGCGCCCGTCGCGTTTCGATTCTGGGACGTCTGCCAAAGCTTTCATGATGGCAGCTTTGATGCGTATCGGGTCAAAAACAGAATCAAACATCATAGTACGGAGCCAGTTTACGGCCGCAGCATACTTTTCTGGCTCAACCTGAAACTGGATCATGTATCCTTCTCCATCGCTAAGCTGGCGAGAGTTTCCAATGTCATAGCCAACACTGTCCCTCTCTAGCTCCATCACGACCTGCTCAAAGTTAATTTGCTGCCCATCTCGCGTGATGTGAGTGTTGAAGAAGTTATCACTAAAGATTGACATTAGTGGCTTCAAGTGAACAGGGACTTGGGCTGTGCCAAGGTGAAGGGTAATGTGCACAAAATTTGTAGGCACATCTTCGAACTGAAGGAAAAGCGGCAGTTTGCCACCAGGGGCCGCATTGATGAGTTCCTGGGCACGGCCAGGACCAAGTCCAAGGGCCTTGGCGTGACCAGAACGAGCTGTATCGGATTCGATGAAATGAATTGATTCTGTACCGGGCACAGCCCAGCGATCAATGACTTCAGGGGGGATTGGTGCATCGTTCTTCGTCTTTGCATCTTCAAGCTTTTGTGCGAGTTTTTGCAATCCCTCTTCTCCAAGCTCTTCTTTACGCTTGGCAATTCGAGCTTCGTGATCGCCCTTCATTTTGATGGCCAACTGCAGAGATGGCTTGCCCAGGACAGAGATGTGGTGAGCATCAGCCATCCATTTGCTCAAGAAAGCTCGCCATTCTTCGTCTGACCACTTTTCAAGAACATCATATTCCGCGATTGATGCCAAATCCTTGAGTGTGGAGCCGTCACGCTTTCCAAAGAGGTAGTCAGCTATGATGTTGGTAGAGTAGAAAGACTCTGACGTTTCAGCGTGAAATTTGACTTGTCGCTTCTCTCGCCGGATGCATTCTGTCATGTACTTCATGTCCAATGGTTTCGACACGACATCTTTGAGGACTTGGAAGAGGCGCTTCTCCACAAACTCCAGCTTTTCCGTTTCTACGCCAGTAGGCTGAAGCCAAATGAGCGAGTTCGGCCGTGAATCCCACCAGCAAGAGATAGAGCTTGCAAGTTCCTCCCGCTCCACAAGAACATTTTCCAACACAGAGACAGATGAGCCGCAAAGGTAAGTAAGGAGAATGTTCAAAGCGGATGTGGCGATCACATCAGCGCAGTGAGGGCCAAAGAATCCAATAAGTATTTCGCCTACGGACTCATCCTCTTCGGGAAACTCTGCTGTCGTGACGATGCTTTCTTTGAGAGCTGGCGGCTGAGCTGACTCTACCCATGGTCGCTTGAAATTGGAATCAAGAGCAGGGATATCATCTTTGATGCTTTCTTCGAATGTATCCAGTATTTCCAGGAGATTCTCATGGTCTGCTTCACCGACAATGACTATGCACAAGTTGCGCGGCTGGTACATATCGCGATGGAATTGGCGAATACGCTCAGGGGTTAGTACTCGTAGAGCTTCCGTCATACCACCAGTCTCGTAGCGGAAGCCGACGTTTTCTGGGTACAAAAGTCGACGAGCTTTAAGGTCCAAAATTTCGGTACTGCGATGTTCCACAGCCTGCATTTCAGAGTATACAACACCAGCATCGTTGCCTTCTCCATCGATGTGCCAAACTTCAGTGACAACGCTCTCATCGGTGATGGTAGGCAAAATTACATGCTCCAAATAGACAGGGAGGATCTGGGCAAAGCCCTCCCAGCCTGCAGTTTCAAGGGTGTAGGCTGTGTGATCGGTAGCAGTCCAAGCATTGGTACCAGAGTATGCTCGAGAGGACAGCTTATCCAGAAGTCCTTTCCACTGATAGTTCTTTGATCCCATGAAGATCAGATGCTCAAGCGTGTGAGGAGCACCAGAGTCGTCGAAAATTTCGGTAGCAAGTGTGAAGTAGCCGTTGATCTTGGGGCCCTTGCGATCGGCCACTACGACCTGCATGCCACTTCGCTCAGAGACATATTGGGTCATTGTGCAGGGAGCATAGTCGGTCTGAAAACTCTGCACCTTGCGGAAGCCAGGCTTCAGCTTTTGAGAGGGCATTTTGAAGACTTGCGAGTAGAAGCGCCCTTTCCAGCCGGACCTAAGCAGTAGTATGTTAGCACAATTGCAATGACAGTCAATATCCGGCCCCTTGTCACTACACTTGGATGTCTAGAAGGGAGAAAACGAGGCGAGGGAGAAGAGGCATGATTTCGAAGAATGGTTTGAGTTCGGAAAAATTGGTGCAGAGACAGGAGCGGCTGATGATGCCTGCATGGGCCACCTAGACAGAGGAGCATAGAAGGAACCAACCTCAGCAGGTGGCCTTGCAGGAACGCGCAGACAGATTGGCCATAGTCGCCGATGAACAGAAAGTACCCGCCGACGCTGATGAGGGCGACAACAAGCGGTAAGATCACATTCGTAAGCCTAGCTGGAAGCATCTAGGGGAGCCTTTCAGCAGTGCTGCGTAGAAGCCAGACGATGACTTCCAACCCAGACTGTTTGATGGGAGAATGCGGGCAGTTCAAGATGAACAGATCGGTGAGGCGGTTCGCAAAATACACAAGAAGCAGGGCATGTGATATGTTTCGTTTCAGCAACTCACCAAACACAGCGACGCCCTAGCAAGTGAAGAGAGGGCAAACCACGTTCTGTCCGTAGAAGACGAAACGTCCTGAGCGACTGATTCGTGCAAGAGAGAAGATGAAGATCTCTGCCCGCGATCCAAGGTGAGGGGCTGTAGAGACTGCTTATGGAATGTCCTCCGGCCTAAGAAGACGAGCCCGCCGGTCAAAACTCTCGCGTCTGACGGCAATGGCTTTTCAACACACTTGATCCCTGTCTAGTCGAAGGATTGCCAACAGCAGAACAATATCAAAGTACGTACCGCCAAATGCTTTGTTCCGTCCAGATGGAGCCCATTGCCTGGCCGCTGGTTGGTGGCTGGTGGGGTATCCCGGAGAAGCAGTTGGGAGTGACATGTGCCGCATGTGCCGCATGCGCCACAGAAGGAGGGGGTTTAACCGCCTAGGCGCGCACACGCCGCCAGCAGCCACCTGTCAGTAGAGGCAGTCTCAGCTGTATGTGGCGCAGCAGACGCCGAGTGACGTTGAAGTTGCCAGCTGCTACCTGGTACCTGAGAGCTCAAATGCTGGCATCATCAAAAAAGGCGAACCTGAGCCGACTTGCGCAAATCGACGCGCCCTCAGCCACAACGACTTGATACCATGTCCTGCGATGCCAGATAATACCCTACTCAGCATTGATGCTATCTAATAGGGCTAATCCTTGCCATTTACATCCAGTCACCAGGCAGACAGTCGCCTATCCATCCGCGTAGCTGCGGCTACCAAGGGTTATTGTGGACGCTACCATGGCGACAGCGACAGAACCGCAGCAGCTTAGCAGCGCTGTTATATCGTTTACCTTGGACGGAAACTTCCCTGAAGATGCAGTCGCACTTCTAGGTGTCTCAGGGACTGACCTTGGCCCTACGATTGCAGCTCTGGACAAAGCCAAAGTGGATATTGAGGTACCAAAACTACCATTCAAGTGTTGCCGCTTTAGCAACGGATCCTGTTTTAACGCCATTGTAATCTAGGCCGAAATACACACCATCAACGAAGAGACAAAAGATGACATTAGCTCGTGGGTTAGAAACTCAAAAGTCTTACAGGAGGACATCATCCGATCGAAAACCATTGCCAATGAGATCATCCTCCAATCAGAGGCCCCTGAAGTAACTGGAGAAGCAATCCAAGATGCAGAAGAAAAGGCCGAATTTCTGAACCGAGAGGTCCAATACAGCCAACAGATGCACAGCGTCTTGAGACGGATCCAACATGTAAATCAACTCCTCGCGGAAGTCGAGCAGGCAAGTCGGGAAAGGCGCGTTCTGGATTCGCTGCGGCTGCTTGAGAGTGTGTATTCTTCCAATTCCTTCATCAACTGTGGCTAACTTGATGAAGAATCATGGACAGCTCTTGACGACGTGGGGGTCAGCAAGACCGCCCGAGTGATGAAGCTGTTGGATCTGAGAGCGTTTGAGCTGAAATCTGATATTCATCAAGTTTTTGAGCATGTCTGGAAGACCCTGGTTCAGATTGATACAGACTCTGGGAAAGTTGCCATTTACAAGACGCGTCAAGGTCCGTTCTGCAACTTACATATGTACCTGACTCCCTTTGGGAAAATTTTGTTGACAATCGACAGATGAAAAAATGAGCCTGGAAGATGCTGCGATTGGCTTGCAAGCTTATAAAGAGGTCGATGAGAGAATGGAGCAGCTGTGGCACAACTTGGATACGGCAGTGGTATCACCACGCATGGATACTATGAGATCAAACATCCCGGGTATCAAAGTAGAAGGAGACGTGCTGGAACTTGCAGGGTCTGCCGATGGCTCAGCAGAGTCTCTTTTGTCGGATCTCGAGCGGATTCTGACATTTATTTCCCAGAAATTACCTGCAGATTTACTGCAACCCTTGGTAAGTGTTATGATGAACGACATCATATCCAAACTGACCCGAGAATGGCTGAACCCTGCTGTTCCTTCGGGACTCCGAGACTTGGATCGGTTCCAGGCCTTGGTCTCAAAATTGAAAGACTTTTGTGAGGAGTTGCAACGTAGTGGGTACACTGGCCTTGAACAGATACAAGACTGGGCCAGTAAAGCACCTACAATATGGCTTGAAAAATGCAGAGAGACTTCCCTCAACAGTGTCCGAGTTAATCTCACAGGCGGTATTGGGCAGTCAAAGCGGGTTGAAAAGATTGAGAGACAGATGGTTTCCATAGCTGAGGGCAAGGAGCTCTCTAGGACAGGAGCCGGAGCTGTTGCTGATACAAACGACTGGGGCGAGGATTGGGGAGAAGCTTGGGATAATGACAAGGCGAAGGAGCCAGCAACTGAGGCGAGCGACCAGAATGAGGGACCTGGCGGAGGCGATGAAGACATGGCAGATGCTTGGGGGTGGGATGATAACGAGGACGCGAACAAAGATGCGAGCGAGGAAAAAGAAAAAGGACCGGCGCAAACGGCAGCTACCGAAGCAGAGGATGGAGACGACGGTGCTGATGCATGGGGTTGGGGGGACAACGACGATGCGAACGGCAATGCAAACGACGATGCGAACCAGGCAGCAGAAGCCAAGAATCCTGCTGAAACACCAGACGAGGATGATGGCGCCGATGCCTGGGGCTGGGGTGATGATGGCGACACTGCTGTCCCTGCAGCTCCCGCTCCGGCACCTACGTCAACAACTCGCAAGACGAGACCAAGCCTAAAAGCAAGAGAGCAAACACGAGAATTGGTCTTCAAAGAGACGTACAGCATTTCATCAATGCCCGAACCTGTTCTTGAACTGATATTCTCCATCTTGGAAGACGGAGCGGCTCTGACAAAGGACAGCGACGAATACAGCCTGCTAACCGCAACGGCACCTGGCCTGTTCAGCTTGCCTACATTCGTTTTGGCGCTATTCCGAGCCATTTCACCTCACTACTACTCGTCAGACGCTGGAGGCAACATGTAAGTCTGGTAACGCCGCAAACCTCAAATCTCATCATATAATTGACAAATGATGCAGGTTTCTGTACAACGATGCCATGTATCTAGCGGAGAAACTATCTGACTTTTCTCTGGCCTGGAAACAACGCGAGGAGCTGACGCCTCGTGCGCGGAGCATGCTTCGTATCGACAATGATGTCAGGACACTCAAAAGCTTTGCGAACCGCAGCTACGCAAATGAGATGAGCCTCCAGAAGACGATATTGCACGATCTTCTCGGAGGTTCGCAGAGTCTAGCGCAACAAGACGACAAAGATTCCTCGATCGAGGCTGGAACAGCACGAATTCGAAGCGTTGCTGCGACCTGGGAGCCGATTTTGAAGAGATCTGTGTGGTCTCAAGCTGTCGGGTCACTCGCAGACTCACTCGCGTCACGAATTATATCAGACGTGCTAGAGATGTCTTCTATTGGACAAGAGGAGGCCTTTGGCATCGCCCAGCTCATTGCCTCAGCAACAGAGCTTGACGACTTATTTATACCCAGCAAGCTGGCTGGTACCGCACCAGTGCCAGATGAAATGCCAACAACGGCTCAATATGCGCCAAACTGGCTGCGTCTCAAGTATCTTGGCGAAGTGCTGCAGAGCAACCTCAACGAAGTCAAGTTCTTATGGTGTGACAGCGAGCTGAGCTTGTATTTCACGGTGGACGAGGTAATTGATCTGATCCACGCCAGCTTTGAGGACAATGCGAGAACAAGGGGAACAATCAAGGAGATTAGTGCCAAAGAGCCGTTGGCTAGATGACGGAACTTGAGCGAAATGAATGAAATGAAGAGGATGAATTACTTTCTACTTTTATACGTGCCTTTGGCTATTACAGTGTTTTTCTCTCTGCATTTCATGTCGAGCTTTCCCATTTCTCGCAGATGATGGATACAAACTATGGGCCAAGTTTCGGGGTTTTCGCGCGATAGTTTCATGAAGCTCCTACCTTCACGATGCCTCCAACAACATTGGGCGGATGGTTTAGTGGTATAATTTTCCCTTAGCATCAAGCGACCTTCTGGTTCGGCTTCATCGCATGGGAAAGGTCCGGGGTTCGATTCCCCGTTCGTCCAACCTTTTTGTCTTTTTGGGGGAGTTTTCGCCACTTCATCTCCTCCCCCCCTTTTTTTACGCAGTGAAGAGAAAAGTAGGCATCAAAGTATCCTATGTCGTAATTTTGTCTACTTTGGGATTTCCAATGTTTTTCTCTCTCTCTCTTGTTTTAACTAAATTTGCGAAGCAAAAGAACCAAGTATCCCTGTAAACTCGCTTCTCATCCAAGTAGGTACTCCATGCAACGTTTCTTTCTAGAATATTTTTTTTTTTTTTCCAAAAATCTGCCGATGGCACATCCCGATATATGTAAATGACATTTATTTAATCTAATTTAATCTAATAAAAAAAAAAAAAAAAAAAAAAAACTTTTGCCGAAGCCAAACAAAAAAAAAAAGAGATGTGCAATTTTCCTTCAAATTTTCTGCCATGACTCGTTTCTTGCATGCTGAGATGGCTGTGTGGAAACCGGGCATGTTTCTCTTTTCTCTTCTTTTTTTCTTCTTCTAATGTTTTCTTATCTTGTTGGCTTTACTTTATTCAGAAGGGGGGTGGGTGGCAAATTTCTCTCTTCTCTTCTTCCTCTTTTGCCTTTTATGCCCATTGAGGCCGCAGTCGAGTATTAGTGTACCAAGAAATTGCACTACTCTGTTCCTTGTCTCATCATACATCCTTCCAATGAGTTTTGAATTCTCACTGACCAAAGAACTCTTCATCAAAAAACTTCCATGTACAGCCCAATCCCGGCACAAATCAACCAATAAAAAAAAAAAAAAAAAACTCCGTTGGTCTTCGGTATTCGACGGCCCCCCCCCATAAAAACCTGCACTCACCGCCATCTACGACTTTATACTGCCGCCCTCTCTTATACACATATAATAAAAGTTAACAAGAGGTACAGCACCATTCATGATAGCACTTTCGCCGTTCTCGTCCAATACTCTTCTGGTTCTTCCTCCCTCCCTCCCTAGACCTAACCTGTATTTACTTCATATCGCTCGCTGCCTCCCTCCCTCCCTTGCCTACATCCCAGACAGAGCCTGGCCCCTGACTCACATCGGCCTCTCCAAGCATCCCTACTCCGAGTCATTGATTCGTTCATTTTGAAATTCAGCTCAGCTCAATTCAGCTCTCTCGGGCTTCTTCCTTTGCCCGGCCCCTCCCCTTGCCGACAATTTGCATTCGCCAAGAGGACTGCTACCCGCTGGCAACATATACCCAATACGAGAGCAGAGAGGTAGGTCGTGCCAAGGTAGAGGCAATAGAAAGTACTCGGTACCGGTAGCAGTACCTGGTAGCTGTAGTGTACCGAGTGGTGCATGCATATCAACTCAACAAGAGGCCACCCTCCCCCCCTGCCCCCAATCGCAAGTTGATCATCGTGATCTTTCTTTCCGCGGACGGATTCGACGGCACGCGGAGACACTAGCCAGGAAGGACGGTGCTACTGCTCCTGGCAGCACAACCTACCAGGATTTTCTTCCAGGGCGTGGTAGCCTGCTTGTAGAAGAAACAACAACAAATAAGCATCCCCTGCCCGGTCTTTGCAGTAGTGCAGAATGTTCATCAGCCTTGCAAAGACACGTCAGCCTTTTTTGTTCCATTCTGTTGGTAAAAAAAGCGATAGAACTGTATTTTGTATTAGTAGTGCTAGGTAATACCGACACATACTTGTATATACACAACAAGGCAGCAACGGGAAACCCTCCGTACCCAGCTGCCGTGTAAGAGGTACACGCAGGGGATAAATCCATAGCAGCTGGGCACCATAAGCAGCTTGTCTCAGGACGATTATTTCCCAGACCCCGGAGAATTGCTATTCTTACTGTAGTGCCTTCTCTGCCTAAAGCAACGACTGACTCTATGACCAGCGTAACTGATACCAGTCCTAGCTGTAACGTTGGTATGTGAGAATCACCAGCCTCACACTCACGGTGACCTATCACGATTCACGATTCACGAGCATCGTCCACCGCTCTTCCAAGCCAGGCTCCTGAAGAGAGACAAAAGGGCAAAACTAGGCTCGCTTGAGTCTAGATTGCACTGGCGCTGTCCAAAACTAATGCAGTCTTTTGCCTTTTTCTCTCTACTACGCAGTAGTTTTGTTTCTAATCTACGGTCTAGATGGCGGTTCCTGGTGTCATCTCGCGATAGGCCGCGGAATACCCGTATGCTAAAGCCAACATACCTTGCGGGCATCGTCGTCTCCGGCACGCTGGTTAGCAGTATGTACAATATCACGAGAGCCGTGGTACTAGTGGGAGGCCTAGCCAGGCACAGCAACAAGTCCTGCTTACTGGGGACCCAGCAGCGAGGGAGCTACGCATCAAAGAGCATGCCATTTCCCCAGATTTTCACTTCTCGGCCCCCCCCTGAGATTGTCCACAAAACGGGCTGGGGTGGACACGGGGCTGATTGCCTTTCTCCTCTGCGCCCGTCTCTGCGTTGGAGTCGTTTGACGGTACACGAGACCGTATGTGCGCGCGCATTAGGGCATATCCCGTCTTTCCAATGCACACGCCTCCCCATTTGGAGCTCAGCAAGTGGCAGTACTAGTACCATGTAGAGTACCAGGCATGGACACGACCTGTCGTAACTCATGCGCTCTGTATATGGCATAGCCCACCACCAAAAAAGGCAGAAAGGAAGAAGAAGAAAAAACCACCCACAGCACCAGCACCACCCTTGCTAGCTGGACAACTGGGCTAAAAAAAGAGTAGAAACCCGAGGCAAGGGATCACTGAGTGGGAGCCTGTAGGATCAGCAGGGACTCGGGTACCGAGCTATTGGAAAAGGTAGTGCTGTGTAGTAGTAATCGTCATCATAGTACCTGATAGTAGTCAGCGACCAGGGGGGAATTGACTTACCATCCATAATAGTAACTGTTCATCCATGCCTGCTTGGGACTGCAGAGTGAGGCTGGTCGCCGAAGCTGCCGTGGCGAACCTTTCCCTGCATACTGAAGACACTTGTACCAGTAGCTTTCACCACTACTGCCGAATGAGGGTCCTGGGCGGAGAAATGTCTTTCTTTTCGGTCAATCATGCGCCAAGGCAGCCTGCCAGCCTTGGGCCACCCGATCGTGATCCAACCAGCAATCTGGATGCTCTTCTCCAGAGCTTTACCGACATCCCTTCATCCTTTATGTGGGCTATGGCTCCTTCGGAATGACGTTGTATATACGAACCATATGCACACTCTGTAGCGGCAGCAGCACAAGTTTGACCAGATCGAGCCACCGGGTGGGTCGTCGTCGACTTTCCCCTCTGTGACACACGGGACGGGACGAAACGAGCACTCGCACTCCATACTTTGCATGAACATATGGGTAGCGCTCGTACAAGGTAGGCCGCTAGACGCCCAAGAAGCTCGTGGAATCCACTGGGCGACGATGAGCCGTGAGTGCCAGTCCTGCCGGAGCCAGTTCCGGCGGAGAGACGGGGAAACAGATTGGATGCCATTGCAAGTATGGCTTGCGAAGACTGAGTGCTCTGTCTGCAATGGCACGACAAGGTGCGTAGGATTTGTCGCGTACAGCTGCAAAGACGTGCATGCATGCGTGCGCAGCACTGAAATCGGACCATCTCCTGGAGTGTGCTTTAGAAACGGCACGCCGTCCAACCGGCTTGTCCTGCGTGCGATTGCTCATACGCAGGGTGCTCTGCTCTGTTCCGTTATCCAAGTACTTGTAGAATTGCCACCGGTGCCGGTTCCACTTTATCATTTCCTTGGAAAAATGCCCGGCCTGCCATACAACCCGTCATATGCAATCCCAGACCGTCACGCCCGTCTGTGTTTGCTGCTGCTCACTGCATCGGCTCACCTAAGCTGTCAATCTCCCTCCCTCCAGGAACCTTGTAAAGGCTATTGCAACGCGCATTGCTCGGGTGCTCGTTTCCATCAGCTTTCGTTTGTTTCAAAGTAGCAGTAACACGTAGTGCTTGTAGTAGTATATCGTAAACGGCGGCTGGGCCATGGGCGGACGCGTACAGGTACAAGTAAGCATCGGCGCGTCAGCTCTTGATTGCATCAGACAACCGGACGCATGCACATGCAGTCAGCGTCTGTTCACTTTCGCAGGGTCGATAGGGAGTTCGACCACTTTCATCGCCCAACAGGAGATATTAGTGGAATGGCATGGCCTTGTGGAGATACGAATCAGCGTCGCATCGCATCGCGAGCTGCCAAGGACTGGCATGTTTCGGCAAGGCGAGCTTCTTCACAGGTCCCTCCGCACCGCCTCGTGGCCATAGAGCTGGCTGGCTGGCTGCTGCCAGCACGTATTGCGGGTCGCTGCATGAGAGCTTAGCGATGCTGTGACTGACAGCTTCATCCTGTCTCGGGGATCAGAGGCTCTGCAACCCGCTCCCGTTAAGCACATGCCGTTGAGTAAGGCGCCTTGCGGCTCCCAGTCCATCCTCGACGTGTTCATGTCGCTCGCCGCCCATGCCGGTCCCGCAAAGCTTGCTGTGGTTTAATCTTTTGATGGATTCGAGCTTACATGCCTTGCCGCTCCTCCATGCGTATATGGATCTGGTCCTTGGGCCGATAATTGGTAGATGGGCATGAATTAGCCCCCTTCTTCTGCCGCCTGATCTGCAAGGAGAGCAGTAGTTCTCAAGTCTGCTAGCTTTTGCGTTCGCCGAATTAAAGCCATCGTGATTGTTCCAACAGAAGAAGATCATCCACGGGGGTCGTCAAAATCCGGCCGCAGCTCACCCAGCACTGCAGACCTCAGTAGTCAGAGCTACTGCTGCCCGTACATAAGACAGGCGGGCTGTAGCTGCAGAATTAGCTCAGGCATAGCCTTACATACCAGTGCTAAAAGCAAGTGAGACATGACCAGTCGTTGCGTGTGAGGCAAAATGTGATGGCAGTGAGCAGGATTCCAGAGCAGGCAAGAGCATGAAGCTGGCGAGGACCGTGCCGTAGTTGAAACCCGCCCTCGAACCATCAGCTGAGTACTAGGAGTACTAGTAGTAGCGTTAGATAGACTGGCGCAGTTTGTCGCCGACGATGCCTCATGCGCACCCCGGGCCATAGTGTCCGCGAGTGATGTTTCAATCCCTGGTGGTTTCTGCGCCGTGGTCATTATTCGGTGGGACATGGCCGTGAAGAGCCAACAGGCTGCTACACTGTACCGTTGCGCCACGTACAAGTGCATGTAGCCCACTCGATATCGTGCTCGCCGCATTATCTGCTCATCCATGCTGTATATACCCATGGCTATAAACGGAGTTTTAGGTCCGTAAGAAGCACGTTCATGTCGATAACGCGAGTCTTTCCAGTGGTAATAGTAGTTCGGCGTCCAAAGGACATGCCGAGTTCACCGAGGTCCCTGTTTTCCAGCTGCGCTATCCGTCCCAGGAACATGGCCAGCTAAGCACAAGGCTGAGAGGCGATACTACTTATCGCCCATGTGTATGGTCTGGGACAAGTATTTCGTACTTGAGAAGTACACAATTGGTCGTATCCACACCAGAGACCCGTCAAACTGCTCTGTTTGGTCCCGATACCAGTAGTATTCGCTGATTCCTGCTAGTATGTCTTGCCAGGCGCTCATCCCCCCTAATCCCGATCATTACTATCCGCAGACACCAAGGATAGCAAGTAAATGCTCAGGGAATTTCGGTACCAAATAACAACGTGAAGCAGCGTTTCTCATTTCACGCATGTATAAATAGCCCCAACAGTATGGGGCAAGGTGTCTAGCGATTGCCGAAAGCGAAGGGGTAGGGCCCCCCTATTCCCAGCTCACATCACCAGGGTGTCTCCCCTGTTGGCAAGAGAGCTGGAGCTGGGGGGGGGGTAAGTTGACATGATCCTGCCAGCACCTAAGGATATGGGTAAGTGTACAAAGAAAGACGTCAAGGCTATCTTTAGTAGCCCGTTGATCCCAAAGCCTAGAGTTGCTTAGGTTAATCGATTATTGCCTCGGTTTCCAGCACCAACGTTTTCGTAGTATATTAGCTGACTTGTTTTCACTCGTGGTGCGACCTCCGCGAGAGACAGATCGTGTGATGTATGTATGTTGATGCTGCCATAAACAGGGGCTCATTATTTGAAATTTCCGGCCCTCCGGTGTTCCCACTGGTGCTGCATCCATTCTGGCGATGCCTCTCCTTTCCGCTTCGCCAATTACAGAGTACAATGCCGCAAGCCGTGCTTGTACCTAGTAGATCTGAGTATTCTGCATAAAGATACATGGTCGGAGACGGGACTTTGCATAAATACCAGCAGCCAAACGGATAGCGCTCATGCATGCTGCAGCAGGCCAGCCCGCCACGAAGCGTCCTTGCAGGAGTAGAAAAAAAGCAACCGCCTGCAGGCCAGCCTCACTCGGACAAATTCTGCCAGCGAAAGGGGGTAGGCTGCACGAATGGCATCATGTTTAGTGCTGCTGCTGCTGCTGCTGCTGCTGTGTCGTCGCGCGTCCAGTTCAAAGCAAGGGTTATGGGCGGTTGGTTGGCTCGCCGACTGCTGGGCTGACGGCAGCTATTTTCGACAATGAAGCAGAGTAAGTTTGGCTGAGACACACACACACACACACACATACGAAAAAAAGATGATATATGAGATGGTGAAGGAATCAAGCATCGTTGGTGCGAGCTGGTGAGCTGAAGCAGCTCAAGCCACCCTCAGCCCTGCGCGGCACAAACCGCTTCCCACCAAGTTACCCGATCCGGCAGCCGGACAAACAGGATGATGGGAAGCCGCAGGAGGCCCAGAGGTTCTTGGTGCACTCGCCCGCTTATTCTCACTGCATAATATCTGGTCAGAAGATCGAGATACGCAGCGCCCCAGGAAAGCGGTTAAGGCGCCAGGATCGCGGTGGAGAGCGATGGTGGTGGTAGCTCGGCAATAGCGCGCACTTCTGAAGTCCCCAATGCTCATATAGGCAAGAAATGGAGCCATTATAGCATCGTCACATTCTTCCCTTCGGCCTGCCCAAAGGGAAAAATGGCTCAGTCCACAATGACCTACGCGCACAGTCATACACATGCCTCATGCCCATACCCATGCCCGTGCCCACGTCCATGCCTATGCTGTACCAGCAAGAAGGATTCTCTTTGCCAGGCACCCAAGACTTGCCCTCACGCGGAGACGGATAGCGCACCAGCCGGGCAGTTCCTCTTCGGCCCCAGCGCCGGGATAAAAGAAGAAAGCAGCAGTAGCCCTGGTGCTGGTGCTATTGATGGTGGCGACTGACGTGGAAGAAAAGACATCAGCCAAGGCGCAACTCGGGAAAGCCCGCCGCCTCAGCCGCCAATTGTAAAACAGAAAGGTTCTAGAAACCCAACCTCCAGCTAGATCAGCTCCTCCTTCTTCCCCGCGACAGGCTTTGGACACCAGTAGCGGCCAAGAGGGTGAGGGAAACGCCAATCCATTGCTTCCTTCTCCTCAATGGCTCTCGTTGGTGGATGGCTGTGACCGGCCGTCTATGGTGACACGACGCGATGTTGGCATGTGGGGACTGCTGGCATCCGCGTGCAAGTGTAAAGCGATATGCATGGCTGGGCTGCATGATGCCCGTCCTAGATGCTGGCCGTGTGGAGAAGATATCGTTGCCAGCCAAACGGTGGGCTAGACCCGGCCTCCAATGCAGGCAGCATTTGTTATGAGTAGGATTGAAGGGGGTTCATCTTTCATCAACTGACTTGACCTGACTGAAGGCGCGCGTCTTCCCCACAGTGCACTTCACGAACACCCCGTAGCACAAAGATTTGATGCTTTTGCTGCTGTCGTGGCAGCCGCTGGTGCGTCTCTAGCAACTCTCATCCCCAGCCAATTCGTCATTCAGCAGCCCATTTGCTGCATATCAGTCAAGCCGGTCGGTCAGTCCAGGCGTTAGCCGACATCAAAAGCGTCACTATGTCCTCATGGTGGTGTGTTGCGTACCATTGCAATGCACACCACACCCCTCGAGACATCGATTCGGCCGTACTTGCTCTGTCTGGTATCCCCATTGGCACATCTGCAACCTCCAAGTACAGGTGGAACGTGTTATACATCGTGGTTAACAAAGCTGGTATTCTATGCTACCAGATTGCATCCCACGCGCGCACCTGGTGTGATTTGTCCGGTAAATCTGGCGGGAAAAGGCATAAGTTATGGCATACAAGTCATACCAACCATTTAGAAAACCCCAAGCGTATGGAACTTCTGCTGCTGGCGATGTAACAGGGAGAAAAACTATTGCTTCCACGAGTCCCGGGCACCCTGTAGTATTACGCAGAATGCGCGCGCGCGCTCGAGGCCCCCTCCTGGGATGTCCAACCGTCGCATGGCCTTGCTTCGCTCTGGCACCAAGGTGAGCGTGTTTGTACTGTATTATCAAAGTCGCTTTGTCTGCTCTGAATTTATACCCAATAGTCGCCACAACTGCAGCATGCTTGTAAGAAGGAAATAGAATAAAAGCAACATGGCTTGGGGCACCCCTTGCCAAATCAATAGTCGATCTTCCAAAAGATGGGGCGGGAAATGGCAGCGGATAAGAGCCCGAGAGCTCCCCGTCCTTTCAGGAAAGAGATGGGGTCAATAATGTACCCATTTCGGCATCCTTCAATAATAAGTAGATGCTGAGTGTAGGTACTTGGTTGAATTTTTTTGTTCCCCCTTGTCCGTGTACAAGAAAAATATAGTTTCTCCATGGAATGGCCAAAGGGCACAGACACGGCTCTCATAGTAGTCATATGGGAATGGGATAGATAGTAGAATTGTAGTAGAATTGTCGACGAAGCTTGGGATGGTATTGAGTTTTTTGTGCCTGTGAGTTCTGTACAGAAATCGCCAGACAGATGGAGGTATAATACTGCAAGGGAAGCACGATTAGTCTCACGTCCAATGCATTGTCCTTCTCTGCAAGCCAAGCCCATGACCTGCCATCTGCAAGGCCAACATGAGGCAGCATCTCATCAAGTCAGACAATCTATTGCTTGTGTAACGATAGCCCAGAGGACAGCGGGCACAAATGCGCAGGTGTGTAAATTTGATCGTCGCCGGCCAATCGCATTGTGAGTTGGCGGAAGAATAGCTACCCATAAAAGTTGCAAATCCCCTGATGTTCGTGAATATTTGAAATGCTTGAAGAGCAGTAGGTCTAGAATTATGGCAAAGCCGTGATTCTTGGAATGTGTGAAGAGACGCCGACCGAAGCGGCCATCGTCATGCTCCTTGCCACGTAACTTGTCTCAGCGCATGCAATTGGAGCTTCAGTCACTTCCGAAAACCTCCGTAGAACTGGCAAGTGATTGACAGCAAAGGAGACCACCTGTGAGCCACGACAGCAGGTCTCCAGAGAAGAGGATAGCTGTACATGAGCCCACCATTCCGTTCCCGCGAGTGCCGCCAGTAACCAGCAGCGGCAACTGCACGCCTCCAAATCGCGTAGCGACCCTTGCAACCCAGACGGCCAGGGTCGTGGCAGCACAAACAAGACTCTTATCGGCAGATAAGGTGTGATTGTAGACGATCGGACGCGGGTGATGGCCGTCGGCAAGACCAGGACATAAGGCCTCCCCCGCATCAGTCCCGTCCATATGGATGAGGCTTCTTCATCCCGTACCTGTAAGCGATCCAACCGCGTCGCGCCGCCAGCTCGCGCCGCAGCCCATCCCGTCGGCTAGCTGATCCTTTGCTTTTACTCAGCATGTACTGGCCTGCCTGCGATCTTGCAGGCGCATATGTGTTGATCCGGTGCTGTGAGAGTTGACGCTCAAGCTGCAACAAATATTCATCATATATTCATATGCCTTGGATAAAAGCATGATGTGACTTGGAAGTTAACAACCCGGCTGCAAACTGTAGATGGTAGTATAGATCGACCCCTCCTAGGGAAATTGCGGTGCCAGCTGCGAAAAAGTGGAATGTAGATATTTCGTCTGTTGCCCAGGCTTGACCAGCCACTGTCCCGTATATGCACCCAGAGGATTTGGAGTGCATGGAGAGTGACAGCAGGCAAACGGAGCCCAGGGCTCCGCTCTTTGATGTCTGGTAGAGAGAGGGGACAGAGCATAATTTACCATATGCTGAAGAGGTTGGTCGCATGCAGATTTGTGCAGTCCGAAGGCGGGTAGGATTCAAGACGGAGAATGCAGGAGTGTGTAGCAACGGTGCGGATGCTCTGCATTGGACATGGCAGGGGATGAGATTGCGCCCGCGACACGATGCGTTGCTAACGTGAGGCTGAATGGCCCTTTTTACTCAGCCTTTGAGTACCTAGCC